TCCAACGCCGGTGAAATGAAGAAGTACTTTGCGGGTGAGAGCATCCCCGGGGACAATCTGGCATACGACGCTTCCTTGGAGCAGTGGACCGACTACGTCAAGAAGAACTTCCGTGCCAATTGGCATGCTGTGAGCTCTTGCTCCATGATGGCTAGAGAAATGGGCGGTGTTGTCGACTCCGCTGCTCGTGTGTATGACGTCGAAAACCTCCGTGTCATTGATGGCTCCATCCCACCGACCCAAGTGTCTTCGCATGTCATGACCATTTTCTATGGTATGGCTCTCAAAGTTGCCGATGCCATTCTGGCGGATTACTCCAACAACTGACAGGCCCACTTTCGTACCATTGTGATTCTACCGTGAGGGTACCAAGCAATTGCGTTTGGCGGGTCTACATCCCACCGAATCTTTTCTCTTTCTCTTTTCTGATTCTTGTATGTATATCATTCATTCCTGTGTCTAGTGGCACTTTCTTAGAAAACTACATTTTTGGTATAAGATCAGTAATATAAGATTAATTTATCTTCTGGTGTTTTGTGAGATGGGTGCGTCAATCGCTCTCTGAAACGAGGTAATCTACCGTATGGTTTCACCTTTCGCTTAGTAGATCAGACCAGTTGTTCTCCTAATATGAGCCCAATTGATCAGCGGGTAACCGGTGCCCGTGTCCGATATCGCTTCCACCAAGTCATCGCATTTATGACTGAGGATCATAATATCTAAACTCGCACGCTAGAAACCCAACAAACCCGTGATCTTCGGCGTGCCACCATCCACAGGGGGAGTCGAGGAGAGGCTCCATAAAGCCAGGACAGTAGAGTGCACCTTTCATACTGTCTGTGTGGACAATGTACAGCGTCGATCAATCCATTCATACGCAATGGTTGGAAGACAAACCCGAAGAAAATGCCGTACCGATCTACACCGTACATGCACCGAGAGCAAGGGCTTGGCGATACTTCCGTGGTGGTGTGAACCAGGACTAGAAGAAACCAGAGGATAATCATATCTGATCGACATCCAAATTACTTTTTTCTTTCGTTCTTCCTTCTTTTCTTGGCTTTTTCCTCTTCGAGGTGATTTTGAATCCTACGCCGTCTCTAGTCGCCAAGAGGGTCAACATGCATTATTTCTGCAATATGCCTGCGATCCTAGTCCGCCGTCTATATCACCTTTTGTTGTTATATTTCTAGATATTAATAGCATGTGTCTCATTTCACAAAAAGAATACATAGTGCTGTGGGCTTATTGGAATTCCGGTCGCCTGGGATTTCTTAGTTGGAAGGCATAGTTCCGTTCTCCGGCCACAACAGGCAGCTCCATAATCTCTTCATGGCAATGAGCGACCAGATACAGATACCGGTGAATATCAACATGAGACAATAAAGTTTTTGTAATCTTGTAGCCAAGCAACTAGGCGTGTTTACCTGTGACAGGGGAAGCCCTGCCGAGGGTGGAGATGTAAAGAAGACTAGAAGGGAATAACCCTGCCGATCACTGTATACAGTATGTCTCAATGTCTGCAAAGTGCCCATAGAGATTGCCTATATAACAGACTTCTTCCTCCTGCACTTTTAAAATATCAGTCTCTGGACACGGAATACATTCTCTACTCTACCAATTCGAGCAGGTAAAGGTACGATCACCCAGAGATCTCCCGATCCAACTGTTGAATGCCGTTCTCAGCGCCGTGAGCTGACAAAGTGTCTTGTTTGGTATAGGCTCTGGCTGTTCGAAATGGTTGCCTTCGGAAACATGCGGCTTCCTCTTCTCTTGTTGCTGCTGAATGCAACATTTGGTTCGGCACACCGCTGGTTCAACTGGCAGTATGAGGTCGGCTGTGAGTCCGATACCTTCATCGCGCCGGCAGATGAAACCGGTGTTGCCGACTTCCTGAAGAAGGAGTTTCCTAAGCAATCCCTCATCAAGGTCGTCGGTAATGGCCACGGTTTTGGAAACTTGACTACCTGTACGAACAAGGGCTCCACCAACAAAACTTCTCACATTGTCAGCCTTACCAACTTGAAGAAGCTTGAGATCAACAAGGACATGACCGTCACTGTCGGCGCTGGTTGGGATGTCTATGATCTGGTGGATGAACTTAAGAAGCACAACCTGTCCTTCAACTACCTCGGTGCCATGCGTGTCCAGAACATTGTCGGTGCTATTAGCACCGGTACCCACGGTACGGGCCAGAACATCACCAACATGGCAACGCAGGTCGTGTCTCTCCGTGTTGTCGATGCTCGCGGTGAGATCCGTACGATCGACGCACAAAAAAACGCTGAAGAGATGAAGGCGTTCCGTATCAACCTTGGTGCTCTCGGCCTGATTACCGAAATCACCCTCAAGGTTCAGCCAACTCATTTCCTGAAGAAGACCACCAAGGTGCTGAACGCCACCACCGACTACAATAAGCTGTACACTCAGCTTGCAGATCTCTACAAGAAGCATGACCGCATGACTGTCTGGGGACCTCACTTCAACTGGGACGCCAAGGCTGAGGACTGGGTCATCGAGCCTACTTTCTACGCCAGCTGGTGGGAGCCGACCAACTACACTGGCGTCCGCAACTGCACCCTCAACTACTGCGCCAACGGCTGCGGCGACTGCATCAAGGACTATGTCTGCTACGACGAGACAAGCGATGCAGTGTCGTGCCCTCCCCAGGGTATCTGCTCGAGCCAGTTCTACGCTGAGATTGAGCACTTCTTCCCCATGGAGCACTTCGTGGACGCCGCCGTCAACTACACCAAGTACCAGCAGGCACAGACCCCGAAGATGAAGGGCTTCGAGAACGAGAAGATGATCTTCCAGTTCCGTGCTCTCAAGGGTGATGACTCGTATATGTCCCCAGCCAACACCTACAACCTCGGCTCCGAGAACAGTGGTGTTTTCGGTGTTCTGGAGATTGACTGGATGCAAAAGGTGAACCACTGGGGAACCTTGTACAACAATCAACAATTTGCCTACGACTTCCAGGATGAGTTCGGCTCCGTGTACAATGCTCGCTCGCACTGGAACAAGATGTCTCCCAACGACCCCAAGCACACCTTGTCTGTCTTCCCTAAGCTTCCTGAGTTCCTGAAGATCCAAGAGCGTCAGGATCCCAACTGCCAGTTCGCCAATGAGTTCCTGGTGAACCAGCTCGGTATTGAGCGCTGCCGGTCCGCACTCAACCTGTAGTCTGACTACTTCATCGATTGGGATTTTCTTTCCTTCTTTCTTCCTTCCTTTATTTCTTCCCTTCTTATTCTTTATCTTCTACTCGCGCACAGTGATGCTGCGTGTCCTTTTGCCAACCATTTCTCTGGATGGTCTTTTCATTTCCTTTCTTGCTATCTTTGAATATTGTATTAGTACTAGATTTGATTGTCACATTTGGATTTTATAGAAATTATTTCTGGCGAGTCATTCTTGGTTTCCCATTCGTGATATCGGCCGTGCAAATATATACATTCGACCAGGTATACACCTAACTCTATCTAGCCAACTATGCAAAGTATGGAAGGTAAAACAACACAGAGAAAGGGGAAAATCCGAACATGTTAACTAGCAATTAGTCTGCCATATACTCACACACAAAACCCCAGTCACAGCACACGGCTACTTGCCAATATAGACAGACAAAAAGCGACACGACCCCAACACAGAAACAAACAACACCCACGACATCCTCCCCCCCAAAAAAAGACCACTATAGCCACACAAGCACACAAGACTAAAACTTCGGCAAACACCACAAATTCTTATGTCCACCAAGCCAGCACTTGGACCCATACGCCTTATAGCAGTCGTCACTGATAATCCCCTGGAGGTCATCCAGGTCCTCGCTGGCCGTGGAGTACATATACGTATACCCGGGTTCGCCCTTAGCCTCTAACTGGATTTTGGCGTTGCACCAGCGTTTTCCCTCCCAGTAGCATCTGGTGAACACGTTATCGAGTTTGCATTCGTCGTCGGCGAGGGTGTATGTTGCGAAGAATATGAGGAGCCAGAGCTTTAGATGCACCATCTTTTCTTTTGTAAAGGGTATGTGGTGGTTCTCACAGTGTTGTAGGATTATCTAGGCTTTAGAGAGGGTTGTAAGATAGTTGGTGGTGGGGTGGGTGGTTTTCTGGGGAGATGTCACGGAGGGCGCTATGGAGACTTCAAAGACGATTGGGGAATGGCTTTTGTAGGTCTGATCTAAAAATGGTTGTCTAGGAGGATGTCTATTTGAATTAATTGTGTGGAAGGAAGATGGGGCGTTTTATAGATAATATGGGCGAGCCCATACAAAGGCTTTGTTTGTTGTTCTTGGGGTTCAGAAAGCGGAATTTCGACAAAGAACCTTCGTTATGCTTCAATATACTTAGGCCCAGGAAATGAATTTGCTGATATTACCTATGAAACAAAGGAGCTGAGGGCACAGAGACCAGGTGTTAGGCAGCTTCCACATATGATATCGTTTTTATAGGTAAGGCATGGCAAGGAAGTTACTACGGCAATGTCTAAGCCACAACTAAATGAATGAGAATAATTACTAGAGATCTAAGATTTTGCTGCTGTATCTTTTATCCATAGAATTGGATCATTGTCATATTGTATAGTTAGAAGGTTAGTTATAATCACTAGATAGTTGGCCACCAATGGAGCCGCTTCTTTAACAAGCTTAGCTATTGCATTGTGTATTTACTGTACAAAGTCATAGCTAGTTCACTAAAGCTCTGATAGAAATATACCATTTCTCGTAGAGCCACCTCAACAACACCGTCATTGAGTCGACTGCCATAATCTTAAAATGTATAAAAGCAATAGTATCCTCTCGTGGCGTTCTCTAGGGTTACTCTGTATACCAACTCCGCCGCTAAGCTCCGAATGCCGAAAAGCTAAGGTGGGGGGCACGGCTGGTCTATACCCTTTTGGTCCGCCCCTCTATGCGTCAAAAAGGGAATGATATATATTCATTTTTCCCTCCGTTTACCGACTCTATCAAGGATCCAAAAGTGTCTTCCAGAATGGCTGAACCAAGCACAAGTCGGCTTAGTATCCTGATCGTCAATCCAAATACATCCACGCACATGACGGATGCATTGAAACCTATTGTGGACAACCTTGGGTTTGCAGATGTTCAATTTGACTACTTGACGGCTCCGAATGAGTCAGTCACCCTCGAAGATGGACGTGTAATAGATGGCGTGCCGAGTATCAACTCAGGCGAGGACTCTGCTACATCGGCATTGCACTGCAGACCCTTTGTGGAGCCTCTGATTCCTAAATACGATGGGTTTCTCGTGGCATGTTATTCGGCTCATCCCCTCGTTGGAATGCTGAAGGAAGCCATCACGAAATTAGAAAGTTCGGCTGTGTCAGTGGACTCGAAACCGAAGAGAAAGTATGTGACGGGTATCTTTGAAGCGAGTGTCCTCATGTCGCTATCCTTGGTTGGCTCGTTTCACATGATTGGAGGCCCGGGGCTGCACAAAACACAATCCAAGGAAATGTTCGGAATCATTTCTACGGGCAGCATCTGGCGGGATGAGCTAAGCCGTGCTGTTGAAGCATTCCTTGTGAACTCTGATGACAAGACAACGTCGACCAATCGTTTTGCTGGTGTAGAGACTACCGGTCTAACAGCGGTTGAACTGCATACCACCCCCGCCGAGGAAGTGAGGAAAAGGATCAGCGAGGCGACACGAAGGCTTATCCAGACCGCTCCACACCCGCTCACGGCAATCTGTATGGGATGTGCCGGTATGGCCGGTATGGAGGAAGCAGTGAGGGATGGCTGTGTTGAAGCTTATGGCCGGGAAGAGGGAAATCGTGTGAGGATCGTTGACGGTGTGGTTGCCGGTGCCGGGATGCTTGTTACGGCTTGTAAAGCAGGATTTTGAGGTCTGGGGATGATTCGCTTTCAAGTCGTGGCAGTCATGAGGTCAATGCTCCTTGTCCGGATTACAGTCGACCGGTGGTTGGGGCAATTTGTTTCTTGTGGTTGAGTTCAAGTTGAACTCTATGAACAAACTCGAGATCAGTTATACTCGCTAGCATCCATGCTTGGCATCTGTCCATATTCTTCTGGCCACGCTGGCTTTGACTATATACTTTATGATTATGAGATTCCTGAGCAGGTGATCTGAAACATAGTCTCTATACACACAACGATTGAACAAGCCCTTGCGCTGGCGTAAAATAGAAACGCCCTTGCCTTCACCCTCATGGCGGAGATATTAGGGATAATATGTAGAACACGCGCATTGGTCTCGACCTCACTAGTGCTATATGCGTTAATTACCTGCCAATAAATTCAGTAAAACCTAATGAGCGGCGTCACCATCATTTGAAACACACAAGGATCTCCCAGAGAAACGTTCATTTCTACCAACTGCAGTATAACATCAACATAGAGCTTAGTACTATCCACTAACTTTCAAGGGTCCTTACAAGCTATATTAAACCCTATCGAGGTTCTGGTGAAAAAGCGTGGCATTTATAGTTCACCGCATGGATGTAAACCTGAGGCCTCCACCACTCTAACTGGCACCCAATGTTTCCCCGCGGGAACGCGCTACGCGTACGCTAACCTCGACTACTTGCAGTGGTCAAGCACAAAGATGCCCAGGTACGTGCCATAACCAGACCGATCTGCTCTCGATCTCTAATTGCGAAGCATTAGCGACCGTTACTAACTATGAGAGTAGAGAAATTATCACAATCCAGGCCGGCCAATGTGGCAACAATGGTATGGAATCCCGCGATAACACACCAGCCCCCCGGAACACCGTCATAGCTGTGTCGAGACGACGAGACGGCAAACAGATGAACACCCGGCCTCTGCGATGTATAGCTCTGCTGACAGGTTACAGTCGGCAGCCAATTCTGGCAACAGCTTTGCCAGGAGCACGGAATAAGTCAAGATGGGAACTTGGAGGAGTTTGCTACCGAGGGCGGTGATCGCAAGGATGTCTTCTTCTACCAGGTATGAAGGCTGTTTGAAGTGCCTTGGTCTATAGTGCTTGCGCGTGTGTGGAGTGCTAACGAGGCGCTTTCTAGAGTGATGATACCCGGTATATTCCCCGAGCAATCTTGCTGGACCTGGAACCCAGAGTACGAGTCTACCTCCTGCGACAACGTCACGGAACATACGAGCTGAGTTTAGCGGTCTAGGTCCTCAATACGATTCAAACCGGTCCCTATCGAAACATCTACAATCCTGAAAACTTCTTCGTGGGACAACAGGGTGTTGGCGCAGGTAATAACTGGGGTGCTGGGTATTCTGCGGGTGAGAGTGTGCAAGAGGATATCTTCGACATGATTGACCGTGAGGCCGATGGTAGTGATTCGCTAGAGGTATGGTTTCGGAATATCCAAAAAAATATGGAGGACTGGAGTGATCAACGTGGGCATAAAAGGACCCAGTGGCTGATGTTCGCTCTGTGACAGGGATTCATGTTTCTGCATTCTATTGCAGGAGGTACCGGGTCTGGAATGGGAAGTTTCATCTTGGAACGGATGAACGATCGATTTCCTAAAAAGCTGATTCAAACATACTCCGTCTTTCCCGATACTCAAGCGGCAGATGTGGTGGTCAACCCGTACAACAGTATACTTGCAATGAGGAGGTTGACACAGAACGCTGACTCCGTGGTACGCTTTACACTGATATTAGCCCCATCTTAGTGGCAATGACTAAAGCTATCTAGGTGGTTCTGGATAACGGAGCTCTTTCAAGGATCGTTGCCGACAGACTTCACGTGCTGCAGCCTTCGCTCCAGCAAACGAATCAGCTTGTGAGTGCTCTCCAGCTCTAGAGGGGCTTGTATCAAGCTAATTGGTCCTAGGTCTCAACTGTTATGTCTGCATCCACTACCACCCTCCGTTATCCTGGTTACATGCACAATGACCTTGTCGGGATCGTCGCTTCTCTTATCCCTACGCCACGTAGTCACTTCTTGATCACCTCCTACACACCATTTACTGGTGACAATATTGAACAAGCCAAGACGGTCCGCAAGACGACCGTGCTGGACGTGATGCGTCGTCTGTTGCAACCCAAAAACCGCATGGTTTCAATCAACCCCAGTAAATCCAGCTGCTATATTAGCATCCTCAACATTATCCAGGGTGAAGCCGATCCCACCGACGTGCACAAGTCCCTGCTCCGTATTCGCGAACGGCGACTGGCGTCTTTCATTCCTTGGGGCCCAGCTAGTATCCAGGTCGCACTGACGAAAAAGTCACCGTACATTCAGAACACCCACCGTGTCAGCGGACTGATGCTGGCGAACCACACCTCGGTGGCAACGTTGTTCAAGCGGATCGTCCAGCAGTACGATCGACTGCGGAAGCGAAACGCTTTCATCGAGCAGTATAGGAAGGAGGCCCCATTCAGCGATGGATTTGGGGAGTTTGATGAGGCCAGGGCTGTGGTCATGGACCTCATTGGAGAGTACGAGGCGGCAGAGAAGGAGACCTACCTTGACCCAGATTCCGGGAAAGAGAAGGAGATGGGGGTATAAGGCCAACCCCCTTGTTTGTTATTTGCTTTTCCTTCTCTTCTTCCGTTTGTTCCCTTGCTGGTCTATAATTATGATTTTCCAGGTTACCCGGTGTGTTTGACTGGCATCAGGCGTTGCAATGCAGCTGTTATTCCCTCTGATAACGATAATTTGGCGTGGATAATTATTTAGGGAGAAAATGATATGAAGCTATGAACTGTAGATAGCAGTCTGGTCCATGTAAGAGTCATTTTTTTTCAGCATCCAGGGCTGCACGAATGGATGGATTTTACTTTGCCCACCCAGCCAAACGGTGAAGTGTCCGTTCACCTGCGCTTATCTTCCACCTAAGATTGGGAAAATGATCGACTGTTCGCCTGACAGATGTGGGGAAAGGACCTCATTTGATATGGAGTGAGGTGTTTTTTTTTTTTTTGTTTTTCTCTTTTTCTTTTTTTGTCTTTTGATTTCTCCATGTGTCTCGCCACCAGGAAAACCGGGATTCCAGTTCTCCTTGACCGCTCATCATTGTCTCAACTGGGCTAGCAAATAGTCCGGACTAGCACAAGTGACGAGGAATGGAATTGTACGGTGAGTGTCGTGGACCTTTCTGGGTGGATAGTTGTAAGTAGACATCAGTTGTTGTCGTGCGAGAACGAGGCATTTGTGCCCAAGGTGAGGGTTTTCTTGAAATGAGGGGAAGAAGCCTAAAGATAATTGAACCGATTTTCTTATCTGGATCGGGGAGAAGAAAGAGATGGGGTGGAGATGCTGAGAGGGGTAAGGCCAGTTTGGTATAAAGGTCATGGAGCTACGAGGCTGGTAGGTTTCTCGCTTGCATCTAGCAGGTTTTGGGATTAATATTTGTGGCCGTGTGTCGAGAGTCGATGCTAGTCTACTAGTGTATACCACGGGCCGTGGAGGATGGTCGGAAGTCTACTATTAACCCATTGACGCTGCACTGGGAGAGCTACTTGCAGGTGCGGAGGTCTTGTACATCAAAAAGTACTGCGCGTACTACTAGTAGTTAGTACTAGTAGCGGTCGTAGCACACACACTCTCTTTCCCAACATTCAACTGAAATGTGTCCCACCCAATCCGATCTTGTCCATACTAGGCCTTCAATCCAACGGGATCGGGAGTAGTATCGTCCCATCTTATGGATCTTCTTTCTATTTTGCAAATGTACCCACTCGCCCTTGATCATGAATCATGGAGGTCTGCATGATCGAGTCCCCACCCGGATTTACCGAGAGCCCATACTCCGTCCACCAAGGTAGACCTCCCGTGTATACGTGAACGAAGGGGCTTTCGACGCCATCCATCTGTCTGCAAGGCATGACCCGGACACGTGACCCGGCGCATCCCATGGGAATCCCCTGGCACTAAGCAAGTAGACTTCACGGGACCAGTCAGGGTCACTGGATAAGGATTTGCTCGGACGAAAATGCATATCTGCAGCTTCCATTTTCGGGAACACGGGGGAGGCTCACTGGGTACACCGATGGGATTGTCTGCCGGGAGGGATTTGTCTACCTGGTCACTTCCCAGGGTATGTACATACATACATACCTACCTACCTAACTACTAGTACTAGCTACCAACTGTACATCCTGCGAGGTGATGTGCTGTGCCAGCAAGCCGGAATGGCATGCATTGGCGCTCGATGATTAATTAGGTGCTGACGTTGTTTCCTTTGATTTCTTTCCGTTGTATTGCGAAAATCCTTGATTTATATATAGCTATAGAAGGGAAAAAAAAAAAAAGAAAGAAAGAAAAGAGGTAACGTTACCTTTCACCAGACGAGTGGATTATTGCGAGATTAATGAGAGCATCGGGCGATCTGATGAGCACCTGAGGGACTTCCTAGTACCGAGTCGTACCCCAGTCCCGGGACCATTCCTCAACTGCGACGACTCAAGTCAAACCACCACAAAAAGGGGAAAGGAGTACACTCGAAAGGGGGCAAACTGAGGGAAATCCGATGGGAACACGTCCCGAAGTTGAACTGTAATTAATTTAGAATTTTTTTTCATTTTCCTTTTTTTTTTTTTTTTATTTTAGTTTCATTTTCGTATGCTGAACTATTTGCCCTTCTATTTCCTGGCGGACAATGGCCTCCCTGGAATTATGAAAACTTTAATTAAACCAGACAATTCAGACGCCCATCCCAAGGAGAGGCATTGAGGATTGGGAGCCTGAACGATTTGCCTCACTAGAGGTATAAGTCCGTGAGTACGAATGGAAGTTTCTAGTGTCCACTCCGGATTTGCCTCCACTCGTCAGAGTGTCCCAGAGCAGTAACTTAACTCTATCCCAAAAGACTGAAGTCTGGGTACGGGGCTATACCGAAACGGGGCCCGGAGGGGAGCTAGCCCCGAACGGGATTAAACGGCTACGACATCGGATCTGCAGTCGTACTGCGGATGGAGTCGTGACTCAGCAGGTCATGAATGAAGGCTTCGTCCGTATAAATTGACTTTGACTGCGCTTTCGCCGCTCCCTCTTCATCTTTGTCTTCTGCTTACCAGTCTGTTCGTCGCTTCCATTGTCTTCCTCCGGTTGGTGTCCCTTCCGATTCACCCGTCTTTTGCCATCCTATCTAACAACTATATATATAGCCTCTCCGTCCTTATCTACCTACCTCCTTATCTACCTCACCTCTCCTCCTCGGCACTCCCAATCTCGCTTCAGGACGTCCACGTCACCCATTCATAGCGACCTTGCAACATCACTCTCTTGACTCCTCGGTCATCACTACTTCCGGATCACACGGGAGATCCTGTGAGTCGCTAGCAATCGTTCACCACAAGCCGTAACCCGCCTACTCCAACTCGGCGCTTATCGGTCCTTCTCCGACGTCACCTCCTCGTCCGTCTCCCTACTCGCCACCACCCGCTCAACATGGCTCCTCGCAAGCCCCGCTGCAACTTCAAGGAATGCAAGGAAGCAGCCCAGCGAATTGTCGGGGACTGCAGCTTCTGCAGTGGGCATTACTGCTCTAAACACCGGATGTTGGAAGCCCACTCCTGCACTGGCCTGGAGGACTGCAAGAAGGAGTCCCACGCCCGCAACGCCGATAAGCTGAACAGCGAGCGTACCCATGTCATCAAGGGCGTATAGACGACGCCCTGGGGTCCTCCGCTTCTCTCTCTCTCTCTCTCTCCTTTTGAAACTTTCCTTTCGGTTCTTGCATCGCCATCAGCGAAACCGTTTGATTTAGCGCGGTGTCCGATTTGATTACATCATCGCCGTTGCCGGGTTCGTCCACCGCAAACCCGCCGTGGCCATTATCTTTTTCCATTTCAAACAATATCTTTGGGTCGGGAGGTGTTTTTTTTTATTTTTTTGTTTCTATGCTTGGTTTTGGTATATTTATCTTTTCTCCTGTTCCCGGTATATGCAAGGCGTTGACATACGTGGGGGTTTTTGATTATACGTTTATTTAAAGTACATTCTGCATGGGGTTGACCGTCGTTTTCAGCTTCGACCGTCCAGCGGATGGTGAGTGAGAACACGATGCGAGACTCCCTTGATTTTTCCTTTCTACTTTTTGTCCCTACCATTCTGCTCTCTCCGGTCATACGCTTGGATAGATTGGCGGTTCGAGCTTAGGCCGTTCCGTCCCATTGGCGTGTCACATAGCCAAACGGTTTTAGGTATATACTGCATATTCCGTCCACCTATTAAACGTGTCTTGAGCACCCGACTACTTAGCGTAAGCGGCGTGGCCGCAGGTTAGTCGCTAGCGGGACCCAGGAGGTCTATAGCTCCGGCCAACGAGATTTCAGAACGTAGCAGTGTCATATGATTTTCACCCTCAAGTTCGAGCGTGATAGACGTTACGAAAATTAAAAAGAAAAAAGGAGGAGCAGCAAAAAGAAGAGAGAGAAAAAAGTTAACAACAAAAAAGATCAAAAGGCACATGACAGCAACAACCATTGCATGAGGAAATTCTACAACCCTACTAGTACTAGTCATAACATAAAACCAACCAAACAATAATACCCAGGATACTACCTACATGCATGAAACAAAGAGAAAAAAAAAAGAAAAAGCAAATAAATGTACTACTAATACTAAAAGTTATCTTAACCGGGTCCAATCTTCGGCCTGCGAAAAATTGATCAGCCCAGATGTTTCATTGCCTTCACAACGAGGCGTGGAAAAAAGCAAAAATAATGAGACTCGAGGGGAAATGAGACAACTTACATGTCGTGATGTTCGCTCAGTCGACTGAGGTATTTGTTCAACTCTTCCACTCGCTCTTTATGCGTTTTGACCCCTTCTCGTTTGAGACGTTCTTGTAACTATACATTTATTGTTAGTATCTTTGTGTGTACTCCCATCAAGAGTCCGCTGCATGTTCAGGTTCAATGATATATAAAAAAAAAGAAAAAGAAGATCGTAGTAAAACCTCTTTTCTCTCTATGTGTGTGTCTCTCTCTCCTCCATAAGGCAGACAAGGCAAGACAAGGCAAACGACATATACTAACAAAGTCCAACACCAAACACAATCCCAAACTACAAAAACAAACCAACCAACGCTCAAAGAGTCCACAAAAAAAATGACCCCCCTTATTAACGAAAGAAAACAGCAAACGAATGTAAAAAAAAAAGAAAGAGTAAAACTCACCCTCTTCTTCCTCATCTCCTCATGCTTCCTCTCCGCCTCCGTCTTCCCAGCAGCCCCAGCACTCACCCCGGCATCAGACTCCTCATCTTGCGGAGGCAGAGAAGTCGGCGGACTCTCCTTGTCATTTACTGCTTGGGACGTAGACGCAGACGGAGCATCCTCGCTTTCTTTCTTGCTGCCGCTTTCTGGGTTGCTCTTCTTGGCTTTCTTCTTTTTCTTTTCTATGCGGCCGTCGCTCACTTTCGAGCCTTTTAGTTTGAGCTTGCCGCCCCCGCCGACGGAGTATTCGTCGGCTGGCATTTTGGGCGTGGCGTGGGTTGGGTGTTGGTACCTAGTCGGTTTTGTTGCTTGGATGTTGGATCATGATGATGGAGTTGGTGATTGGGTGGTGGGAGTTGGGTCATGTGACTGCTTGGATCTACTAGTAGTAGTAGTAATGGGTGTTTTACTTGATGCGTGTTGTATGCATAGGTTTGTCTTTGAAAATAGTATCATTATTCAATATTTACGGATTAGTTCTATGCTGGATTTATCTTCCAACGCCAGGTTCGTAACGGTCGTGTATAGGACTAGTCAAAGGGGATTGGCCGCAAGCCTGTTCCTCGTTTGCGCGCTTCGGCTCCTGCAGCTACGGTGCTCGGCACCTTGATTCCACAGCAGTCACCAAAATGATCGGTGTGCCGGGCGTGAGCGTGGTCGTGAGCATGGTCGTGCTCGTCCGTCTCCACATCGTCGGCCTCCCCCATGCCTGGCGCTGCGGGTATCAGGCTGCCAAACAAGAAGTGCTGCATGATGGGTAGTTTACCCAGGACCTCTTTGACGAACATCTTCTTCATCCCGCTTTCGATCTTGCTCCAGTTCTTGGCCCCTGAGATGTCGTCTAACATAGGACTATGCCATCGTAGACCTTTGACGGTTTTCACACTATCCACCCACCGCACCTGGTCTAGGTAAATATACCTGTCTCCTTCTTCGTCAAGAATTACATTGTTGTGGATTGCCAATGGGGTTATGTAAGGGTGTTCCACGAGCTGGGCGGCGCCGAAGAGGAAAGGAAGGAAGTGGTAATCATCGAGACCCCAAACACCATGAGAGCCTGCCGGTTCCAAATAATACGCGGACTGGACGTCACGCATGAGATGCATGTAGTTAATGTACACTCGGAACACGACCATCTCGAAGTCTGCAGTCGAGAATAGCTGCATCTGGCGCAGGCATAACAGCCACATCATGAAATTCAATTCATGGCCCGAACCATAGTCTAAACGATCTCGCGAGCCCAGGGAGTGTATGAGATATGCTGACGCTTCTTCTATGGCGGTCGCATCCTGTATACCAAGGATCTCCCGGTGCCATTTTGCGCTCTGCGCAGCGACATCGTCAAACAAGTCGCGGAAAGCAGGGTTACCAAATCTGGAGCCACCTTGGTCGATAGAAGGATGTTGATCCAGAAGTGTTCGGATAGAGTCAACAACGGAGAGGATCTTGGAGACGTTGGGGGAGATCGGACGATCTTTCGAATCTGTGGTGGTACGCCCACGAACTGAATCGGAGAGGCCAAAGATGAAGGCGAGGATTAGAGAATAGGATGGCGAGGAAAGGAACAACTGATGGTCATGGTTTGATAAGATTCGGCGAACTGGACGTGCATAGTGGTGGGATGAGAGATCCGGGGGGTTGGAAAGCGGCGGGGTGACTGGAGCCGGTTCTCTGGACGGACGGGAAGGTAACGCTGGTTGAGACTTGCGGTTGGAACGCAGTTCGGAAAGTTTCTTGGACAGATCAATCTTGGGTTTGGGTACTCCCTGCGATGCAGCGACCTCAGATGCCATGGTGAAAGGTGATGGGGAGTTGGTCAGTTGACTAGTCCACACCCCACCCAAGAGGTTCTTTGAATGAATGAGAGACCATCACTTGACGCGATGACATAAGGCGGTTGGCAGGGGCAGAATTCGCGCAACTCACCGAACTGACCGCCTCGGATCATACCAGCATGACGCCATGCCAGAAGTAGTAATGGTGCCTCATGACGATCATCATGTGATCGACATGGCGTTTGGTGCTGAATGGTCAGACATGGTCTTGTATTCTGACCGCGTGATAATTATTGTTTGCCGGGGAAACTCAGCGAGGTAGTGAGCTCAGCTCGTTAGGCATGCTGTTTGATTGAGGGGCAAACGAAGTGTGAAAAGCTGGAGCCGCTTCTGGTTACTTATTCCTTTTCCTCCTACTAGTACTTGCGATCTGTTTGTCAGTGAAATTTGCTGGGTTGGGAGGTCTGGAAAGGCTCTCTAGTACCCGCGACTTCCACGGATCGAATCGAATCTCCACCAGCTCGGGTATCTGGAAATCTAAAACCCATAGATTGCACGGCACCTGTCGTAGCGTGCCTACCCCTGCCGATGCGAGCACGCCATCATGGACTCCTCTGATTTGACCCAATCCACCACCAAAAACGTCAGCTCCTCCTCTCCCACGCATCGATCTTCATCCCCCCGTTCTTCTAATAGTCATCCGAGACGCATGTCTCCCTTAAGTGAGCGGGATCAACCCAATGTGGCGCCTGATCAAGGCCAGCCACCGCCATTCAATGAAATCACTCCGATCGTGAGCAACGGCTCCGATAGACGAAACTATCATTCCACAGAGGGTCTGAGGAATCGAGACGCTGGGTCCGGAGATAGCCAGCCGAAAAGCTCTGGCCAACGGGGCACAAGGGATGCCGACCAGCAAAACCCGCAGTCCGATTCGGCAGAACCCCATGTATCGTGGTTCAGTCGAATCGCCGATAGATACGGCAGTCTGGAGTTAGAGAATAAGGGGAGTGTGGCTCGCGATCATCTGGCATTAGGTGCGTCATCCCCCCCGTCTTTCCCTTCTGCTGGGGTATTAATGATCTTATGATGGATTGTAGAGCGAACATTTCTCGCATGGTTAAGGACATCTTTAGCTTTTGCATCCATCGGAATCGCCATAACGCAACTTTTCCGTTTAAACAGTTCAAGCTCAAGCACATCGGGTTCGACTACGCGTCGCAAGCCCTTCCCCCATTGTTATCACCACCATTTTATGATCCCACAACCATTAGGGTGACTGCCACTTCCGAGCGTCTTCGGAGTATTGGTAAACCTCTCGGAACAACTTTTATTGGTGTTGCTATTGTTATTCTGCTGATTGGGTTCCATCGCTACTTTGAAAGCCAGTACTGGATCATAAGAGGGAAATTTCCCGCTAGTCGCGGCAGTATAGCGATAATTGCGTTTGTAGCCGCTGCTTTGATCATAGCCGCTTTAGTCGTCATATTGGCCATCTCACCGGGCTCTGTTGAAGCTTAGTTTTAGCGAAGCAGGCGCTGCTACTCTTTACCTCCTGTGACCAGCCGTCGATGACTTCTCATTATTTCGGCTCTTGTTCTGGTGTAGATGGAGGGTCTTAGGAAGACTACTGTGGTCGAAGTTTGTAACCCACGAAGCAGTCTCATGTAGATACGTGTATTAGTGAATATATAATATAAAGTGTCTATGCGTGTGTGAAAGACTTGCCAGTTAAAATGTTGTATGATTGTTCCAAATGTCGGGATAGGAGTGCGAGCCATAACAGATTGAACGCAACATACCATGTACTGTGTCAACTCATTCGCCAGCGCCTTGTTCATTCAAAGGTGGATAGCAGGAACATTTTCTATATTGTCCATTTATTTCATGAATTCTCAGTGTCTGCATACAAATGACTTCGCTCACGTTGACATACCACTCTAAGTTCAGCTTTTTCTTTTTTTTTTCACCACGGAGTCATCCTCGTAAGTGGTCTGATTAGATTTTGGCTAACATGTCTCCTGTCCCCTTATTAGTCTGTAAAACTGATGTACATCGATAGTAAATCTTGCAAGTGTTCGAAGTCAACCAAGGTTCCACCGGCATATCTCTCTTGGATCTGATCCACACATGCCCTTTGTCCGTCTTCTCCTGAAGACTGGGTTGTACTCTATATGAGTATATAACACACAAATTTTAGCTTATCAAGAGACACCCTTACTTCAAGATAACGAACATGGAATCCGCTACGCTGACGAGATTATGTTACTTTAACCAGAGGTATAAAATATACTAGGTACTACCCATATCCTACCATTTCTGGCAAAGTAGGACTGGACGTACGGCATGGACAGATTGAATCCAGCACCCGCTACATCGCATGGTACCGTCTGTTCGTCTTTCAGCTACTGCCCGGTTGGCTTTATCTGATACATAGGATATAATTTCATACATGTCAACCCAACTTCCATAAACAACCCTGAGACGTACGTCTCGTGACGAGACAACAAGGCGATCCCTTTTTTCATGTCGTTCAGTAGATGCATCAATGATTCATTATCCAGAGGATTCCGTATTCGCATGTGACCGGCTAGGGTACTAAGACATTATGTTATAGCCAGCATATGAAGTTACCGCATGTGGTCGACTGACAATGAATGCTCCCGAGGGTGTGACCTAGCATTTACTCTAGTCTGGCATGTTTCCCACCATCAATGACTCTAGGATTCTAAGATGGTGGAAGAAAATGTCAGCTGATGGTGCAGCTGATGGTGCATGCCAAGCATATAGGTTGCCTTAACGTCCCCGAAAGTGAGTCTGCATAGTTATCGACGAGACTGTCAAGCAGCTCGAACCGAAAGCGATGCTCTAACTGTTATCGGAGGACGCAGGGAATACAGGATAGAACAGCCGGTAGATAGAATACACCAGTACTATGGAAATGTCAAGCCCTCGCGCGAGATGGATCCCTTGTTCTCCATCTACTAATGTACACACTCACTCGTGACTTTTGCAGTTAGCAAGTATATTTCCACTGGGGAAGTCCGGGTCTGACAGACTCCGGGGTACAAATTTTATACGGTGTTACTCGGGAAATGCTCCTGGCGCATTCCTGTTACCATATCAGACGAGAAAGGCTCTCTGTATTAAGCACCACCACTAAGAACCGAGGCAGTCGGTGACCGCACAGTACAGTTTCTGGAGCTCAGAGTCGGTCTCATGGAATTGATCGCGGTCTGCACGCACCACTCACCGAGCGCAATGGAGATCTTGCCAAGTGACACACTGTCGGGATGACACATAAACCCCGCGTGGAGAATTGGCCCGTCATGCCGACGGAGGGATTGACTGTAACCTTGAAACCGGTGAATTCCCTTTAGCGTAACCGGCTATTGGAGGCGCCGATCCATCTGCAGGGGGATATTAATAGTGTGCTGATGCAGGGTAACACAAGTCACGTCGGAAACGCAGCATGTTGCAGGCTTTGAGCGTAACCAATACAACCTTGCAATCTCGACGCCCTGAATTGTCTTTTTTCCTCGTTTCTTTGAGTTGTAATTGAAATGTCTCGCCAATGTAACTTGGGCCCCACTGAAAGAGGGTGGCAAGATAAGCAAGAAAAGGTAAAAAAGACAAGGATATTCTGGGTATCAGTACTCTGTAGGCACCAAAAGTTGGACTTCAGCCTTCCGGGCCGTGGATCCCCCACGGCATAAGGTAGTGAAATCGCCGAAACGTCTAACTGACATCACGGCGATCGGACATGGCCGTTGCCCTCGATGCAGAAATTTCCCTTCGATAATTGCAGAGTGGATCGATCGATTTTCCAAGTCGACCGGTTCCATGGTTCGAGCAATCCTTCTGGAAGGGAAAATGGAACGATTCCCGTGTTGAACCGTGGATCGATTTTCAATGATCTGTACTCCATTGAAGTTTGCTTTGGGCAATTTGACAGAGTCCAGAGCACATCGAGATCAGCCACAACGCGATAACCAAGTCGATCATCTTCGGGAGAATATTTCCGTGGTATGGCGAAATAGGCTTCACGAGTGGGATAGATCTAGCATTGGGGCGATGGCGGGTTGGACAGGGACCGCGGCCCCTTGCATTGACATGAGCTATTGTATGGATGTATTCCCGCGGTAATTAGGGTTATTTCCAATGATTATTGTATGGTCATGTATGGAGGGGGCAAAGAGGAGTCTCTTGACTTCATGCAAGGTGTTTTGTTGCTACCTAGTACCCAACGAGGGTTAACCGAAACAGGTACGTACGGGGTTGCATCAAGCACCATCCGGGAGAGGATGGAGGAGAATGGAGAAGCGCCTTCATCGGTTCCACCTCCAGTTTGGAACCCCATGGCCCCTTGTTCGCGGTTGACTCGTTTGGATGTCACCTCTTAAGACATCCACGCTTTCTGCAAATGCGATCCGCCTCCAGTCTTTTGGCTGGTAATGCGATCACCTTCGTTAACTTAAGAGATTGATGGGAATGCGGAGACACCCCGAGATTGGCCACTTCCATGAAGGGTCAAGGATAGATTAGTAGGAGACACCTCCAATAAAAGCTACATTTTGTATCCCTAGGGAAGTTAAATTCATTAAAAAATTAAGTAGCTGTCAGGAACGCGTCCAATCAATTCCCCCTGAATGGCGGTGGATCGGCAGAGGTATCCAGGGAGACTTACCTAGTACGCTTAAGCAAACCACTCGGCTGAATTGCTGCAGACGTGAAGTGGCTTCAAGCCGAAAGTCTATTTAATTAAGACAGTCCAATCATGGTCGCAATCCAGATGATCACGAGGGGCACACCCAAAGTGAGAGATTTGTTTGAAGAATTACTAGTACTAGTAGACAGTAGTCACTAGCCGTGGTTTACTAATTAACTCTCTGAGATATTAAGATGAGACGTCTGGATTATCTCTTACTACATAACTTTTCCCATTCCTTGTGACCCTCTGGGGATGATTAGTACTTTATCCTATCACACGGTCCCAAGTTTTCCTCTCTGTTGCTCATCATTTAGGATGATGGAGTACGAGACTAACTGGATGGGTACTCATATCCCTTCAACCGCTTCCTCCATGACCCCAAGACGAACCGTTCCTGAAAATAGCCCACAATTCAACTTGGATCGGCTGGTTACAAGTCCCCACACCAGCGTTAGAGCGTATGAGTGAAACACATGGACGACATCTCCCTCTCCACCCGCCTTGTTTTGTAGCTTTAGGGAAAGGAAGAGTAGCCGTTAGTGGAGGAGCATGGCCAATAGGCATGGCCGGTGCTGTCTGTTACAGGGATTCTGACATGGATGATTGCTGTTGGTCTGGGGACTTAGTTACTGACGGGCCAGTCCCCATGGAGTTAAGTCACGTAGTAAGTTCAAGACTTGCTTGGACGATGGTCAGGGGGCTGAATCCTTCGAAGGCCATCTGCGGCCACATGCAGGTGGAAAACACCAATCCATGTGGCACTACCTGGAACTTTAGCACTGAGCGATTGCGAAGGCCAGTCCGAAGTACTACTAGTACTAGTAGTTCTAAAAGAATGTTCAAAATACATTGGCAACTGCAAGACCATGAATTGATAAGAAAAAGGTACGATGAGAGGAGGATTCTTAGCACCTATGACAAATTCCGTGTAATATAACTAGCCGACACCTATTCTTAGTCGTCCTCACTACGGAGTACCTCGTCAAAGAACGATTGTCGAATTACGGTTTCAATATTCCTCCTTTGCTCTCTTTTTACCTTCTTCCTTTCATTCTTCTTTTCATCATTATTTTTACTTCTGGAATCGTTTTCTCCTGCCGGATAAGACAAGACGTGTCAACCTTTGCAAGGATCACTTGCTGCACCGTCAGCCAAAGATGGAAAGTTTCATTACGCTCATTATTAGGGACCTAATGAAACTACGGCCCAAAATAGTTAGTCTCATGCGTGTAGTGGTGGCGGCTGTTCAACTCCATTGAGACAAGCGAGATTTTGCTGTCTGCTCGGAAATTTTTCATTGGTTGGCGACTCAGGTACGGGCACTTTAGTGTATTGATGCCTGGAGGGAGTGGGTTTCAACAATTCAATAATAGCACTGCCATTTTTATTTTTATTATTATTGAAACAATTATCACAGTAAATGGCAACGGGTTTGGAAGAAGGGAAAAAAAGGTATCATCTCGATCCATGGTTGATTTGATTAGTACTATTTGTTTTTTGTTTTTTTGTTTTTCCCTTCCTCCATGGTAATACCAGATGACATCGGAGATGGAATGAGATCTCAACTGGGGCTTTGCTTTTTCCCCCTAACCAGGGATTGAGCTCGTATCAGTGGCAATACACTGGTTTATGACGTCTTTCACTAGGTTCACCTACGATGGTTTCCGTAATGTGTCAAGCAAAGCAACAAAGAGATAGAAGGTACTCCTCTAGTAGTAGTCATTCTGTATTTCTGCAAGACTGTTTTGCCAGCTGTCCGAGACTATTTTCTTGTCCAGGAACAATGACAACAGATAGAACAACAACAACAAAGGCTGCATCCATCCGAGAGACCCCAATCAGGCATAGAACCTGGTAATTGTAATCTACCTAAGGATGGACCTGTAGGTAACCGTACCTATCAGGCCAGGGACAATCTGGTGATATACATCCCCCATACTTCTCACTTTCCACCATGATACTGCCTATATTATGGAGCATATTCAGGTACGAAACCCGATAATAATCGGGTTAAGAGGTTCCTTCGCCCGTCTCTCCACACGACAGACTGGCGATCGGATGGAGCGGCTAAAGGGAGGGCACCACCAATAGTAAAATCATCGCCCGTAATATAACCCGTAATTGAATGGTACGGACTCGGCCCCTCCGCGCTCCCAACCAATCATCCCCTGCGGCCATCCGTCTCTCCTCCTCTCCACTGCACGCCAGCGCCTTTTCTACCTTTAACACTAGGTACTACTAATCTCAGCATCCCATTCACTCCTCTCTCTCCTTCCTTCAACTTCATTTTCCTTTTTCCAGGTTGATCCTCTGTCTCCTCGTTCCCCCCCCTCTTCTCCTCTTCCCTCCTCTTTCCCTTTCTCTACCGTTCGTTCTCTCGCTATCACTTGACTGTTTTGTTCATTTTTATTATTTTACTTCTTTCCACACTCTTTCACTCGTTTCCCTCTGCTTCCGACGCTCCGTCCCAGACTCCGTGGCCTTTCCGGGGTCGTCCGCTCCTTACAGTATTATCCTTCGTAGCCGGCGTAACAAACAGACCTTTCTTCTCGGCTTTAGCACATTTCCTGCACATCAGTTCATCTCGGAATCGCTCGATTGGTCAACATTCTCGGTGTAGTCGATATACGCAGCGTCGTTTTTCCGGCTCCATCTCCGTTCGACGATATAAAGTTTCGATACTTGGTGATACAAGGCTGCGTGGCTAGGGTGCAGCATAATCAATGGTGCCAATGGGAAATTGAAGGCCTCCAGACAACATCGGGCTTTCCATTGGTCATAGGGAAGTCATAGTGGTCTGGAGGTATCTGTGCGTCTGGATCACTTACTCCGGGTTTAACCGGACAGTCGTTGGCTCGTGGTGGATTTCGCAATTGGTTTTTCGACGTTATCAGGGTCGACAATGGCTTCGATCTCTCTTCCTCTGCAGCCGCAGACTTCGTCAGCATTCTCCCAGTATCTCGACTCTGCGGATCGGTTCTCCGGCAGACACAATCGCCGCAATCTGACAATGTCCACACCACTCCCAAACCCACCGTTTATATTTCCAGCGCGGGATCCAGATGCAACAACTCAAACTTCGACTGCCCAATCTGGCGGACCTCCACCCCTTCCCGCCTTTTCTTTTAACCCGGGATCCGCACATTCATCGCAACCCTCGATGCCGAACCTCCCCGTAAATCGAGCAGGTGGACATCGTCGCCGATGTAGCGAGTTCGTTGGCGGGGAGCAACTCGTAAGCTCTGGGCCAGTGGAAGCGAGTCTGGGTAATGAGGTAAACTCCAATACAACGCCGACGAAGCTCCCCGTTCCTGGGCCGGGTTTTAGTGCGGGTGGTCCTGGAAAGCGTCGCCATGCCCATCGGCGCTCGGCGGCGATCTCCAGTGTTGATCTAACTGCTATATCGAACACGCTCGATCTGAAGCCCGCTGTCGGAAGCGCGCCACTATTCTCAACAGACGCAAAGCGTGATCTTAATGCATCTGACGAGGCTCTTAGACCCACCTGTTATTCAGCAACTACTTTAGGTCGATTTACTCCTCCTGCATCTCCCCAGATTGTGATTAATGATGAATCCTTATCCGTTGTCCAATCTGAAACAGCAAGCGACCGTCTCACCAACGAGCGTCCCATTTCCGAAATCTCGAAGGGTTCTGGAAGCACAGTACGACCGGAGGATACAGCTAGAAATAGCGAAAAGCCTGGTCCATCTACAAGTGAGCTGTCATCATCTGTGGATCGAACCCAGAAGCCGAGACCGAGAACCGCGGACGCATCTCTGATGCTCGATCCCAACACGATCAGTGGAATCGATGATGCATCTCGGATGAAACGGCCTCTCTCTGCCACAGGACACTCTCGTTTTCGCAAAAGTATATCTTCGGGGATCATTGACGCCGCATTGAGGAGACATCATGGCGATGACAGTCGCTGGGCAGAATCCTCAAGACACTCTTCTTCCGACGATGGTGATTCATATGCATCCACCGAGGATGCCCGTGGGTCGTTTGAGTCTACGTCTGCCTCGAAGAAAAAGTCGAAGACTAAGAAAAGGCAGAAGAAAGTACGTTCTTGGGCTGGGGCCATTCTTACCCGGGGAAAGGGGAAGCGCCATCAATCGAAGAAGGATGAGACGAAGGACGAGACGAATCAGTCCGAAAGTACACCTCCAGCAATTACAAGGGCCAATTCAGATCTCGGATCAGCAGTGGACGTGAATTTTGACGATGATGAGGATATCGTCATTATTCGGACCCCTACCAACCCCGCTGCTCCAAAATCGAAAGAGACAACATTTGAACTTGAACCTCACGTTACCCTGGAAAATTCGTGGAAGCCACGGAGCTTCTACGAACAAACCACACAGAATGATGCTCTGAGCCCAATCATCGATCTGGATGCAGCTCTGGGACCTTTTAATACTCCTGATGGGCGATCCCGCGGTGCCCCTGAGAGCAGTTTCTCAGCAGCAACAAAACGGATGTATAGTGGTGGACGACGAGGTGAATTTGTCGGGCCAGAAATGCGCTATCACCGACGTGCAGAAAGTGCCCCGGAAATGCCGCCTTTTGACCGTAGCTTCCTCAACCAGGCGCGTCTCGCGAATAATGCGTCGCTAGAAAACCCGGATGTGTTCTACGAAGAAGAGGAAGATGCTTTTCTGGCAGCTACAAGTGAATCTCCCAAGCACAGCGATGAAAATATTCCGGTACAGGTTGTTTCCTCCGGTGCTGAAAGTGTCGACCTCCAATCAGAGGATGGCAAAGTTAGCTCAGACACCCTCACTCGGGAACACACAAGCGAAGTCAATACACAACAGTCGGGTCTCGGCATTCAGAAAGACGGGCTACCTGAACCGACAGAGCCTAACGCTGTCTCTACATATCAGGACAGCGGCCGTCTCGTGGGACAACAGTGTGCCATTAGCCAGCTTCATAATGCAAAAAACCCTTTCAGCATTCGACCGAAGAGCCCAGGACCAGCGGAGATAATCAAACAGGAGCTTTGGCAACGCAGACTGGGAGTCCCTCCTAGTCCCGATGTTTCTCCACGATTTCTACCGGCTGATAATCGGCCTTCAACTTCACCCATTGAACTCACCCCAAATATCCCTCCCTTCTCTCTTCAGGGTGGTAGTTCTTTGTCTAACTCCTCCTTTCCATCTCCTGACTTCACTGGCTCTTCATCAGATGCCCCTCGCTCGATCACGACTTCCTCCACCGACCGTAAATTTTCGAGTCCTTACAACCCTTCTATGGACTTTCCTCATGCATCTGTTGAAGATGTGCCTTCGTTAACTAGCAGTGCATCAACAACAACAAACCCTCTGAACCGATTCTCAGCGACCTTCTTTCCTCGGCCCCGGCTGTCTACAGATCGCTCTGCGTCATTTTCTGCGGCCGTTAATAGGCGCAGTAGCCAGGCCAATAGTTCGAAGCGATCAAGTTTGGCCAGCCTTTCCAAGTTGGTTGTGGGGTCTCACGCAGAAAGGAGTAAGCTGAGTTATGAGGAAAAGCCGCCGAGCGATGAACCGGAGAAAGCGAAAAAGAAAAGCCACCGGATCAGCCGCTTGATGCATTTTTGGAAGACAAAGGACAAGGACAAATTGAATGAGAGTGCAGTCCCAGAAGAACAGTTGTCATGACCAAAACCTCGATCCTACAAAGGAATCCGCTTCTTGTACATAGTTATCCTGGCATGATTCCCTCGACGTGGTCTTTGGAAGATCGTTTATTTTTTTCTATTGGCTTCGCCCTTTTTTCTTTATTTTTTTTCCCTCTATTTTCTCCAGTCGGCCCACTTGTCGCGTTGGGCTAACTGACGAATCTCTTTTGATATGTGTTTACAAGCGTAAGAGTTCAACGCTCTCTTTACATCATTTCTCGTCTTTCATTAATGTCCGGTTACAATTTATGGACATATCATTCTCTGATTGTCTTTCGTTTATCGTTCAGAGCCTTTTTTTTCCCGCATTTTTTCTTCTTTGCCTATTCCGATTCATTTTGGCGGTCATATGATGTGCACTTTGCCTGTTAGTCTTTTATTTGACCCATGTGGTATTCATGCCCTTGGCCATGTTAATATGGGATCTTTTCTTTCCATCTTTCTAAATTGAACGGCCAACCGTTGGAGGTGCCGGTCAATATACTGTGAGGCTTTCTGATTATTGGCATCCGAGTCTACGAGCTGGAAGCTATGAATAGAGTATCAAATCTACACTCTCTGTCAATACTACTACCTGTTATTTCCAGCACTTGGCTGCATAGTATTATCGTTTCATTGTCGGGGCCCTAGGAGTAGGTCTCAAATGTAAAAACTGTGCAGGTTTTATCCAATCTGTCATTGCAGTGGACATGCCAGCATTCTGACATTCTGGGACGGTGAAAGAGGAACTCCCCATTGATCACTTGCGCGGACTAGAAAGAGGAGCTCAAGGCAGTAGCTCAAATTCATCATTGCCTTACATCTCAGGCATGCATAGTAGAAATATGACTGAACTGCACTGCTGAACCAAAGTACAGTCAACAAGTCAAGACAATCAATCCATCTAGATCGGATCTCTGTAAACTGCAAAGAAAATATAATATCTCAACTTCTCACACATTGTCCCGGAGAGCCTGTGGTAACTCTCCACACCATTTATATATAAATCTTTATCGGTGCCCCACAGCCGAACCCAAAAAAATACAATTCTTCAGCAACGCCATCAGCGATCCCTATATCAAACCCCTCAAATAAAAAAAGAAAAAGCACAAGAAAAATTCAAACAATGGGGCCACCACGCTCAACTATGCCCAAAAAGTCCTCCCAAGGGCAACACACCCGCGACAACAAGAAGGAGAAAAAGAAGCCCGCGCCGGCCCCTCGACGACAAGCCAAACCGCAGACGGAATCCGAGGAGATCAACCAGATCGATCTCTCGGCGACCATTCCGGTGACGCTGCAGCAGTTACTTCTGAATGTGTTCAGGTCGGCTTTGCTGAATGATGTGTATGGTGGGAATGCGAATGTTGTAAAAAATGAGAGTGGCAGCGATGCTACTACAGATGCTACTAGTACCCCAGAGTCTCGGCAGTTGGATATCAAGACGCTGGTCCAGACTATCAAGTCTCATCTTTACAATCGCGACTTTGACTCTGCGTTTACCGATGCGAATGAGGATCTGCTGAGGGCCTATGCGTTGCGATGGAGCGCGTCTAGGGCGCTGGGCTACGCGGGGGTTTTCAGGTCCTTGTTGAAGGTTCTGATGCAGCAGGATGGTGGGTTGATGTCTTCTACTGGGTCGAATCATGTTGTTTGTATTGGGGGCGGCGCGGGTGCAGAGATCGTTGCTCTGGCGGCTGCTTGGAGGGACTCGGTGGGTGGGGTTGAGAGGGCGGATGCGCTTTCTGCTGGTATTGCTGGTGTTTCTTTGGATGGGGGTGATCCTGCTGCTGCTGCTGCTGCTGCTGCTGATGATGATCAGGCGCTGCGCCGAAATCGTTAAGTCATCCTGCTCTCTCGGTGACGGCTGTTGATATTGCGGACTGGTCGAGCGTTGTTGATCGACTGTCTTATACTATTCGGTCCCCGGCTGTGATGGGGACGAAGTCCCATCCGGCGCCTTTGTTGAATCTCGGGAAGGGTGGCGATGGTGAGAAAGAGGGTGAGGATGCTGCTGGCTTCGCGGTTAGGTTCAAACGCTCGGATGTTCTTTCTATCTCGGAGGAGCAGCTTAAGGATCTTCTCCATCTTGGCCCTTCGGATAAGGGCAATACTACCGTCATGGTGACGCTCATGTTCACGTTGAATGAACTCTTCTCTACTTCTATGGCGAAAACAACTGCTTTCTTGCTCCGCACGACAGACCTCGTCCGACCGGGGACTCTGCTTCTTGTGGTGGATAGTCCGGGCAGCTATTCCACGTTGAAACTCGGCAAGGGTAAAGCGCAGGAAGGCGCGGCGTCTGCTACTATACAGGAACGGAAGTATCCTATGAAGTTCCTCTTGGATCATACGCTTCTTTCTGTTGCGGAGGGGAAGTGGGAACAGATCTATTCGCAAGATTCACGGTGGTGGAGGAGAGATACGGCTAGGCTGGGATATGATGTGGGTGAAGGGGCTGGGTTGGAGGATATGCGGTATCAGGTCCATATTTATCGGAGGTTGGATAATTAGTGGAGGGGTTGTATGAAGTTTTGTGGGAATAAGCAATACAGGCCGTTATTGTGAGATTAGGATTGCTTGATTCACAGAATGATACCATCACCGTTATCTAATGCAAGCTGCCCCATCCAAGTCACTTGGATTATATGTAGAGAGGAATGGATATGCTATTGCTACAAGTTGGTCGAAAGGGGTAAAGAGTAAAAGGAAAAGTGAAGCCAGCCATACAACATCATTCGCCAGGGGAGATCATGCACGCCCAGATAGATCCGTCCAGTTGGAAGGTTCAAAAAATACAACATCAATTCAGGCGAGAGTGGAAGGAAAAGGAGATCGGAAAATTAAACGACACCAGGACACCGCGTTTAGCTCCTCAGCCCCAGAAGGAGGCTGGTGTTCTTACCACCTTCCTTGCCATCATTACCAGGGAGATATGTGACATTCGGGTTGGTCGATAGTGTCTGCGCAATCTCCTTGCTGGCGTCAATACGACGGATCTCGATAAGACCGCTACCGGCCTTGGCAACGGCTTTGCTGATGATATCGGCACTCTCGGCTTCACCCTCCGCACGGATAACGTTGGCCTGACGTTCCTGCTCGGCTCTTTCAACGATGAAACGGGCCCGTTCGGCGTCCTGCTGGGCAATCTGCTTCTGCTCTACGGCGCGGGTGAATTCCTTTCCGAAGGTCATGTGTGTAATGGAGACGTCCTCCAATGCAATGTTGAAATGTGCTGCACGCTTCATGAGATCTGTGCGGATACGGTTCGAGACAGCTTCACGCTGGGTGATGAGCTCGGCGGCGTCGAACTGGGCGACGATGGCTTTGAGGACTTCATTACCGATGGAGGGGAGAACACGCTCATCGTAATCGGTACCGTAAGACTAAAATGGCCATTAATACCGGCCAAAAATCATATCGATCTCCTGGGCATGTATCTTACCTGGTAGATGGCCGGCAGCTTCGGGACCTCAGGACGGTGGAGAACACGCAGTGTCAAGCTGACCATCTGCAAGTCCTTACTTCCAGTGGTAGTGGAGATGTTACGGGGCTTAGTCCGAACATCGTAGACGATCGCCTTCTGCAACCAGGGGATAAGGAAATGGGTGCCTTCGTTGATGACCTTCTCCTGCACACCAGACAACCGGTCGAAGATGACAGCGCGGGAACCGCCACGAACGTCATAAATAGAGTTGTTGAAGATCAGGGCACCCGTGGCGACGGGGAGAGCCAGACGGTAGATGTTGTAGAGACCGTTTGCCGCCATGGTGAAAGGGGGACTGTTCAAGAATGATAGGTCGATGAGGAGCTTCGAAGGGTTGGATTGACTTGATGATGTCGGGCTTTTCGCATGCTGTCCCGATGCGGACTAGTGCCGGACGGAAACCTCATCTTCCCAACTTCGCCGTTTTGGCCCGAACTCGAACCTCGTCTTTCTCTTTGCCCTTAGTCTCGTCCGTTCCACCTTCTCCGCATTTCCCAGTCGTTCAATTTCCAGACGCATTCTTTCAAAATGGGTGGCCACGTGGATCCTAAGAACGGAGTGTAAGTAGCCCCTGTACTTGGTGTTGTCATGGGCTTTTGCTCCCTGGGTCTTCCTGCCGGGTGCGGTACAACTAGGCCGGCCTGTGCTTTGCAATTCACGCCATGATGGCTCTGTATCTGATGCTATGTGGGGTATAATGAAGACAAATGTGGCTAACGATATGATCTAAATAGTTTCATGGGTAACTGGGGTGAATTCGGTAGGTCCCACGGCCCTCCCATACAGTGAGAAATCTTGCGCCATCTTGAAGAGAACGAGCACGATCAATTGGACGCTTTTAAGGACTTAAACTTAGCAAATTCAAAACATGAATCCCATTGATTGCGCACTTGCCAGCAGAGAGACGCGAGGTGTCATTTCCACCCGACATCAATACTGATACCCATATCCTTTTTTAGGTTGCCCTACCCCCCAGCGCATCGCCTCCTACTCTCTGTCTCCCAACCGTCAGCGCCCCTTGGCTGGTACCGCCCACGCTGCTTTCTTCAACACCTTCCGGAGATTCAGACACCAGGTTCTCTACGTCGCCCCTCCTTTCATCATCGCCTACGCCGCCATGGACTGGGCTATTGAGAAGTACGTGTTGATATTTCAGTCAATTCACAATTGGCTATTGGCTGTAGGTAAACCAGTGACTAACTTTTGACGTTTAGGAACCACTACCTCAACTCCAAGCCTGGCCGCCTTGCTGAGGGTGGTGACGAGTAAATGGTTATATAACTTGGTGCTATGATTTCAAACTGGAGGATAAAGGAGTGGGATTGCAATGTACAGTAACTAGAAGCAATCGAATGCGCTGTGTGTTCCATTGTCAAACCTTGGCCTCTTGTGTTCTATTATGCTACGATGCGTATGACTCTTGCGACTGTAATCCGGTGTCATGGATCTGTTTCTCGTGCCTCAGATCAGACAAGAATGCTATGTTTATACCCACGCTAGTAACGAGAAATTAGACACGAGTTATTTACCGTCTGGCAAGTAGATACTACTAGTAGTAAGATGTTTCTATGTGGGCAGGTTGTTGGCATGGATTTGGGAGAAGCTCCAATCAAATAACTTGAATTTGGCATAGGATCCACTAATCGTGATTGGCCAATTCACCCAGGTTGCAAACAGGGCCGCTTTTGTTGGGCCGATATAGGAAGGCGGTCGACCGCCTGGGATTGAACATCTACCGAGTCCATACAGTATACTACTAGTAGTAGTACCTACTAACTCTACCAATAAAGTTCATTTTACTACAAAACGCGTTGTCATAGATGATCAAGTCAGAGGCTGCTTCAGGGAATCTCTTTCAACCACAGGAGTATTAATGCTTCTTATATGATGAGCTAACCGTTCAATTATTCTGCCACAAAACAATCGCCTCTTTAATTGGATGATTAGAGAGTATATCTGCTAGGCTGCTAGTACCCCTTTACATTGAGTGTCTGTCAACCACTTCATATGAACAGCTCCAGAAGTTGAAGGAAATACAGAAAAGTAAGCATGTTGTTGGACACTATGTGACTTTTAGGCAGAGCTGAGACGTTGTCTCTCCTGAGCCCTCAGCCTCGGATTTAACCACATGTTTGTCCGCAAACGATGACTCTCGCAATTAGAATTTTCGATTTTCTGCTGGTCCTTAGAGATATATCAGAATGACAGAGCTAATCCCCTCGACCTTCTCAATCCTATTGATTGGGGCTCCCCCCGTCATGTCTATGAGAGCGTGTGGGAGGTCCCCACTTAACTACGAGCTCTTCGTTCAACAAACATAGAACTACCAGAGGGCACCCAGGAATCCCTCTGCGGTAACATATTCTAAGGCGATCGCTATGAAACCACTGCCTATGCTGTCCCCTACTTCTTGAAAATTCTTGGGGATCCGTCCACCTCTGACCGAGTCTTTTTGATTGACCACCTGGTACACTTGGCCCTGTGTTATGCGGATACGATCTTACCAAATGGTGCCAACCAATCTAAATGTCAGGAATCTGCAGGGAAGAAACAGACTCTGAGTTTGAAGCAAAAATGCATCAGTTGTACAGAAGTTTTGTGAATCGGGCGAAGAATCACGAGGAAAGAGCCTCACACATTGAGTTCTGCAAGATGATCGAAAGGTAACGTAGGGGCGCTAAGGATGAACTTGTAGCATACAAAGCTTCTAAGGCTGGGGTCCCTATTTTCCAGACATGTCTCAAGGATAACGATGTCTTTGTAAGGTCTTGGGCTGCCTATGCGCTTGCGCAGTTTCCTGGGGAAGCTTCTAGCGAAGATAATCGTGACAGTGTTACCGTCCTGAAAGCGGTCCTTGAGCAGCCTTATATCATTATTTCCTGAAAGCGTTCTATGTAACTTGTGCCAGCATACTAATAGCTAAAATGCTCATTCAATCCACACAGGGTCAGATTGTGATAGAGAGTAACGAAGCTGCTTTCAAAAGGTACAACTGTGATTTTCAACCATCCAAATAACCTGTCCTAAAACATCTATTGCTACTATCCCAACAGAATGCACGACAGACCTACCGACTCTCAGTACCTCACTCCAGCGCTAGACTATTCCTTCCAAGTAACAGAGACTGCCCAAAATTTAGGGAATGCGAAATCCCAGGTTGGACCTTACGGAAATAAATCAAGATAAGTGTGGGCGGCTTAGGAATCGAAAAACCGCTGCGATAGAACAATTTGTCCACAGCTGTGCGCAACTTCTTCTTAAACACCGGGTACGTAGGGAGCTTCCTAGTTCTTCCGACTTGGGCCCTGAGAGACGCCGGACCCATATAATGTGGAGTTGCTACCAACTTGAGAGATCGCACGCCCAGCAGTCCATGACCAGATAATATCTGTGCAAGCACATTCACATGCTCAGTAGAAACATCTTCAATCTGCAACTTGCGGATAATCTGGTAGCTGTAGCCTCTGAGATTGTTAAAGAATTGTCGTAGATGAGGCACGCTTTTCAGCCCGAAGGCGAAGTTCGTATAGAGAACCTTGCGAGCTTCAGTATAGATCTGTTGGTTGGTAGCTATCAGAGAGAGCCTATTCTCGCTACGGGGAACTATATGATCGATCAGCTTCTTGCTGGAGCTGGCGGTTTCGAGCTCAAAGTAGTTGTCGTAGATGATCAGACGGAGCTCATAGGGGAGGCCCAGGAACGGGAAGATGAGCTTGGTATTGCTGTTCCCAAAGTGCCTGTTTACTGCGTTCCAGATGTCGAAACTGTCGACCCCCTTGTTTCTGCTCTTGATGCCCCCCACCAGGATCTCGAGGAACGGCACCACGGTGGTGGATTTGCGTCTTCCCTCTACAATGTCTGACATCCATCTCACGAGGCCTTCTCTGACATTGAACTTGATAGATTCTGGCATCGATATCAAGGTGGCTAGGAACTCAACTGCCGTCTGGCTGAAGTGGGCCATGTCTTTGGATTCGTTCTGTTAGTGGGCATCTTTACCCTTCTCTCTGGGACATACACACCCGTTTGAGAGGCTAACTGACGGGCTGCACTTTCCGCGCCATTCTTGTAGAAAGCGTCATATTTTGCGCGGAATAGTCGAAGGACTTCAGTTGCATGCTGGTCTGCCTGGATTGTTGGTGAGTCTGTTGACAAGTTACTCATTTTGTAAATTGTAACTTTGTGCGTGGCTTTTGTAGAGAAATGGTGTGTTCTTTGGTGAGCATGGGGGTGAGTGCGTGTGCATTATACGTATGGGTGGGTGTGGTTTTGTGGGGATAAAGTCTGGGTGTGACTGACCTGGGGTAGTAATACGTTTCTGGGGTTACGCTGACAGTGGATGGATTGGCTACATTCACACAGATTATCAACGAAACACACGCACATAGAGGGGATAGACATAATCTGTCATGTTCCGGTGGCTTTTGTTGCATGATGATACCGGGTATGGAATGTGATCCAAAGGTCCATCATTGTAGAAAGTCATAGGTATATTAGGTTGTATACTTTGATCACCTAGACAAATAAGGCCATAGCAGTGGATAGATAAACGGATATACCCCAGGGTCTGCATAGATTCCCAGGGTCAGTATGCAGGAACTAAATACGCATCTATGTTTAGAAACTATAAGGCTAATTCTTGGGGCTGAACGTTGTTCCCCAAGATGTATGCTAGACTGACATGACTGTCAGCGTCACTCAAGTTGAATCGCTGGGTTGTGCTTCTCTATTGACCTGGAAGTCAAATCACCAACTCTTTTGCTTTGAGCAGTGGGAGATATTTAGACAATATAATTTATAGATATAGGTGTGGTTGGGCATCTTCCAAGGGTCTGGACTAGTATAACTGACCTCTCTCTCCTTTCGCCCATATTTCTGTTCCTGTTGCTTGTATGCCTTCGCTTTCTCACAGTCTTATCGATCTCGTTGTCTGGGGATCATGGCGGCGATAGTTTTCCCTTTTAGGGTAAAATGGGATGGGCCCGCTAACAGTTTGTCCTTACTTCATTTCTAGAAATGGACCAATGACTACGCTCAATTGAGTCTTTGGGAAAGGGCTAGAGTGCTCAATTGACCCATCAATTGCCTTGTCCTACACGGAAGTATTCTCAAAGAAAAGACTTCTATGGGTTTGCGAGTCCTCCGTCAACAGCGCCCAAATCCCCACCCCCAAAACGGAAGAGAAGAGGAAAAATTTCTCAAAAATACGGATGTAACCCCAATACACGACGTTCGATACCCAAAATACGCATATCGATGAACCCCCACTTGGCGCGCGCATCTTCGCTTTCTCTTTCTTCTCGCCTCTCTTCCTCCTTCTCTTCTTCTCTCTCTCGACGTTTACCTTCTCGTGCTTCTCATACCCTTTTTCGTTCGCACTTCTCCCACTCCATCACCATGTCCGAGATCACTCACCCCACTATCAAGGGTACGTATCTTTCTTCATGATCGCCGTCGTCACCAAATGTGCCCCTCCATCAATCCAAAGATACCCCGCCTCATCACCCAACCAAGCTGCCCCCTCGACGGTGATAAAATCTCGGATTGGATCGAATCGGGACTTCAATTGCGTCGCATGGCGATGGTGGTCCCTTTTAATGCTTGGTATGCATTCGCTAACATCACTTTTCCTGTTCAGATGGCTGGTTCTCCGAGCAGTCCGGCATGTGGCCTGGTCAGGCCATGAACCTCAAGGTCAACCAGATCCTGCACCACGAGAAGTCCAAGTACCAGGATGTCCTCATCTTCGAGAGCAGTGACTACGGCACTGTCCTCGTCCTGGACAATGTCATCCAGTGCACTGAGCGGGATGAGTTCTCGTACGTCGCCTTTGTTCAAACTTTACCCCCACGGGTTGAGAGGCACATCGGCTAATTAAATACAGCTACCAGGAGATGATCACCCACCTCGCCATGAACTCTCACCCCAACCCCAAGAAGGTCCTGGTCATCGGTGGTGGAGATGGCGGTGTCCTCCGTGAGGTCGTCAAGCACGAGACCGTCGAGGAGGCCATCCTGTGCGATATCGATGAGGTATACCGCCCTGGGTTCATTTCTGGGTAAACTTGAACTTACTTTATTGTTCCAGGCCGTCATCCGTCTCTCTAAGAAGTACCTCCCCGGCATGAGCATCGGCTTCCAGCACCCCAACGTCAAGACCCACGTCGGCGATGGCTTCGAGTTCCTCAAGACCCACCAGAACGAGTTCGACGTCATCATCACTGACAGCTCCGACCCTGAGGGTCCTGCTGAGAGCCTCTTCCAGAAGCCCTACTTTGAGCTCCTGCGCGATGCGCTCCGTGAGGGAGGTGTCATCACCACACAAGGTTGTTCGTCGCCTTTCCTTCTCCCTATCTGCCTGTGGCTGCCCGAAATCCTTCCTGCTCTTCATTCCTTCATTTCTTTCCCCCTCTCCCTCCCCTTTCTATTATCCCTCTATTCTTTTGTACTACCTTTCCCCCGCAATTGCTCACTGTCCCCCTCTCCACCTCTCCACCTTTCCATGTTGATCACCCGTAAATGAACCGGAAGAGCATGAAACTAACCAGATTACGCCCCAAACCACCCGACTCCCCCCGGGAATCGGTTTGGGTTAGCATTTTCACACTTGCAGCCGAGAACCAATGGCTGCACCTTTCTCTGATCACCGACCTCAAGAAGGCCTGCAAGGAGGTCTTCCCCGTCGCCGAATACGCCTACACCACCATCCCCACCTACCCCTCCGGCCAGATTGGCTTCATGGTCTGCTGCAAGGACGCCACCCGCAACGTTCGCGAGCCCGTCCGCAAGTGGTCTGCCGAGGAGGAGGAGCGTCTCTGCCGCTACTACAACCAGGATATCCACCGGGCTAGCTTCGTTCTCCCCAACTTTGCCCGTAAGGCTCTGAACAACTAGATTGACATTGGTCCTTTACACCCTTTTGAATGAAATCTGTTTGGGGCGGACGCTGTTTTCCATCTAGAGGCGCCATGGTGGCGGATAATCGATGATGATTTGATGATGATGAATACAACAAGGGTTTTTTCTCTTTGTTCTTCTTTGTCTTTATTATATTTTCCCTTCTTTGTGATGATGTCTTCCTCGTGTTCTACAGAGACGGGCAGCCTTGTCCGTGGCATACAGCAATAAAGGATAAAAAGTATTTTTGTATGAAGTAGCATGTTGCCCTTGAGATCTTCTTTGTAGATGTAACAGTAATCGTCATTTAAGTCTGTTTCTCATTGAACTACTGCACAATACACTTATAATCGAGTGGGTTTGAACATAAAACATGGTATTCTTCATTTTTGACCTCGTCCCTCTAAATCTACCAAAAGGGAATTTTCACACGAAATCATCAATCATAGGACTTCTCCCTGGATATTTTGCTCCCAGAAATCAACATCGTCCCATGGATTCATTAAACAAAACGTAAAAGGCATCATCACGCTAACAAAGGACATCTACAGAATCTGCTGGAAAGCACGGTTGATAGGGGAGCGCACGGGGTGGCCCTTGTAGAAGTCGATGGTAGCGAGGGCGCGCTTGCTGATACCGGCAGGAGTGAACTCGAATTTCTATAGGACCGCAAAGTTAGCATCTCTTCAACAAGATATGATAGGAATCGGAACAGGTAGCGTACCTCGTAGACCTGCTTGTAAGGGCCGGAGGCACCGAAGCGGTTGAGACCGAACTGCTCGTGAGCGTAGCGCTCCCAACCCATGGTGGAGGCAGCCTCGACGGAGAGAACGGGAATACCGTCGGGGAGAACCTTGAGCTTGTACTCCTTGTCCTGGGCATCGAAGACCTCGAAGCAAGGGACGGAGACGACACGGGCAACAACGTTGTGCTTCTCCTTGAGGTAAGCGGCAGCCTCGATAGCGATGCTGACCTCGGAACCAGTGGAGATGATGGTGACGGCAGCGTTGGGGGCCTCGATGGCGACGTAGGCACCCTTCAGAGCAGCCTCAATGCTGGAGTTCTCAAGCTGGGGCAGGTTCTGACGGGTAAGGGCCAGAATGCTGGGGGTGTGCTTGGAAGTGAGGGCAGAGTAGTAGGCGGCGCTGGTCTCGTTGCCGTCAGCGGGACGCCAGACCATGCAGTTGGGGAGAGCACGGAAGTGAGCCAGGGTCTCAATAGGCTGGTGAGTGGGACCGTCCTCACCCAGACCGATGGAGTCGTGGGTAGCGACGTGGATGACACGAACGCGGGAGAGAGCGGACAGACGGACGGCACCGGCAGCGTAGGAGACGAAGTTCAGGAAAGTACCGGCAGCGGGGATGATGGTACCGTAGGCGGCAAGACCGTTCATGATAGCAGCCATGGCGTGCTCACGGACACCGTAGCGGAGGTAACGGCCGGACCAGTCACCGATGTTGTACTCAGGGGGCTGGAAGTCGACGGCGTTCTTCCAGCGGGTGTTGTTGGAACCAGTCAGATCAGCAGAGCCGGAAAGCAGCTCGGGGACGACACTGTGGACCTTCTCCAGGACGGCCTCGGACAGCTTACGGGAGGCGACGGCGGAGTCGGTAGGCTTGTAGGTGGGCAGGCTCTTCTCCCAACCCTCAGGAAGCTTGCCAGCAAGACGACGAGTGAGGTCAGCGTGCTCATCCTTGTACTCAGTGGCGTACTTCTCGAAGAGCTGGTTCCACTCCTGCTCCTTAGCAGCACCCTGAGCAGCAGTCTTGTGGTAAAGGTCGTAGACCTGCTGGGGGACGACGAAGCTCTGCTTGGGGTCGAAGCCGAACTTGGTCTTCACACTCTCGGCATCATCAGCCTTGAGGGGGTTACCGTGAACACCACCGGTACCCTGCAGCTTGGAGCCGAAACCGATGGTGGTGGTAAGACGGATGACAGAGGGCTTGTCCTTAACCTCACGGCACTCCTGGATGGCCTTCTCAATGGCGGCAAGGTCGTTATCACCGTCCTTGACCCAAACGTGGTGCCAGCCGTAGGACTCGAAGCGCTTCATGACATCCTCAGTGAAAGCACACTTGGTGTCACCGTCTGTTCAATGCGAGAATACACGTTTAGTCAAACCGCCACAAAGACAATCGAAGAGATTTAATCGCTTACCGATGGAGATATGGTTGTCATCGTAGATGGCAATGAGGTTACCAAGCTTCAGGTGACCAGCCAAAGAGGCAGCCTCGCTGGCAACACCCTCCATAGCACAGCCATCACCGAAGAAGGTGTATGTGTAGTTGTTGATGAGATCGTAGCCGGGCTTGTTGTAGATAGCGGCAGTGTGAGCCTGGGCAATAGCCAGACCAACGGCGTTAGAGAAACCCTGACCAAGGGGGCCAGTGGTGACCTCAACACCGGGGGTGTCGTGAGCCTCGGGGTGACCGGGGGTGATGCTGTCAAGTTGCTACGGGGGAATCCAGTTAGACCGGCTAGTTCTATCGAACTCTGGTTTAAGTTAGGAGACATACTCTGAAGTTCTTCAGGTCATCCAGGGAGAGCTGGTAACCGAAGAGGTGGAGAAGAGCATATTGGAGCATGCAACCGTGGCCGTTACTGGAAATAGAGTTATCATCAAGGAGTCCTAGAATTAGGGGAGTAACAACACGGGGAACTTACGAGAGAACGAAACGATCACGGTTGACCCAGTCGGGGTTCTGGGGGTTGAAGTTCATGAACTTGTTGAAGAGGACGTGAGAAACGGGAGCCATGCCCATAGGGGCACCGGGGTGACCGGAGTTGGCCTTGGAGGTGGCATCGACCTACAGACCATGATATTAGTATGATGTCAACCGCTCAATAACAAGGAATGGTCTTCTGCAATAGCCCCCATGTCTCAATGGGCGGGTCTTTGCTGTGGAAGAGGGTCAAGAGGGAATCAAGGCGCTGGGGCAGTAATTGCCATTTGGCGGTGATGAACCGCAAGGCATCCCATGGCAACCGGATCCAGAATACGGATGACGTTGGCAGAGCCAGAGCTTTGCAACGCCGCCCCATTTCTCTATCGAATACTCGAAGACCGGGGACGGGCAAATAGGAAGGGGATAGGAGAAGAGAGCATACCGCGAGAACACGGATCGTGTTGACAGCCAATGTATCCAAATCAGTGTAGCCCATGATTGCAGAGTCTAATGCGGGTGAAGGTTAGACAGCTAGCTTTCCACCTCAACGGTTGAGAAGGAGGAGGAGGAGGAGGAGGAGGGGACCTACTATTCCTGTTCTTCCTCGTAAATTAAGATTCAAGGGAAGAAGAGATGAAGAGGAATGAAGAATGAGAGAGGAGAGGAGATGAGGAGAGAGAAGAGAGAGAGAGAGAGAGAGAGAAAGGAAGAAAGAAGAAGAGGAGAGAGAGTAAAGGACGTGCTGGGATGGCAATGAATAATGATGGAGGGGTCCAGGACTCCCACTGATTGGGTGCAAGTGGGGGAGGAATGATGTCTTCCGGTGGGGCTGGAGATGCTCACCGGTCACTTTGCTCCTGATTTCATCTCTGTTGAGAAAATGAACTCTGGCAGAAAAGAAAATCAAAATCAAAATATCAAACCGGCACTAATAGGGCAATAATCCCCTTTCCTTCCTCACACCTTAGCCATTGAGGACTCCGTCTGACAGCGCATGCTTGCCCAACCGCATGCTATCCAATGCAGACAGTCGATCGGTTTCAATGAAACTTTCGGAGGATCCCCAAGCTCTGGCTGCCTCAGGAATCTACCCGTGCCCCTCTCCCCCGAATTCGGCAATCAACAATAACCACTTGAATGACGGAAGAGCTGGAAACGAAGGGCCTCCTGACCCAAGAGAACCCTAAAACCATTCATCCAAAAGGTCGTAATTATTAATACATCTATCTACAAGGCTTAATCCTCAGAAAAAGGCCCGATCATAGAGAAAGATACCGGATCTGATATTCGAAGTACTACTCCGCAAAAAAAAAAAAAAAAAAGGCCATCTACCCCTCCAAACCCCTCCTTCAGAAACTCTCATGCATAAAGCACCGACGTTATCAACCATTGACCTTTCAATGCAGATGACAGATCACGGATGCGTTGGCCCCTCTCGCGCATCTTCCACATGTAAAGGACATCGACTCCGTAATGCTTACCATAAGAATTCTAAAGAACCTAGACGGCGACGGACATTACCCAAAGTAATTCCCCATCCCCATAGAAAATAATAAGCCGGACCAGCGTAGTCCTGGCCGTCGTCCGAACAACACACACCGAAGTCTGGGTCCCGGACGACTATACTCCGATGGCACCCCCATGCGACCGTCCAGAATTTTCTTTTACTTTGCTGAATATAGTATTTTTCCGCTTGTCTTTGGAGGTCAATTAATCCGAGAGGGAGGGGGGCTTTCAGACATTTTTTTTAATAACAAAAGATTCCAGGGACATTGGTGGTTTTCCTCAGGGTGCTCACTAGTACTTCGGTACAGACTCTACTGCTGTGCTCCGTATGTCTGTACAAAAATACTGTACAGCAATATATACACTTTGCGAAAGCCATTGGACGTCATATGCGGGTAGACATGGATCTCATCAGCAACTAGAAAACACATCCCTGGTTAGAGTTATACACCGAGATGTTCTCGTCCCCAGGTCCTCAAAAAGTTATGGAACCACCAAATCGGATTGCCAGCAACGGCTTCCCCAATCAGGCCAACCCGATAGCTGTACATTAAGTTGATGCTACAAGGGATGACATGTATGTACCTAGTGGCAGCCAGTAGTACACCCCGAAGTACACAGTAGGTCGCTGAGAAGGTCGAGTGGTCCTGAAACGTCGTCTAGGACCACATCATGATTCGGAGAGGATAGAGCCGGCCTTCGTTTCATCACCATGTTTCATGTGCTGAACTCCGGTCGTGCCCGACTTCTGTATGCATGACACGTCGCGTTTCCATATGCGACAGGCTACAGCAACTGAAATATCTTGGACAACCCCGCATTCAATCCTTAAGAGACGCCCTCCAACAGGAAGGACTACCGCAAGGCACGATATCAATGAGCATCACGTTCATTATTCGCTAAAAACAAAATCGGCTGGCGGATACATGGGAACCGGCACACTGTACGTAACAGAATCATCCAAAGACAAAACCATATACTATCAAACATTACACAAAGCATCTCACAAGTGCCTCGTTACAAACGAGATCTCGTGGGTAAGCCTAGTCATACCATACATACATAGCCCATAACTCCATACAAATCTCCAGGTATCAAGGGGAAAACATCTGTGCGTACGCCACCCAAACAACTTTAATCAAGCGATATGGAACTCCATAAGCCAAAACGACGGTTTATATGATTGAAAGCAAATCAGGCGGCCAGCCGCCGATCCCACCCGTTCATCAGTCCAAACTCAGTGACCTCGTCCTCCGTAGCCGGAATCACAACGCCCCGGAAGGGATCCAATAGATTGGCCTGCTCTTCCGGGGATAACCGGAGGTCGTTGTAGGGTACCGCCTCTTCCGTACTGCCCATGCTTTCATCCGAGTAACTCAGGACGCTCTGTGCCGCCATCTCCCGAGTGGGGGCCACATCGCTATTGCTGCTAGAAGACCAAGCTTCGGGGGACAGTCCCTGGAGGTCATTGTGGGATCCCGGCAACGGCCCTGCCATTGAGTCGGGCTTCGGTGCATATTCGGCCGTCAGGGATGCGAAAGGTCCAGCGTCATCACCACACTCCTTGCCGCCATAGATTCCGGTGAAAATGTTAGAATAACCTCGGTCCATATCACTTAGAACGAACTCCCAATCGGACATCGTGATAGCTCCGTGGGCAACATCCGAGGGTACAGAGCTGGAAAGCATATGGCCTTGATCGTATCCCAAAGGATGAGACGGGTAGTACATCTTGTCTCCAGGTAAGCGCAGGTCATCGGGGGTAGGAAGGCTGGCCCAACTAGAAGACCGTATCTGACGCTGGGCAATATGAGGGCTGGCGCCGGAGATAGTGTTCCTGCGCGATGGCGAGTCTTGCTTTGCAGGCTGGCCGAAGCCGGCGCTAGCAGCCAAGCGGGACTTCAAGGCTTGCAGTTGCTTTTTAGGAGATCTCGACGACTTCTGCTCAGGGGGTGACATTTCACAGGGCTTATCGGATGTTGCACGTTTGCCACCATCCAGTGAGACCAGCGCACTAGCCAGCGTACTGAATTCTGCGGCAGCAACAGGGGACTCTGATTCCAATTGATCTATGATCGCAGTAAGCAGCTTCTGGCTTTCCTTGATAAGCTTGCTGTCTCGTTTGAGGCCGATACTTTGCCACAGAAGCCCGAGACCGGAAGAGAAAACCAACTCTCTTCGGTTGATGCTGAGCGAAAGGCAAAGGCGCCTCTCATCCAGGAGTTCAAGAATTTGAATGATGCGCTTGCTGCAATCAGAGACGGTGAGCGCAGACGAAGAACGGATCTGTTCTTCGCCGAAGCAGACAGCCGGGCGATGGATTAATGAACGAATGAGGTAGTAAACGAGAGACTAGGCGAGATTGTTAGCAAGTGTCAAGTAATTTGAATGTAATGCGCATCAAAACTTACCAAAAGTGGCGACCGGCTACTCGTAACATTCGTACTAGGCTTATCCTGCGAGAACTCTAGACGGAGGTGAGGAGGTAAGTTCTTCACCCATCCGTCTAGTTGTCCTGCAACCGAACGCAACTTCGAGATAGGAATTTCGTACCCTCCATCAGAGGGATACAGATCTTCCAAAGCCTTGTTCAAAACTCTGCATGCCGCAAACAATGCGATCGCGCTAGAGATGCGAGTGGACTCGCCAGGAAGAGTAGGCAGGAAACCTGTCTCGGTGACATTCTCATCATCAATATCCTCTGGGTACTCTGTACGGATATCTTCCTCGCGCAGTAGAACAGGCAATCCAGTTAAAGCAGCAGCGAAGCTGTAACCATGTCAGAGAAGAAAATTTCCTAAGCATGCGGAGTACTTACCGGTCGACAACATATTGGCACCAAAACACCTTTTTCCGTGTCTCAGCAGTCAGAGCGTTCGAAGAGAAGCGTTTCTGGCTCTGGTGAAGTCTCAACTGATGGCAAATACTGACGGCAGAGCCACGGTAACGTAGAAGGCCGGTATAATCGCCCTTGGTCATGCAGTACATCTGAGCCAAAACATAGCATTGCAGGGTTGAGACGGACACATCGCCTGAGAGCGATTCAAGGACTGGAGACCAGTTGTCCTCGAAGAATGTTGGGTCCTGGTTGGTTCTTGTCTGTCGATTCACATTAGCTTTGAAAAATCGTAAAAGTATCGTTGTTGCAAACTTGACTTACGGTTGACGCAAGAGCAGCGATGCCAAATATCAAGTTCAACTGCGCCATATCATGTTTACTACCTTGCAGTGTTTCTGTATTTGACAGGTACTGCTCGTAGGCTTTAAGGATAGTGGGCCTGTGAACAACCGGGTAAAGAGGAGCCCACTCTTGGAAGAAAATATTAATCAGTTGATCAGACACAAGTCGCGGCGCGGTCTTGATGACCTGGTCCGTACGAGAGGCAGAAATTGGGGCAGGCGAGGTAGTCAAAGCCTTAGTCGAGACATTCGGTGGCAATCGGCCCTGATCCATAAGTCTAGTGGTGAAGATGCCTACCTTGAATTAGCTGCCCTGTACCCTTTCAGACCTACCACTTTCAAAGAATGAACTTACCACTAAAACCACGAATATTTGCAATTCCGAATTCGACATTGGATGGGTCACCTAACGATAACGGTTCCTGGACCTGGATGACACCTTCATTCGTGTCGGGCGCGCCTGACTTGACCGACTCAGACGACGACCGTACAGAGGCAGCCGCCCTTTGCTGTGAAGAGGGAGAGAAAGAATGTATCCGAGATAGTACGTCGATCTTCTCATCCTTTTCATCTAACAAGTTCTTCAGATCCCTCACTTCCGCCTCTAAAGCTCGCACTCGTTCCTCTAACGACTCAGTGTACCCACGGGGAAAAGCGCGGCGACTGAGTTTGTCGCTCGTTTTACATTCGAAACCGACATTGGCGCATTGCGTACAGCATGGACGGACACCATCACAGCGAATCTTCTTGCTTCTGCATCGATCACAGGCCTGGGCGATACGGCTTTGGGCGCCGTTGCCAACCTTGATCACTTTCATGGGAAGAATTCCAGGCATGTTGGCTGGATGCTCTTAGCATCTGCCGCCAAAAGGACTAGTCCTTGGCTCTCGGGTGCGGTTCACACGGTGAGGATTCGATTCAACACTTGGGTGAGCTGAGATGTACACTCAAGTGATATTATGTAGTAGTAGTAGTGGGCTCGGCAGGGTCGAAAGTATGGAGCCGACTGATTTGGTGGGAAAGGATAGTCGATCGTAGTGTATGTAACGTTGTAGTACTCCGTACTAGTAGAAGAACAAAGGGTCGAGATATGGGGAGCGGAGTCTCTTGATAAGGAGGTATTGTTAAATGTAAGAAAGGTGGCGGTTCGCAGCCGAGGAGACGATGATAAGAATGGGGAAGGGAAGGGAGAGAGCATAAGCGTGTGTTGGGAAAGGCCAACCACAAGGATCTTTTTCGATGTCCGTCCGCGGTTCTCCGTACGGCAGGTGTATTGGCAGGATTACCAACGCAGGTGCGGGTGACGGATGTAGGCTCAAAGGGGTGTGGCTGTGGGGTATTCCAGTGGGGCTCCGTCTAGACTTTCCGCCAATCATCACTTCCAGCTGACGATTTTCAATTGCTCACCCGACACTCGACAGCCATCGATTCGCGGTGGGTTTCGAGGGAACATCCGTAATACCATTACGCTCACTCTAAGTTCGTGTTAACAGAGTTAAAGTTCAATGAAATTCATACTAAATTATTTGACTTCCAGCCCGAACCCTCAGCATATCTTTGGTCACTGTTCTTCATGCGTGTGTGTGCGTGCGTTTATTGAGAATAATTAACTTATATGAAGTATGAAACTTAGGGATATTAAATCCCAGGGATTATCCCGTGTCCAGCACTGGCGAAGGACTAGATACAGTAGTATATCACCGGTGAGAGTTGCTGAACAGTCAGTGATTGGCCTTTGTTCGCACGAGGAGACTAGCAGGGAAATTTTTGTCGCAGCAACCAACAGGGGAAGGCCCAAAGGCAGCGTATTCCTGAGATTTAGACTCAAAAAATCCTTCACTCCGTCCTCCACTCCTGTTAGGCCATCAGATGAAACGTTCTTATCCTTTGAGGCTAAATAAGCCATTCACCCATTATTCTTTTTGATCAGCCCAAAGCAACTACCGCCACGGATTGAGAGTCCTAGACAGGAGGGTTCTTTTTCACCGAGTAAACCCTACCTGTAGACCCAGAGAGCACCCAAGTGGGCTGCATAGTGTATTAATGATCTCCCCGTTATTGCCGATCGTCATGACTCCAACCCCGAGAGAAGCTTCTCCCAAACATCCCCTTCGAACAAGTCAGCAACGAAGATCCCGAGTTCGATCAACCAGCCTTGATTCAATCATTGACGTTAACTCCCCGCAATCCCGGGCCTACCTTCAACCACTGAGAAGCCGATATTGAGGCAAGAGCCGTAGAACAAGAGAGTCCCGAAGCGCGCGGTTCTCACCCTGGAAACCCTAATCATAGAGAGCCAAAAAGACAGACAGGAAGGATAAAATACCGGCTAACAAGCCGCTCACTTGTTCCCGATTGCCTGGGCTTCTCCGCATCCTTCACCACGGTTGAGGGCACCCGTGGAATTCGTTTGGAACCGCCGGTTTTTATTCGGGTTGAAGCTTCCGCGGTCTTCCTTGCGTCTCACTGACGAGTCCGAGTACACTGAACCAGAGTCCAACCTCTCAGCCACCCGCCGAAAATATACCGGGAACCTTTTGAATTCAAAACGCCATGCGAGCTCACTAGGGCTCAGTTTAGTTTAACTCTTAAATTAAGCCCTCCAGTCAGATCTCTAAGGGCCTTGATTCTCGTAATCAACATCGTGTCATGCCATTCCCCATCCGTTCACAACGGGAGAAAAACGCGGGGGATTCTCAGGAAACTTTGCACCGGCTTAGTCTCTGCCATTGTGATTGATTGGAATTTTAAGAATAGCCTTGGTTCGGGATCTTATGCGGTGTTTCTGTTCCGTCCTTACATAGTTAGCTTCCCCTAGAAGCAGGATCGAGGGTACAGACTACGGTAAACTACGGCTAGCATTTCACTGGGGGAGATGAATGCCTACTGTGGAGAATGGCTGATTCCAAAAGGTCCCTAAAATAAAACGTCAGAGTTGACCGGTTCACCGAATGAGCTCTTAGGTATTATGTTCACAATTTTCAGACAGTCAAAAGGCCTCTTTGGAGACTGGAGAATCAATCCTTTTGGGGTAGAATCCGAGAGTTTCCCGAGAAAACAGCAGATGTGGACCTAGGGCTTCCGAAAGGGGTTTGCTCTTTGTTTTTTCGTTTTAGATCTGCTCCATTTAATTTGAAGGACCTCGAACTATTACGGGTCCGGGGATGACGGAGCCGCCAGATTACCGAGTGGCCAATTATAGTCATGAATGGAGGGATTGTTTCTCAACAAATGCCTGATGCACTATTATTATCGCTGCCGCATTAGACGAAAGATTCAAGTCATCATACATGCCTGATACAATGGTTTCGCTCGTTTCCGCAATGGGTGTAGAGCCCTGCATATAGTATTTGACGCTAAGGCATTATTAGACTTAAAATAAGGCGGATTATGTTTTCATGGTCAAGGCTCTTGATTTAGGCTGACTCTCCAGTCAACTCGAAGAAAGGGTCACCAGAGATGTACTATACATCTAGTTGACGCACGATTAGCTCATGTTATCCATGAAACTGGCACACGGCTACATCCTACTAGTAGTAGTGACACACCACATGGCGACTGGAAGAAGGCCCCAATCAAGAGTCAAATAAGAATATCCCCCTGGGGCTAAGGACATGTGCGGAATCCTGGTCCGACTGGTCCGCATCACGTCATAGAATTTAATAAACGCAGTGCAAAAGGATTCGCCTCTGGCCGGCTGGCACGATCTCGACCCGTAGGGTAGCCATGAACTTGGAACTCCGCCAACTCTTTCTGTTGCCTTACCCCAACTGGGGTTTCCCCACAATCCACGTTCATTTTAATTGAATGATCGACCTTCCGCAGTGGATAATGCGAAACTCAAACAGGCCCCGGTTTCGGTATGGATTAAACGATGCGAACAGTGATCGATACTGTGTAACAACGTAGCATAGCCAATGACTCCAAGCACAGTGGCGGATTGGATGAAATGACCTCGTATCTTGAAGCCATATACATGGATTGATGATCACGAGAAATCCTCTTCGACATCATCGGACTGTTGCTGGGTGAGATATGCGGCGACCGCCTCACTCGCCATCAGATCCTGTCTCTATGGGATGGATGATGGTCAGTGTCCGCCCAATATGGCCCACAGAGCCAACTAGATTACATCACTTACCTGCTGAGCTAAATCCTCGATTCCTTTCTCCAACAGCTTCCCCTCCAACACACGCAGACTGTTAATTGTATTATACACCTCAGGCCTGAAGAGAGCAAGCATATCCTCATTGTGATTGATCTCCTCAACCATAATCTGAGTTTCTCGGAGAATGAGAAAGTGAGATTCTAGTCGATCCAGTACAGTCACCACTGCTCGAAGCTGGAAGATATCCCAGAGAGGGTCATTTACCAAGAAGGCTTTAAGGTCATCGGGATCTCTGATCTCCTCGCCTTTCCAACTGACCTTGAGTTCTCTACCCCCATCATTGGTTTGTAGTACTTCAAATTCAAGCCCGTCCTCTTGATTCACGCAAAGCCACCAGACAAACGGACTATCCCAATTAGTGCTGACCCTTTCCGCCGTAAGAGAATCAAATAACCGAAGTCCCGGCGGTGCCTTGCAAACTCGTTTCTTGGCCATGATCAATGGATCGTCTTCGGGAATATCCAGATTGAGAAATATCTGCGTTGCGCTGTTTCTCTCTTTATCGAGGAATCCATACGAGAATATCATCTCCGATGCTGGTTTGTCGTCCCCGTACCTGTGAATCACCATCACTATGAGTCGTGCTGCTCCGATGAGAGTTAACATCAAAACTCACGATATAGTAACTTCCTCATCGGAATGAAGTTTCCGCCCCGATCGTAGCTGAAGTACCGCATTGCCTTCCGTGTCTTCGTCGTATAAAGCGTTCACAATGTCCTCAGATGCATGGTTAGCCATGTCAATGCATGGAACCATTGCATGGCCAGAGCTTGGCAAGTCCACCATACGCGATCGATACATAGCATCGACGTATTTCCAGTCATCCAACGTAAATTTCCCTATATCCTCATCCCACCAATGCTTACGACACCAGGATATACTCTCAGTTGATTGGCGTAAGAGTTCGAATTCATTCTCAAGTGAGGCGATCTTTGCATCCACAGCCAACTTCAGAGATGTACCCCGCAGGAGCTCCCGCTCCTCCACTGTGTAGAACGTAGGTAGCGTTATTGAAGACGGCAAATACTGTATATATTCGGTCCAAGGGTTGGACACCCCAATGCGATGGTGTTCATCCGCGAAATCCGGACTAGAATATGTGATCTGGAGGATCAAGAAGATTAAAATCGCACCCCTGGCTGTCTGTTCATATCAGCCCATGCCCTCAACACAAAATTCCCATTAAGCTCCCTGTAAATCCGCAAGGTCTAGCTAAAAGATAGACGGAGACATACTCTTCCGAAATCGCCGACGGCATCTAGTACCTCGCGCAGATACCGATCAGACTTGGCGTGGTTTTCAACCAACCTGAGCGACAGAATCAAGTCAGAGGGAACCCGAAGGAGAGTCTCTGCGTCTGCTTCTCCGGTCTCTGAGCTCTCATTGCACTTCTCTCCTGTCGCAATTATCGCGCATCCCTTGTCTATACCTTCTTCGGTTCGCAACTTGCGGAAAGTGGCCCCATCGACGGAGATGCCATTGAGCCTCGTCCAAGCAGAAAGTGTCTCAATCGGGAGGTATTCGCGTTTCATATTCCCTCTGGTTCGGATTTTATCGCCGATAGACGTGTATTCATACGCTTGGGAGAGTATGAGAGTCCACTCGAAGTCCCCACCGTTAAGTTGCTGTTTCCTTATCGATAAGAAAAGCGGCATCAAATTGGAGCCCTAAGCCCTGTTTTCCTGAAGCAGGTGGTCAAAAGTACAATTGCAGCATGTAGACGTCATAAGACTGGGAGTCTAGGTGATGCACTCTAAAACCAGGCTTTACAAAATGTAGACTCTCCATTTGTTTAAATATATACTCTTCGCAGATATGTGTGCCATACATAAGAAATATTGCTTTTGTACAACATAATTTTCTTGAGAAGCCCAGTCCCAGTCATAAATCACAAAAGCAAGATGCCAAGCAGCTCACGGCTCCCTCCTCCAACTTCAAAGCTGCATCATTTGCTCACGCCACGGCCGCCACGTCTCTGCTTACTTCCGCTTTGTTCCGTGTGGCAGCCAGCAGCGTTCCACACGCCCGGAAGCGTGCGGGTTCGCCTAAACAGCGGCATCACGCAAGATTGGAAAGGAACATCAACAGACGACCATGCTGTGGACAGAAGCAAGAAGAATGATAACACAGATCCAGCTGTCGAGGGGGCTTCTTCTGGTATGAAGGACAGGGAAGAATATGAGGGAGTAGCTCGAAGTGATAAGCCTCAGGCGGCAACGGAGAGAGAAGGGTTAAAGCATTGGAAGAAGGCCAAGGAGGAGCATCCTAAGGCACCTGAACCGATAATTGGAATGAATGATGAAAGAGCCCAGGTATGTTTTCAAACCTTCACGCTAGTAGAAATAAGCTAGGACATTCCTGGGACAAGGAGTTGTTCTTCCCCCCCTTCAAGACCAGGTGACTGACTATTGATATCTTTAACAGAAGGGTCATTAACTCATTGATCTGAAAGTTGGGTTGCTTTGCTGCTTCATTCACTTCGGCTATGTACTTTGGATAACCACCATAAGCGTTGTATTGTTCGTTCCCAGTCATATTAACTGTATATAAATTGAATTGTGAGATCTATCGGCCAGGCTTGAAGGATAGCACCTAAAAATGAGGGATGCGGGTTAGCGACCGATATTGACATAATTGTTGAAGTTAGCACCTACATCATGTTTTCCTACTTGCACAATTTCATCTTCCGAGACGCGGATACCACCAACACCCTCGATGTAGGAGATCGGTATATCGCCCATGACCTTGTTAGCAACGTCGCCAACCGTAGTGCCCCTACTCGGTGTCAGATGGATTAATGGGATGGGGTATTTGCAATCGGCATTACTTACTTCTTAACCAGGACACAATCGCGGAATGCTGCATCACTTCCGGCTCCTGATGCAAAAGTGTGTACGTTCCTCACTGGGAAGACTGGCACCAGACCCAGGAGCTCTGCGGCACGCGAAAGACATTGCACAACTCCAGTTGAGCCAAAACGATAAAGTACCATGTCTTTCAAATTTTCGACACGGCTAATGTGATGCTCATGTTAGTAAGACGGATATTTCGCAAATACTAGAGTGACGTACGTCTTCAACTTCTCATCCATCTCCTTTAAGCCACCGCCGTCTGTTTCGCCCATGTCTATGAGGTCTTCTCGCGTATCTAGAAATTCGCTTCCTTCAACGTATTTGATGTAATTTTGTTTCGCTAACCTCCGAAGGAACACTTCTGATATTGCGGAGCAGAGAACAATGGACTGAGGTCCTGCATTTTGGCGATTTTGCTGATATTCTAAAGCCACTCTCGTCAGCGTCGATCCAAAGCCAAACGGTAGTGCTGACAAACCTTGTCTGCGTCGGGATGATCGATTTTATTTAAAGCATAGACTGTGGGGAATTTTTCATCGATAAAAGCCTTAACAACCTTCTCAACCGTCTCATCAGACCAGTTTTCAAGCGGCTCCTTCAAGCCTATCCGATCTAAGCAGCGTGCAACAATCGTTGACGTACTTCCATAACCGGAGAACTGCCCCTGTAAGGTGTCCACGGCCGTCGCCTCTATTGTAAGTGTCAGTATGCAACAACTAAGGAAGTCCTATCGACTGACTTATGGCCATATGTCTCCTCTTGATGGATCCCCTACAAGAATCATCAGCAGTGACAGCTTAGGTTCAGAAGCGTGTTGGTTTACCATCTTTGCATCAAATTTCCTAAGACCCAGCGCACAATCTCGGAATGTAACCATTCAATATCTTGTGAAGGATCGTAACCTCGAGTTGCTTTCCCTGAAATGCAAATAGACCTGTTAGCCAATACGTTTTCTTGCGCTCACGAAACAGCAGCGTTTGCGAAACCGCGATATATCCTGACCTTCTGCATCTGTGGTTCCGCTAACATCAACCACGTGGATCAAGGCATCTGCATGACGCAAATCATCCAAGAACTTGTTGCCCAGCCCTCGGCCTTGATGCGCGCCTGGAACGAGACCTGCAACATCCAAGAGCTCAATGGGAACAGAGCGTCTTCCTTCTATACAGCCTCCATAATTCGGTTTGCACTTATCCGACACACCATATCGCTGGCATGCACATTCTATTTGGAGATAGCCAATGGCGCGCTGAGGATCGATTGTAGTGAAACTGAAGATCACTGATTAGACGTCTTCGGACAGCGAGATGTGTATTTTTGGGGTTTGCGTAATGGAGCGAGATGACGGAGCTGCATTCTGGTTTTACTTACGGGAAGTTCCCTACATATAGAAAATGTCCCGGTCAATGCACATATACGTTGGCTACACAGCTAACAAAGATAACCTTACCAACTTTCGAAGTAGCGTCTGTCAAACTATTCAGCGTTGTCGATTTTCCGCTGGATGGCTACATGCCCCTCATTTCAGTCAGCGGCGTATCTTCCGAGATAACGAAGAGTAGTAGCAGACCTTTCCAACCAACCCAATCAATGGATCCCTAGGCATACTAGCAGATATCTGAGTAACAAAACGTACAATTAAGAAACACCACGACAGAATAAGAGTCTATTCCTGTCTAACAACATGTAACCAAAAAAATCATTTCGCTGGTAGCGGGGAACTGGTGGTCAGTTCCGGCGGCATCTTGTAACGGAAGGCGGTCTACCCTGAACCCTTTATGTCCTAAGGCAGGCTAGCGTCAGTTGTAGCGCGTTGAAACCATTTACTGATTTTCCTTTATCAATCTTAACATTTATCATACATGTGAATAGTGGTTGCTCTCAACTACCTGGTGGTAATTCATGTACTACTGAAACAATGGGACACAGCATGTGGCGATGTATGCAGTTTATTCAAGAAAATACACCGTGTTCAAAGATTCAAGGGCGCATTTGCACAACATAGAGAAGTATATTTATTTGCTGTGGTGGTTCTAAATTAACTAGGCCTACCGTGTTGCACTCGTAAGTCATGGTCGTTTATGGACTTTTCTCTAAAACAACAGTACAATTACCCTTTGGTTTAATGATTATAGTCTGGCTATTATAATAAGAAAGACCCTTCATATACATACAATGATATCCTTCCCAGTATACTATATAGGACACTTCCGGCACTTTTCTCCTGTCGTCATAGGCTTCAAGGGATTACAGTGATGAATATAGATTATGGCATCACAGAGAATTTGTGGGTAGACAGTCTGGTTCTGCACGGCATTTCCTTGCAATTTGTGCACTACTCAATCAACAGTTGCTTACACACTACTGGGGCCCGCTTACTCTTCTGCCATCTTGTTGCAGCTCTTCTTTATGCCTCAAACGACAGCACATCACGACTCCCATATCTGTATTTGATTGCTCCAAGGATTCCTCATGCAGCAACGTAAGACCAAGTCCAAATTAAACGATGTGGTACAAGTGCTTAGGTTCAGTCACTCAGTACTGAATGAGTCGAAGCCATTGGGAATTCTATCTGAATGATCAGGTGATACGGGAGTTTCAGGAATGTGGCAGCTCCGAAGGGAGCACACGTAACACTCTAACAACCGAAGAAATGGAACAAGAGATGAAGCCCGTATTTATGTCAGTTCATCTGTCACCCCTCAAGAAGTCCTGGGAAGCCTCAATCTACACATCTATATAGCCATCACTGAACTACAAGCGGATCTCCAGAGACCTACCTTGTCTATTTTCGAGTACTAATAATCTGTGGGCCTTGCATTTACCAGCAGAAATCACTATAATTCACTGATATGGAGGCAATATTAGCCGATTTCGCCATGCATTCAATTCTAATATCGCTTTTCTTTAGCACCCTGGCTGCTACTGCGGCAATTGGTAACGGATACCCTGTGCATCGGCATGGATAATGTGCTTATTGTAGCTAGACAATACCGAACCGGCCAACCAGATGGGAAGCCCAACTGGAACAGATCCCATACCTTCACAAGGAGACTGCCTCTGGAGCGGAACTGCAACCTTCTGTGCGGGAAGTTGTGATCATGCCACTGACTGGGATTGCGGTATGTCGAGTTGTGGTGATGGTGCATGCTGCTGGGTAGGCATCAGGAGACATTGCTGCCACAAGTCCGCTTCTCCGAGCGACTGCCCAACTGGTGGATCAACAACCATCATATTTTAGATGTCCTGGGTATATTCACGGGCGATCTACAGTCTGTGTACTAGCTCATGATGCCAATAAGCGATGTAGACTTGAAGATCTAGTTTGGTCTGAGATAAATTTGACAACTTGAGTCCTGTTATATTGTGTCAATTTTCTCGATATGTGAGTCTCAATGTATGACTTTGGTGTCCTGCAGCAGCGAGACGAGTTTATTCTCAACATAATCTGTGGTATACGCAGTACCTGTGAGCATTTTGGGTTGAACCATTACACATCAGTATCTAGAATCAACCGCGTAAGTCTCGGTACACTACGTTTACCTCTTTGGTCCTCCAGGGCTCCAACTCTGGTGTATGCTTCATGATTAATGATCTCATACGTGAAAAGCTTTGATGTTCTGTCTAGAAAGGCCTAGATATTTTACCCCTGTTCAACCTTATTACCCGAGTTATGATCATGTGCACAGTATGTACATGAGGAAATGCGTCATAGCAGCCCATATTTACTGGATGAGTGATGAAAGAGACCCATCGGAGCATTCTTTGAATTAGAGAAGGACGGACACACGATGACCTGCCACTCTAGGCCTAGGCTTACTACGCAGTACCACAAAAATTAAAAACAGAATTCATTGAACTTACGAATCAATCTCTAAGACGAACTTCCAGGTTACATCGTATGAAGTCAGGGCGCACCCGGTGACGATCGCTAAAGTACAATTGGGAAGCCACCAAGAGTCCATTGAATCGATTTCCGATTTGATCTCACCGCAAGGCATTTGATTAGATCATAGAATACCCAAATTATGTATTCGAGTCCCAGGGTTCGGGATTTTCTCGCCGTGCTGTTCCCGGTGTGGGTTTTTGCTTCATCCAGGGCCTGGATATCGGTTATGTCGTCATAGGTGTAACAACGTCACCAGCCTGCATATCATACACCCAACAACAAACATTTAAGAAACAGGAGATCCTCTTGGAAATGTAATTCTTTTAATCAGAATCAGAATCAGAATACTCTCTCAATTACTTTTCCAATCAACCACCTTCAATACCTTTTCAACCAAAGCCACTTCCTATACTTCTTCACACAAAAATGTCTGACCAAACCTTCCACACCACTACTCAGGACATCCGCAAGCCTGAATCCAAGATCTCCCAAGCCCACCAGGGAAACACCCCTAAGAACTCAGATGTCTCGGCTATGAAGGTAAGTTGGGAATTCAGAGGTTATCATGTTGCGAACCCCCGACTAATCGCTCCATAGTCCTTCCTCAGCGAGAACATCGACAAGAAGCAGCAGATTGAACAGACTAAATCCAATCTGCCTCTACCTGATCAGCCACCAGTCGCTAGTGACTGGAATTCCTTAGACCAGAGGACCGTCAACGTTGGCTCTGGTCGTCACGAGGGACCTGTGTCTGGCGAGGGCAACAGCGCTCTGAGAGAGCCCGCAACCGCTAGCAGCAGTGTCCGTCAAGATGGAGCGGAGTTGCACAAGCAAACTCAGCCACTGGGTAACGTTGGGCGCCAGGGGAAGGACAATCTGAGTGATCTTCCCAAAGATGCTCTGGCACGGTAATTTATGATTTTGAGAGTTTGATGGATACCGGTATATGGGCTTTATACATCATGAGCGCCATGATTTTGTAATTTAGTAGCTATTAATGCATAACAGTACATGAAAAGTATTTCCCAGATGAATTTGGTCATTCTTTCCGTAAATATCAAAATCGTAGTTATGTACGCCCAAGATTGCGCATAAATGCTAAACTAGCCTGGCTCAACACTGAACGGACATTTAAGATATTGCCATACCACGGCATGGCTTGGATGCCTCTTTGTTTAGGCTCTCTTACACTTTCGTCGATGCATTACAGCTACATCGTTACTTTTGAAAGTTGATACTCAGCAAATGTCACATGACCCCAGGGGTGTGACTGCGAATCGGGTTAATCAAAAAGTTTAAAGGGAAATTCTATTTCAACCACCCAACATCCATGACTTCGAAACTGATGTATTAGCTCGTCGATTACTTTTCTCTCATGATATGAAACGTAGGAAGTTGCTCTACTGTCGTCTCGGGATATGGTGGTATCATACCCCCTTTGTTAGTATCCATACAAGGTGGGTTGGTGGCAGTGACGATGACGTCACAGCACCATGTTGCTACGCCATGGACCAGTAACATTATTACCACAGGGATGACATTCATCCAGCATTCGTTAACGCAATCGAGAAGACCATGGAAGCCACACCAAACCCGGTAGTAGGGCGTGTGGAGAGCCGACCCTGTCCGGTTACATGATACCATAGGTAGTAGGAGGGCCATCTGGATGGAGACGGTCCTTTCCGACGAGATTCTGGACACTACGATCCTGGACAAAGTGGGCTCTTTCTTTCTTGTCATCGAGCTAGATCGCCACTAAAAGGGTCTCAAATTTCGGGATTCGTGCTCGTTGACGTACCTGTTGGCCGTCCGCTGGGGGCTCGGATTTTACCGTCAGAGTGACATCATTTAGGGCGATGATCTGGATATCATAGTTGATGGCAGGAGAATCCAATCTTATATAGCATTGCCATCGTACGGCTCAGTCTGTCTACATCAGATCATTCAAAAGAGAAATCCACGATACTACGAACTTCCAACTGTGCGAACAATTCCGATCTATAGCTCTCGAACTTTTCGCATTTTTCACATACATTTATCATCATGGATCTTCAAGGACAACCCATCGGTCAAGGCCCTCGCAGCACCAAGGTATGTTTACAAGCCCAAAACATATGCGGAAAGCCGTGGCTAACAGCTCCCAGGTCACCACTGACCCTGAAGCCTACCGCAACCCCATCCAGGAATCCTCTGGACCAGTGTCCGGAGACTCTCTCGCCGCCGAATCTGCCACCAAAGGTGGTTTATACTCTCAAAACCGTGGTGCCCAACCTCTCGGGGTGGCTGGCCAGCAGTCTACCCTGAATACTAAGGACACATCCGCTGCCTCCGAGCTGCCATCAGCTCCAGTTGGTGCTGCTCGTGAGAACCTTGACAGACAGGAGAAATACCCCGAAGGTCTCGGTGGCCAAGGTGACTTCCCTGGTACCCATCTTTCAACCTCCGGCTACGTTGGTGGCCCTACTGGTTCCAAGCAGCAGCAAGGAACCAAACAACAGTCCAATGCCTCTCAGAACCAGCAGCGTGGCACCGCCAATGCTAGCGGCAGCGGTTACCAGACCCGGTCCAAGACTGGCACTGCACCATCATATGCCGAGGATGTGGTCGGCGACTTCAGTAGCAAGAAGCCCCACGGCAAGAACTTGCAAGAGGGCGGTTTCGATGACAGCAACAACGCGAGCTTCACCACCGATATTGGCGGTGAGAACGACCCTGGCCGTCTCGCTACGAAGGGCTTGCAGCATAAGCAGGCAGAATCCGGACCTACCGCCACACCGGCTGGCCGCGAGCAGAAGGGCGTCGACAACCAGCACTGGTACCAGCCTCTGCAGTCTGACCAGCGCGCTTAATTGAACGATTATGACGGACGGAATGAAAAGCTCTTGAGCGGGTATCTCGTGTTATTTTCATCTTCAGCCTGCAGAAACGGCCATGTATTATAGATAATATGAAACAAACCTGAGACCAACCTTCCTACCAAAATAGAGTTAGAATTCCCCGATTCACGAACAACTCAGCTTTATTATCTTTGGCATGACAAGTACAAGTCTAATTGCTCTTCTACGACGGCAATCGTTTCTTAATATGTCAAAACTGAATGATTGACGCGGAGATGGACCTCCCAACTCCAATCTTCAAGTGGCTCTCTAAAGCGGTAAAGTATTACCGCATCAAATGAGTAAGACGGTATATTTTACTGCATTAAATGAGAAAAGACAGTAAAAGTTCACCGCATTAAATGAGACAGACGGTAACGTATCGGAATCGGACTAGTCGATTATCCGGAGCTTCAAATAAAGGAAAACCTATGTTGAAACTCATAGCGGGGCCCAGCCAATAGATATAATCGGACAATCTAATAGTGCGTTTGGTGTTGGTAAACGCGGTAAATACATGCATCGTCTGAGGTTATTTACCCATCCTTCTATCAAGAAGGGTGTTAATCCCACCTCTGGGAATGACCCAGATTTGTATCCCCACAAGAACAGTTCCATTTAGCTAGATCGATCCACTGATAATTGGCCTTCGCATGGAAAGACCGGTATTCTATTATCCTTTCTTCATAGGGATCTAATGATCGCGTGTTGGGGTGTCGTGATGGATGATTCGTTAGTTCCTATCCGTTGCTGCTGATAGACACTTATTTTATGGAATTGACGGGGTGGAGAGGGTTGCTGGTTCCGGTAGGTTGCTTCTGCAATGATCTTTAAGAAGAGAGAAGGGTGTGTATTTGTTTAAAGGGTCTTCAATATGGATTTACGGATTTATACGTTCGTGTGCAAGGTTTATGTATGAATTAACGGGGTCGTTAGCTGTTCCCTATGTATATGCTAGTGAGGAAATCCTGACATCTAGGATAAATAGTGGTTAAAGTTTGGACTAGAAGTTCCACTGCTTCAACCAGTTTGTCATCAATTCAGTCGAGATCGGTCTCATCGACTTCATGGTAATGCTCGCCTCTTTTGTCTTTTCCACTTCCGTGGGGGCTGACAATGCTCCTTCACCTTCCACTAGTCCTTGGTAAAAGTTAAGTAGCTTCAATGCGGGCTTCGCCGTAACTTCTGCTGGTGATGGGTTGGTGATGTTCTCCAACTCATTGACCCATTCGCACATCTCAATTCGCTGGACATCGTAACGCTCCTGAATCGCAGGCAGAAGGCTTTCCCACGAAGTCGCCGATGGGTTAACTAAGTGAAATACAGAACAGGCGGGATCCGTCTGGCTTGTGCTACGCGTCTGGACAAGCTCCATGATGATAGCAGCAAGTGTGTCCTATCCAGTCGTCAGCCGAGAATTTCAGGTAGAGAGATTGTATCGCAACTTACCACTGGAGTCCACTCTACTGGCATTGATCCTAAGGTGCGAGGGATCTTGCCCATAGCCTTTGATGTAGCAACGATAAGCGGTAGCCATTCCTGCCTATTCCACATGCCATTTTCTGTCGTTGGACCAGCGATCTGCCCCAGGCGTAAAAGCGTTGTTGGTACGCCCGCTTTCTGAGACGCTGCCAGGCAGATACGCTCGCAAATATGCTTTGCTTCGGCATATCCCTGACGCAAAGTTACGTCACAGTCCTCCAAGGGCGTTTCAGGAACCGATGGTCCATGGGCGAGGCTCCATCCGCCGATGGTTCCTATAGAAGACATGAAAAATATGTGGGCATGGTGTATGCTCTGTATACTGAAGTCCATAAAATGACGGACACCGCGAATGTGGACATCTTCGAATGAATCAACTGAGATGTTGAAATCCATTCTCCAGGCATTGTGGATGACTGTAGTTACTGTGCGGAGCATCTCTTCATACTTGGGTCCGCTGAGGCCGAACTTCTCCTCGCCAAAGGATGCCACAAGGAATTCGACTCGTCCTTGACTGAAATCGTATTCCAATCCCTTCTCTTGGAAGCTCTTCACTTGTCTATCTCTTGCCTCTGATCGATTCAAGCAGTACACTTTGACGACAGAAGGATCGTTCAATAAGGTATGGAGCAGGTAATTCCCAAGCGAACCGGTAGACCCAGTGAGAATTACGATGTGTTGATCCGTTGCCTTGCGTGTATCAGCTTCGCGCTCAGGCAGGTAAGCCGTGTATTTCTGCACCAAAGCATCAATCTTTTCAGATCGCGATGCCGTGCTCTGCTCCGCATTGCTAGTGATACCGTATATAAACTTAGCCAATTGCTCGACAGTGGGGTTGCCGTATATATTCTGAGCTGTGATAGACCTAGATTTGGTTGATGGCCGACATGAACATATTGAGGCCTGGAAAGTCCGGCTAAGCTGCATTGTCTGCAAAGAATCGAGCCCCAAGCTGTAAAAGTCTGTCTGGTCTGAGAACGAGGAGAATCCAAGAGCGTCTGAAACCACATTTCGGACAAACTCCTGAATTCCAGATAAATCGGCCGTCTTGGGTATTTGATATCCCATAATTTCATCGTCCTGTTCTGTATAAATGCCCTCGATCTCGTTCTCATAGTCGCGAGTGACAAGTCGTCGCTGTGTGCTCCCTTTGGGTGTAGTCTGGAACGGTTTGCTTTTGAATGCCACCCCAATCTTGCCTTTCATAATCCGTCCATGGGCTGGGTTAATACGGTTTGCGTCTTGAACTGTCGGCCAGATTTGGGCGATCAAGTCCCCAACTGGACTATCTTCACTCCATTGATTCCAATTGGGTTCAACAAGTAGAGCTGGTTGAAATTTGCCATTGCCTACAACAACAGCTCTCGCAACTAAGGCATGTCCCTCGATGATCTTCTCCATCGTCACTGGGTTGAACTTCTCCCCATTACTGAGCGATACAACGTCATCTAGACGTCCACGCAGCTTCCATAGGTTGGGCTTAGTTGGGTGCCGCGTGTATACATCCTTCGTATGATACTCATCCAAATCAGGGAACGTGTGAAAGATGGGTTGTAGGAATGGATCGTAATGTCTGTGTATGACCATTTCATACAGGTCATCATCCACTAACTCCATCTCGATCCCATTGGTCGGCCACCATTCAAAATACTCCCAGTCTTCCTTGTCTTCGGGGGCTAAGGACAGTATAAAACCAGCCTCGGTCATTCCCATGAAGCCTGTCAGCGGGGTGTGCTCCCTGATCTTACGACCGACCTCAGGCGAGAGAGAGGAACCACCCCAAAACACATACTTCAAGTTCCAGAGGGCCTCCATAGAGGCTTGTGATAAGGTCATATCCTCTAGGATGCAGGGTGGTAATAGTATCGCCGTGGGCTTGGTTGCATTGAGCATAGAAGTCAAGAAGTCGGTCGATAATGGCTTATCCGGGGCTACCACGCAACGAATACCGTGAAAGACAGATATGATCAGCAACGAGAACCCCATGAGGTGAAAGAATGGCGCCGCGGCCAAGATAACGTCGTCTTTGCTGAGTCGATCAGGCACGCCTGAGAAACGTCCTGGAGTGATAGGAACATAGGCGCCAGCATCCAGAGCACCAAAGTAGCCGAAAGTCAGTTGGATAGGTTTTGGAATCCCTGTAATTTAATGAATATCATCAGTTCATTATCTAGAGGCATGGCTTATTGTATCAAAGTAGGCATTTGGCAATGGTTGTACATTTGTACACTTTGATCACACTATGCCTGTCACTACTCACCAGTTGTACCAGAGCTGTGAGCGATAAAGGCCACATCATCCTTGACTTCTTCAAAAGACTTAGAAAATTTGTACAGTGTTGCAGAACCCTCAATTATCTCTGTTGAGGCTGGGATTTCCACGGTCATCAAGTCAGGTCGAAGAACCTTTATTTCCATCGCTCTTTGAGCTCTTTCCGTACTATATGCTAGTTTCGAGCAATTGGTGACTTCGAGGAGGCGAAGATGTGCTTCATCTGAGTTTCTAGTCGATGAAAGTAGGGGCTAACAGCTCCCTGATCAGTGCCAGGTCGACCGAATCAAACAAATCCACCTATCTCACCTTATAGCCCGTCTTATTACACGCCATTACTATCACAAGATAACGTATATCATTCGCTCCGAGATAAGTTAATGTCTCCATGGTGGAGCTATGGCCGAATGCCTCTATAATCCACCACGACATATAATTCACTGCATGGGCAAGTTCTCTAAATGTCAAGTCAAAGAACCCATCCGAGATCTCAGAGCCCTTAGGCACAGCGCAGACTTTCCTCTCTGGATCTCGCTCAGCCACATCGTCAATGACTTGAACCATAAGCCTCTTCCCAATAGGGGCGGTTTCATACTCTGCCATGATGGAATAGCTCGTAATGATAAAAACAAATTGAGGGCCGAGAGTGCAAGGACTGGAGAAGACGAACGATGTGCAGGTTTTCAGCTTTCACCGTTGCCAGCAAGGAGAGGCAAATCTCCTGTTTAACTCAGCATTTTATAATCATCTCGAATGTCCCTTTCGGAATGCCGTCTGCAAGGATCAATTGGCTCATGCAAGCTGAATATGCGGCCCTTTGTTTGATAAGTTTTCGGTGATGTTCGGGATGAATGGTAACATTGAGTTCGTAGCCGCACAATAAGCATGCTGACGTGTTGGGCATATCGTCGTGGCCAGAGATACCGGATTAACTTTGCAGAGTGATGTGAACCGATGCCTGAGATAGTATCCTGCTGCATTTAGATGAGACACCTGACCAGCCAGGCCAAGGCATTCTCATGCGCCTTCTCAAGGTAGTATAAAGAAGGAGGCATATGAGCTGCTTAAGAGCCAGAATTATGCATAAACCACGTAGCTTGAAGGTCACGATTCAACTCTAACGTCCACTTAGTATTGCCCCAATGGGGTGCTTGCTCCAAACCACATCTGTGGAAAATTGGTCAGCACAAAGACGGCCCAGGTCTAGAAGTGGCCAATTTCCCCCAATATACTCCGTACCTAGCTTGTGGCAAATGCAAACCTGCGGAGTGCTGCTGTCTGCAAGAAAAACAATAGTTCGAAAGCCTAGTCGAGACCCTGTGTCACGTGTACAACCGTTTTCCACGCTCGCTGCGAGTCGTATAACTCACCAGCGAGACTTTCTACATAACCAGAGCACTTGGTTGAATAGAAAAATTTCTATTTCCACATTTCCTGCCTTTTTTCGTACACCGATTTGAGAACGCCAGATTTGCAACGGACACATCATAAAAGATCAACCCAATGAACACGTCCCAAAGGCCAGACCCCGAAGACATGCACTATCTTGTCAGACATCAAAGTGGAACTGTACAGCCATAACAAGCGACAAGAAATATAAAGAAGCCTTATAATTAAAATAACAAAAACACATAACGAAGGTTAAAGTCGCTCAGATTTAAAGGTTCAACTTCTTAGCCTCCTTCTGAGCGAGCTTGACCAGGTCATCGTACACACCGCTAAAGTCCTCATCATCATCTGCTGATTCACTCTTCTTGCCCTTTGCAGCCGACTTGGGGACAACCATGGTGACACTGGTGGGTCGCTTTGTTGCGGCAGAGTTACCGAGCTCAGCTCGAGATGTGACGAAAACGTAAGGAATGCCATGGTCCTCACAGAGGACAGGAATATGCGAAATGACATCCATCGGCGAGATGTCGGCAGCAAGGATCACAACTCCATTGGGAGTGCTGATCGGGGCGTTAGGTGCAGGAATGGGAGATTTCCGGAGAGCCTTGACAACTTCCTTCACACCGCGCTTGAGGCACTTGTTCACGGCGGCTACAGTAGAATCATCATATTAGCGTCATTGAAACGAGATGGAAGCTTTACAAATAACAATACGAATCATAGATGGTTTAAGAATGTAAAAGTGAAATTGACTTGGTTTGAGGGATGAGGCACATGCGCATCATCCGGAAGTGGGTTAGAATTAAGATTTAACTTACCCTTCTTCACACTCTTCAACACCTTCTTTGCCGACTTGTCTTCGACCAAAGGCTGGGCAAACGGTACGAGGGCGCCAACAGGGCGGGCATCGACATCCATCACCTCAGTCTCGACAATGGCAGTGGCTTCCACAGCGACAGCATTGTCAATTCCATCCAGAACCTTGGTAGTAAGCTCTTGCTCAACCGCGTCGGCGAGAGCAGTCTTCTCCTTCTTCTCCTTCTTGTCCTTCTTGCTCTTGTGGACACCGTCCTTCTCCGAGCGCTTTTCCTTCTTCTCGCGCTTGTCCTTCTTCTCAACCTTGTCCTTGGCCATCTTGAAGTCTGGTATTACCCGGGGAATCGAACAAAACGAGGAGGGAAAAGGGCGACAATCGGAGGACGGTGGCGTGGGGAGTAGTAGTTTATCGGTCGGTCACTTTTGGAGGCCGCAAAAATTCGAAATCTTTCAAAATTTCGGCGCTAATCCTTTCCGGGAACGCGAGCTTCTGGCGGGCGGTGAGGAATGCTGACTCATCCAGTCCCGGATCGGGATGTTCTATTCGCCCATCCAAACAACAAGCCGACATTGAATTGCTCCGTACAGCTCTGCGTGCTTGAATCGGTCGAGTTGTGGAAGTCACCTAAGGGAGCTTGAGGCAGCTTCTACCGGGCCCTCACTTACTTTCCATGTCATCATTCGCAATTCATTGATCATTGGTCTCCACTACTTGCATAGTCAAAGGTAGATAAACAACATGCCTTTTGGATTCTAACGCCTTTGAGAGACTAACGAGCTTTAGATGAATTCAAGTAGGAATTCACAGCTTTCCTGGGGCTCGCCACCGCGGAGTGCCTCACCATTATCGATTCCCCCGGCCCCAAGTCCTTTGCGACAATCCATTCGTCCCTCCCAAGTTTCAAAGCCTGGTGAGCTCCCATCCTCGGCGGCAGATGGTATATCTCACACGACTAACTTTCCTTACAGACACAGAAAAGGAAGAACTGCGTGTCCAAGTCAACACTCTGAGATATGAACTGGAGAATATCAAGCAGGAGCGGGACCTGATGGCCCTGCGCCATGAGAAGGAGCTGCGGGATGTTCAATTAAAGGCAGACGCGGATTTCAGGAAAGCCCAGGTGTGTACATATTGTCATGCCGTGCAATCTTAAAACTAACTGATCTTTCTCTGCAGGCTGCAGAATCTGCCAGTCACCGCGCCAATCACAAGATCGAGTCCCTCGCCAAAGAATTAAAAGAGGCTCAAGAAACCGCGCTGAACGAGAAAGGCGGCCTTGAGCGGAAGATCAGAAGCCTTCAAGATCAGAACCAGAGCTTACAGGATGATGTTGATGATACGAAAGCCCAATTGCTGGACCAGGAGAGACAGTCCAAATACCAGATTAACGAACTAGAGACTATTCGCTCATCCCTCCAGAGAACGCTCGAAGAATTTCAAAACGATCTCCAAGGTGCCAGGAATGACGTACAGAGCACTCAAGAGAAACTGTGTGAACGGGAAGCGGATGTCGCCAACCTGGAAACCGAGAATATACGACTCAAAGCCGAAGGAAGCGATGCAGAGACGGTGGCTGTTCTCAAAAGAGAACTTTCAGAGCAGGTCAGCCATATCAGGAACCTAGAGACTACAAATCGGGACCAAAGTGCGGAGTTGCGGCATCTTCGAAAAGTGCAGAAAAATGTCGAAGTGGTGGAAGAGCAGAAGAAATCACTCGAGAATCAACTACAATTGATGAAGGAGGTGGAATCTGAGTTGGGAACAGTTCAGATCCAGAAGCAGATGCTCGAAGACGAGCGCAGGTCATGGACCAGTCTTCTACAGGACAACGATGAACAGGCCGAGATCGACTCACCAGAAGCAGTTGTGAAGGCTCTACTGCAGGAGCGGATAGAGAAAGCAACCCTCGTTGATAAACTTGGCAACATCGAAGCGCAGTTTCTGGAGAAAGACGAGCTGATAGGAAGCTTGGAAACTGAGAGGAGCCACCTGCGACAGGAAATTGAAAAGCTTCGGAGTAGCACTGTTGCAAACGGAGGAGCCATGGCCGAGAGCAGGATTCGGGCAAGACTAGATCGTCAGCGAGCGCTTGCAGTGAAGGAAGTTGAGTATCTCCGCGCACAATTGAAGACTTTTGACACGGAAGAAGTGACCATGAACGCGGAACAAAGTCAATTTGACGAGCATAAGTCAGAGCAGATCGCCAATTTGGAGAAGATCGTTGATGAATACCGAGTGGAACTGAAGAAAGCTCACGAAGAACTCTCGAAACGGGAGCCTACCGAACAGCAGGACGCAGAACCTCGGGGTGTTAAGCGGCCTCTATCCCCCGCCGAGAGTGATGCAGAGAACGAGCGACTTTCTATCCTATCCCGGAAAAACAGGACATTGCAAGAGTCACTCTCCAAGTCTGAACAGGCGTCAGCTCTCCTACGCCGAGAGCTTGAAGCTACCAAATCCCAGCTCAAGTCTCTTAAGGCCAAGTCGCGCACACGCATTCTCGAGCTCCGTGATAATCCCACAGCGCAAGCCGAGAATCTCAAACTCTCCACCATCACAACCCTCAAAGCTGAGAACCGTGACTTACTTGCCCAACTACAGGGCGACCACAACAGTGTCAAAGTTGTCCCCGTTAACACCCTGGAGAGCCTGAAGTTGGAAATCCAAGAAATGGAGCGAGTCGTCGCAGATAAGGAGAAGCGCATGCGACGACTAAAGGAAATTTGGACCGCCAAGTCATCCGAGTTTCGCGAGGCCGTTGCCTCCCTGCTCGGATACAAACTAGACTTCCTCCCCAACGGGCGTGTACGAGTAACATCTATGTTCCACCTCTCCTCCGCCTACAGACACGGAGACGGAGACGTTCATTCTGACGCCCGCGGACCTGGAAGCATGGGCAATGGCGAAGAAAACTCAATCATTTTCGACGGAGAGAACGGCACGATGAAGATTTCCGGTGGGCCAAACAGTCTATTCGCTATGGAAATTCGACCCCTCATCAAATTCTGGGTCGAGGAACGAAAAGATATACCCTGTTTCCTGGCTGCAATGACGTTGGATTTCTATGATAAGACTACCCGAGCTGCACGGGTGTAGTTAATCTGTTTGGTTCTTGTCATAACTTTCTTTTCCTTCTATCTCTTTGGTTCGATCACCGATATCAATGGGTATAGATCGACTGTTTCGTATGTTGTTTTTAGCGATTCCCCGGCGGAGGCGTCAGTGTGCCATGTTTATTTAGTCACCAACCCTGTACTGCTATGAAGACAAGCATGAATTTGAAATACACTATCATCTTTGACTTAGAAAAACGGTCACTGACGACGGAATTACTGCGTTGATACCCAAATTGCCTGAGAAGCGTCACGGCTAAACACATACGTTGTTGTTATTTGGGGCATTAACATGCGCCGAATATCCCACTGAGACAACATATTTACAGGCAAAATGCCATGCCTACCTGTCCGGAGGGTGGCTATACACACAAAAATTACTGCGACACAGGGAAGCAAACGAGCGTGACGAAATCAAAGGACCGAAGAGACGATAGATATATACCTCGCACAAAAGGAGAAAAGAAAATAGTCAAGAGAAAGGAAGAGAAAGATCGGCAGAACAAGAATAACATACAAAGTCGTGGGAGTAAATTATGTGCTAAGATGGTGGCAGGTAGTGTCAGGCGACAAACTTTTGGAAGGCGTACTATTCCAAAGGAATCCGACAAAGACAGTTACGATGGTATCTTGAAACTGAAACGGTCCGGCGGGTTGTGGTCATGATTTGTTCGTGGAAAGTGCAAAGAAAGGCGCTATTCTCGTGACACTGAGAGGTAGCACAACAGTCTGCTAAGATGAGACATATTTGCCTCCAACCAGCTTGCGAGCAGTAGGGACTTCTTTCCATGTTAGGGAGGGTTGGGTATCGTCATGTGCAGCGGAGTCTTCGTCCGCAAAAGGATCAGATCCCTTTGGCGTACTCGCCTCTGCTGGTGACGCAACGCTGATTCCCAGCCGAGAGCCAGCATCGAGAGTGTTCACCTCGAATTTCGCGTCGACCTTCCCTTTTCTTGGCCAACTAGTTGCCGTTGAGAATCGAACCAGCAACTTGCCGTCAGATCCAGCTTTAACTTCGAACTCAGGCAACTTCCAGGTCACCGCCGAGTGCTTGCGACGGAAGGACGCCCCCGTATTAGGATACATGACAGCATTCGTAGCATGGGCCACTTCTCGGCCCTCTTCAGGAGATGTATCCAGGTTCACTGTCAGAACCAGATTCTTGAGGGTGACTGATTCTTTTGGTGCGGAAGATGTGAATGATGGATTCAAGGAATAGAAAATGATGACGCTAGCCTGATGTTCCTCAATGTTCCATACAGGTTTGAAGATAACCGGACAGTAGGCGGAAGAGTCGGATGCGTCAACATGAAGTTGGTACTTGAAAGCCACTGTTGGTGAGGGGCGAGCAATTGTGGGGATATGTATGATGTATTGTCCTCTTTTTTCATCCGATAGATCCTTATCCTTCTCCTCATTCACAAAATGAGGATTTGCAGCTACCTTCTCCAGCACCTGGAAATTCTCTAAACGAACTGTGGTGTTCGCCTCGGGGGTTCCGTTGTAGGCCAATGCAAGCTCTCCGATGACGGATGACTTGGTGACAACACCGTCGAAGAACCATGCATTAACCGTTTCAATGATAGACGCGTTCAGTCCTGGTTCGTGGAGATCAGGGTGTGCAACTGCACCCGAGCTACCGTGCAAGGTGTGCCCAGAGCGAACCGAGGTCGTATCCGACAGAGCATGATCATCTGTTGCAATGCTAGGAGAAGCCGCATGCTTTGAAGGGAGACCCGGCGAGACCGGAATAGAGACGTCAGACCCAGATGGTAGAGTGGGAACATCACTACCTTGCGGTGGATTAGGAATGAAAACTGTGTTACGGACGTCACGCCGACCGCGCAAGGTCCCTACATTACGACGCACGCCAGTTTGCTGGGCTCGCTGAATAGACAGATCGTTAGCAAGGCGTTAAAGGGGCATGTCCATATTGCACTCACCAGTCTCAACTGATTAGCCATATCATCCATTGCCTGCTTGGCTTGATCTTCATCTTCGAATATAGGCTGATCCCGAATTGTTAGATTGATCCCAGCCTCTTCCATACTATAGATAGATCAATTAGCCATTGATTTTCTCAGGAAGATTTGACATTCCCATACCCAGCTGCTTCTCTCTGTGCACGAGTGATCTCGTCGATAGTCTGAGGTGGTTCCGAGAACCCTTCGGAGTCGACCCGTGGCTGTTACGTGAGATTAACGGTCTGAATTATATCTGTCATCTCAGTACAGCTTACCTGGTTTGAGTCACTAATAGCGATACCTGTCTCAGCAGGAGGCTCTGGGGATGTTGTCCCGTTCGCAGTTGTTGGTACTGAATGAGTGGCCGGGACGGAGGGCATCGTACTGTGGCCGGAATGGTCATTGGTTTCGCTGGGGATACGTGTAACTTCATTGTGGTTTTCCTGAGTAGTCAGTGCAGTACCTGGGCGTTCCTCATCCGGTAATGACTCGGGGATTTGCATGTCACGAGAGTCTCCCCGCTTGAAAGACGCAAAAGGGCTGCGGTGTTTCTTATCCGAAAAGAATGCAGCCCCTCCGGAGGGTTGTATTATGCTCTTCCTTCTATTCATGACGGTACCTAATCGCTTGAGTCCGCCGAGGGGTGTGCTATGGCGGGGTTGGGGCTCAGGTGCTATACAAAAAGTAAGTATCATCGATTACGACATCCAAGACGTTTGCAAGACATCAGCCGAGTCGGGCAAAATGACAGTACTTACCAGGGGGCGTCCTGACGGGGCCAGAGGTCTCTGAGAATTGGCTGGCAGTGTCATCATGAAGGCGTGGCGGTGGTCCAGAAGGTGCTGCAGGGGTAGGAGAAGTCTGTTGCCTCAATACAACCGGCCTTCCCCCATTAACCTTTTCGGCAAATGTTTTTATTTCGTCTGCAGTCTCCACGTTGAGAAGCACATTTAAACAAGTTTCTGTCGCTTGACGACAACGCTCAACCTGATCCGACTCATGAGTCTCCAGCTGGGTGAGCGCATCTCGCAGATGGTTGAGTCGACTCTCATCAGCTGCTTGGAGCTGCTCAAAAGCGAAAGGTGCCCTGGACTCCCATTCCTGTCTAACCCCTTCAGAGGTAGCAACCGCACCAGCCAGCTTATCTGCACCCTTCGGGCCTTTCTCTCTAGCTTTCTCTACCTTCTTGAGCGATGCCTCCAGATTCTTCGCAAGAGTTGCAAGATCGCTCTGGACTCCAGGCAAAGATGCCAATTCGCGGTTCTTGGCGTGGTAATCCCTAAGAGGGCGTTCCACATCTTCCTCAATCTTCTGTGCGAAGGTCTCGTGCGACGAGGCCACCATTTCCGTGGCATTGACGATGCGTTGCCATGGTATCTGGAATATTCTAATTTGGCCAATTGACAACATGTTAGAGAATTGATACCTGAGTAAGATCCTCCAATACGACCTGAGCTTACCCTAGTGCTGCTCCATTGTCCAGTTGCTGCCGTGTCGCAAGTTTCCGTAACCCTTGAGCGTATGCTTCTTCGACGCGGCGTCGCTCCTATTGCGCAAATCAGAATTAGTTCGCTCCAATTCAAATCACCAAACTTGAAAGGTGTCAGGGTAATACCTGTAACCAATCCGCGATGTCGGCATTAATCTTGTTAATGAGGCGAATGCGGTCGTTGAGAACACCGGTGGCTTGGCCTGGCTGCAAAGAGGCCTGAAGAAACGAAATACATCAATCAACGAAGATCTTGAAGTCTGGTAGATCTGTATCGGGCCATGGTGAGTGGAAGAGTGGCTCGACCTTACCAGCAAAGCTGGATACTCCTGCCGTGAGAGATCCATCATTAAATACACATAGGTTACAGCTGTACAAGTAGATGAGGGGGGCGGCGCATAATAAGGTCCAGCCCGTAGAGATGCGGGAAAAAAAACGCCCGAAAATGAGTGGGATGTTAACGAAAGAGCGATGTATGTCCGAAAGACCAATGCAAGTCGGTAAACGTGCAGTACAGCTGCGGGATGTGGAGGAAGGAAGAGGAAGTGCTATGATGACGATGGTTGCAACTCCGGAAGAACTAAAAGCGGACCCGGAGTTGGAAGGGGGAGCTAAACCGCACTGAGATTAGCGAGGCTGGTGTCACATGTCCCGCCGCCTTTCTGTATGTATCCACTAGTAAGAGAGAGTTAGTGCCTGGCTTGTACTCTGTATGGAGTAGCGCATCCTGATGCTAGAAAAGTGAATTGACCATTGCCTTCAAGTGCGTTACAAGGACCAATTAAAATACCTCTAGCCGGCTTGACTGTAGCGCTTCTTTACATCTATAGAGCAGTATCTTTGGTGATTGCTACTATTGTCGCCACGTCAAGCAATGACCGATTGGAAAAAAGCTCTTGGCTTCACGGATAGGCTAACAGCCATCCAATCTCTGTAAGAGAAGACAATTTTGCACTCTCTACCCGGGCAATGCTCATGTCTATTCTGTAGGACTACGGCCTATCAGCGTGCTTCGTCTTCTGCTGCATTTGCAGAGGCACAGTCTCAGGCAAAGAGATTCGAGACTGAAGCTTATGACCAGGCCACATCGAAGGTATGGGCTCCTAGCTATACGCCTCATCTCCCATCCGAGATATTTACACAGTCTTGTTATACGTAGGAAGAATATGATCAATTATGCCAGAAGGCCATTGATGCAGCTGAAGCCACTGGCTCGGCTGCTCCTATAATTAGTAGCCCTGATCAGGTACAAAATCAAGAGGGGGTAGAGGATTGGCCTTCGGGCGAGGATATTGGACCGTACAAGGCATGCCTTCATCATTTTGACGGGCTTCATTCCACCATCTACAAATCCAGGCGCACAGATGGAACCCTGGTTGCTGTGAAAGTTACTATACCCCATCTTTTAGTACCTCCACACGATGCGAAGTGCGAAGTTCAGCTCTTGCGAGAAACCGCTGGAACTTATGTCATACCTTTACTTGAAACGCTGAAACTTGACGGAGGCCGACTGATTCTGGTGTTCCCCTTCATGAAACATGACTTTGAACATCTATTGCGACGAGGCATGTTGACTGCCACACAGACTAGGTCTCATTTGCGCGATTTGTTTAGGGCGTTGGTGCATGTTCATGAGCTGGGGGTTATACACCGGGACATAAAACCTTCGAACATTCTCTTGGACTCACCTGATGGGCCAGCCTACTTGGCAGACTTTGGGATAGCTTGGAAGGAGGGACATAACGAGGCTGAACCAGCCGACAAAAAGATTACAGACGTGGGAACCACATGCTATCGGCCCCCTGAGATATTGTTTGGTTATAAAAGGTATGGCACAGCTCTCGACCTTTGGGCGGCTGGGTGCGTGGTTGCGGAGGCTGTGGCTGTAGGGCACAAGCAACTTTTCGACTCTGGGCCTCTGGGCAGCGATCTCTCGCTTATCCAGTCTATATTCCAGACCTTGGGTACTCCCGACGAAGAAATATGGCCGGTATACCATGACCCTGCTGAAAACATTCTGGTTGACGCATATTGACACGGCAGTGACAGGAAACCGATAGACTCCCAGATTGGGGCAAGGTGGAATTCTATAGATACCCTGCCAAGTCATGGGATGACATCCTCCGAGGGGCTTCCTCAAAAGGCCGCGACTTAGTAAGTCAACTGGTGCGTTATGAGAGTAGCCAGCGCATTTCTGCTACAGAGGTAAGCTTTCCAGGAGTTGGAGAACAGTTATAAATACACGAGACGGCGTCGGGATTTTTTTTTTTTTCTGCCCGAATCTAATATCTCAATAGGCTCTCAGACATCCCTATTTTTCGGCATGTTAACGGCCGTCATGGGGGACCGCCAATCACATGTTACGGGCAGGAAAGATAGGATGAAGAGAAGGGGAGGGAGCGAAAAGACCCCAGGGGTCCACTGGTTAAGCGTTCATATGACGAGCATTGTGTATAATACTGCGCAGTATATGGCAGTCTGCCGTTAACAATCATGCCGGGTCCCACCGGCATCTGTTAGGCGTTTCAGTATTCTGACGGCTCGAAATCGAGAGATGATCACGCATAAAGTGCACCGTCGGCACTGACCGACGAGAGAAGCCGTCGTAAAACTCCACCTTCAATGAAATGCCAACTGCGCCTCTGGGGAGGGCCTCATCTTGGACAATGTCATTCTGTACTCACGTGATGATTGCCTGATGGGTTTTTGTGCGATGGGAAAAGGAAAGAAAAGAACGACTAAAGATTCAGGAACCCCAGTTTTAAGGTCTCCCTGCGACCCACATACTTTTTGAACGCTGGTTTGCAGAAACTCTGTCTTGCCCCTTTTTCCATGCTTTACTTCATGCAGGTGGATTTGTGAATTGCATTGATCTCCTCATTGCCCCCTGTCACCTCAGAATATTGTGTTGTATGAGAGAAGAAATACGCCACGCGAGGCTGAAATGGCGCTCAGCAGAGAGGATCAATGCAACGTCTTTCGGGGATAAGTGGATGCCACTAGGAAAGGTCGGAGGAGCGAGAGGCTTGGCTAATTAAAATCACGGGTCCCGTTAGATTGAACAATTGTTGATCTTCTCCAGATTTATCCGAATAAGCGACCTCGGCCACTTTCCATTGCATTGTCGGATCTCGATATACTTATGTAGGGAAGCACGGGGCATCTCCTTTTGCTCTGATGTGGTTCAAGGGCAGAGGAACAGTTATAAGAAAAAGCCAAATGAAATAAAAGGGGTGGGGAGGACAAAAAGAGTTCCCAAATATAGAGAATATACGATGATTGGATGCACCATCCATGTTGTTGGCGGCGGTACGATACCATACCGCCCGTCAGCCCAGGGACGCTCGTGCATGGGGGTTCGATTTGTGCTCGAATAACAGGAGCGGGTGACTCGGCATGTCCCTCGTGTTCGTATTGACCGTCAGATAACCAGGCACCGTACAGCTCAATTTCCCATCTGGGCCAATGGGAACCAATGGATGCGAGCAGTCAGTGGGGCCATCGGCGTGATTCCCAGCCCCAGGGAGTTAGCGTCGTCGGTCTAATACCAGCGGATACGAGACCCTGATTGGGTGGGTTCCCCCTCATTAACCTCCATAAGCTTTGATCTCATTTCGTTTACTTGCAGCCAAGGGGGCCACCGCGGTAATTACCGGTAATTTTTGCGAGGTAGGGTTAGTACGAGGAGGATGCGATGTTTGGCTGCCTTTCCACAATATCCCCAGTCTGTTGTTGTTGTTCTTCTTCTTCTTCTCCTCCTACACTCTTCTCAAGTCCTTCGTTCCTTTCTACCCAATCACCTGGGAATCCCGCACGCTGGGTTCCCTTCCTTTCGTTCACATCGTACGGCCTGGAAGCTCGTTGTCCTTCATTTATCGACTTGCGCCGCTGGGCCCCAGCCTCTTCAGCGATAGCTGACACTTTCCATTCTTTATCGTTCTCACATTCCCCATTCCTTAACGCGCTTGCGCCACTTTTACCTTCAGACGCGGCCGGCTCTTCTGGCGAGACCGAATCAAAGCCAAATCTACTCGCGTGCATTTACCGGGCAAGCCCCCATACATTCTTTCGAACTATATCAATTCTACAAATACAATTGCCAACCGCCACGCCTTCCCAAGCATCGTGACCTTGGGCAAAGTGAAAGGGACGACAGGCTATTCAGTTTCTGTGCCGTCAACGACATATGCCCCCTTGGTCTCTCGTTTGAGCCACAATTGACCTGAGGTTCAGTCGATGATATCTCGACTTCTGGTGGACTAAACGACACAAATCATGGTTCATGTCCACAATCACAACCATGGGCCCAGCCTGGAGGGACGAAGTCCTGACCGTGGCGATGACGGACAAGAAGTCACCGTGGTTTACGTGACTGCCTCCGCAGACTTTGATGGTCCTATAGGTGGTTATGTAACAGGTGAAGACCCAAAGACGAAGACCGCGGCGGCTCCCACAGTCGGCGTTGGTCCTGCGGTTCAACAGAGTCGCACATCGACGAAGGAAGAGCCAACTACGACTAAGGAACCAACGAAGAAAACTACGGCAGTGGAGACGAAGCCAACAGCCACGACCAAGATCGAGACGACTGAGACCACCAAGGAACAGCCGACTAAGACGGAAGAGACTACCAAGGCAACTGAGAAAGAGACATCCACGACCGATGAGAAGAATACTCCCACCGCAATGACTACCTTCTCAACAGCTACCTCCTCCACATCCTCCTTGTCCAATACTGGCTTGGGAGAGGCTGCTTCCACGCACACGTCGTCTTCGGATAAATCAGCTGCTTCATCAACTGCTCTTCCTGGAGCTTCGGGTTCTGAAGGTCTCACAGGAGGTGCAAAAGCGGGTATTGCGATAGGTGTAATTCTGGGAGTTGGCCTGATCGCGGCTCTCATTTTCTTGTTCATGCGTAAAAAGAAGCAGGGCCAGAAAATTGACGAAATAGAGCCCGAAAATGAGAAAGCAGTTGCTGCTAGCAGTGTAGCACCTCCCCCGCCTCCGCCAAAATTCGAGCCGATGACTCCTACCAATCCACCGCAGCTCAATGTTCGACCGGTGACCCAGTTTGCACCCGATCTCACGCCCTCTGCCACCGGCGCTCTCCCTGCGGCTGGTGCAGGCGCAACACTTGGAGCAGCCGCCGCTGCATCGCGCAACCTCACCGAACACACCTCACCACCCCACACTCCGCAGTCGAATGCAGGCACCTCAAATCCTTTTACTGACCCGGTGAATCCCTTCAGCAACCAGGCGGAGGCACCATCCCCCAGTGACGTGGCTAGACCGATTACCCCTCCAACTGCGCCTGAGACCATGGTGCCTCCAAATCCGGTTCCTGCTGAAGCCGCTGTGGAAACGACTGCTGCCGGTGCGGCGGTGGCTGCAGTGGCTGTCAGTGCTGCAATTCCTTCATCCAAGTCCACCGAGAATGACCATCCCACTCAACCTGAAAGCTCCAAGCCCAAGACTGATTCCCAGCCTGAACGTGCGGAGACAAACCCTGTCAATGCTCCAGATGGCAATGAGGGGCCTGCTCCTAGTCCTGCTGTTGTCACTGCAGTGCCTGCGTTTGGTCCTTCTGAACATGGTCCACCTCCACCTCCGGCTCCTACCAATGTGCATCGCGTACAGATGGACTTCAATCCTTCCATGGAAGATGAATTGGAGCTCCATGTCGGTCAGCTTGTTCGGCTTCTCCATGAGTACGATGACGGTTGGGCTCTCTGTGTTAAAATGGATCATTCACAGCAAGGAGTGGCCCCTCGTTCATGTCTCTCTTCGCGCCCTGTGAAGCCTCGAGCTCGCCCACCTCCGGGGGCCGGCCCCGGTCCCGGTCCACGTGGTCCCCCAATGATGGCACCCAATGGCCCTATGCCTCCTGGTGCCATGCCCAATCCTCGTTTCTATCCCCAAGGTGGACGCCCAATGTCTCCTGCTCGACCGATGTCGCCAGCGCGTCCCATGTCCCCAGCACGTCCCATGTCCCCAGCACGTCCCATGTCTCCTGCTCATCCTGGCTATGCTGGGCCTCCGGCACCACGTCCTCACCCACAGCGCCCAATGTCCCCTGCTCAATTTCCTGCTCCCCGATCATTCTCGCCAGGTCCAGGCCCTCGACCAATGCCGCCTCGTTCGATGAGCCCGGGTCCTTATGGTCCCCCAGGCATGCAACGACCGGAGATGCCTATCAACCAGCGGCAACGTAGCAACAGTGCTGGCGGGCCAGTTCCACGCACCGCCGGGTCACCAGGACCGAGCCCCTTGGCTGCTCCTAGAACCCCACCTCCATCAGGCGCACTGCCAGCAATTCCCAACCCGGCCCTAGCCCCTGCTCCGGCCCCGGTCGAAGCTCCAGCCCCGGGAAGTAATATACCACCCCAGTGAGCTATGGGCATTCGCGTTAGACCAATGATCGTCGATTTCACAGGAGACAACGGCTGACATTGTCGCTATTATGTATGAGTCTGCTATGATATCATGTGCTCCTGCAACGAAAGCGCTCTACCCAAAGTCACCAACGCTTTATGTCCCCACTATCGACTCGTCCAGTTTGTTTCTTCTTTATTTTCTCCCACTTGCTTTAACTTATATTCTGTATGACCCTTTCCGTCTTACTCACAGACCACTTTCATAAGGATTTGTCTGCGTTCTCTTACGTCTCTTCCTTCACTGCCAAGTGCCTGCACATATCTCACCTGACGGAATATACCCAACTTTGTAAGATTTCTTTCTATTGAATCATGAAACCAGAGTTTTTTTTTGGATTACTTTATGTGATTACCCTATTTCTTATTACAATATATTTTTCCTGCCTTAATCTTTCTCCGATGTCCACGTTGCATCTTATCTATTCAGACCGAACAGTCAACCGTGACAGTATCACGCATTCTAATATCTGTGTTGATGTCAAATAAATAAACCGAAAACAAAAGAAGAATAGAAACAGTGTATGCTCGAATAGTTCCCCTTTTTTAAAGTAGTTCATAATACTTCTCTTCGACCTTTCATGCTGCACAACGCCCACAAATATCCAATGTATCTATGTGGTACAACATGGACCCTCACTTTTAAAACAATAAAATCAAAGCAGTACAGAAATTGCCGGCTCAAAAGCAACATGGGGCTGCTCTGATATATTTGTATTCATGCCGCTGTCAACGAAACAGAATATGTAAACCAGGCTCCCAGAGAAATAGTCGTTAACCAATCTAAAGATGCGGAACACCTCCACTTGCCAGAAGAAGATTAACGATGCTAATGATACCTTCACCTAAGATCAAACCGGAAGCCAGAACCACGACGGTTGAGGATGCAGCATCGGCGTCTTTGATAGCTCGTCCGGGTGCGGGTCCTGCCGCGGGGTTTCTGGTATCGGCTTCCTGGGCATTGCCTTGGGGCTGTCCCTCGTTGGCTAGTTGAGTGGGAGGTTCAAGGTCCTGAGCCTTGGCGTGCTTTCGAGACCACCACCAGGCGATCAGTCCGCCAATGGCTCTAGCGAGGGTAAATGAGGGGACGTTGAAAATGCCGACGGCGACCGCGATACCGCCCGGGATATATGATCGCCACCAGGCTGTGGCGTCGCGTTTGCCGCCGTTGACGACGCTGGACGTACCGACGATACGGAGAATAGTAACGACAACGAAAACTGCTCCGGCTATCGAGGCTGCTTCCCATGCCATTGGGGGGAGACCTTGACCTGTGACCAGGCGGGCTGTGAAGATCCAGACGTATGCTGTAGGGGTCTGGAACATGGGGCCGGGGACCTCGTAGACGTTCACGTACATCTTGTACACTGCTGTTGATAATACGGCACCGACTAGGCTGCCGATCATCTGACCGTAGAACTGGGCCTTGGGGCTCGCACCCAGTAAGTGGCCAGTTTTCAAGTCTTGCATCATATCTCCGGCCTGTAGGGCACCGGACTCGGATACTGCACCAGCAAGAAGGTTGGTGACTAATGCAGTGCGCCGAGAAAAGTGGGAGGCAGGGGTTGCGAGAGAGAAAAGCAGTTGCGTTAATTTACTTATCCCAGATACTGGGTTCAGGTCTGTCTCGCCGAGGGCGCGCACACCCATTACAGATAGGAGGACAGCCAGCAATGTTGCAAGGCTGGAGAGCAATGGAGACATGACGTCACCAAAGACGAAGTGCATGCAAATAACGTTCAATATCAGTGTCAGCGGCAGCAAGATGATCACAGTTCTTGTGGAGATAAGCTGGGATGGAGGGGCGTCTTCCTCATCAGTAGCTTCAGCGCGCCTTCCTGCCAGTAAAGCAGGGAGATGGCTTGGTATAGAGGATTCTTCGGAGATGGGGCTCAGTGCTGAGTAGCTGATATAATCATGGCGATGAGCTTCCGCTGAGCCTGCGGGAAAACCCGACGCCCAAGACGACTAGAGAGGAGCTTGGCCTTCAGTTTGGGGGCGTGCTTTACGGCTGGCTTGAGCACTAGCCAGCCAAGGCTAACGATCGAGTCAGCGAGCATGATGGCCAGAGAAACCCATACAATCCAGGCCTTGCTTCCATCCTCCCAGCTGTCCACAGGGCCAGGAGCCCAACCGCGGGCTTTCGCAAACGGGGACAAAATACCCCAGCCTAAAACTGCACCAAAGAGCATATGCATGCAGGTAGAAGGGCCCATGATAATTCCTTGTCCGATATATGCTGGTGATGGGTTGAGAGTCCATAGCCAATTATGCGCTAACGAAAGCCCGAAAATTGGAATATCACGGACTTGAGGGACAAAGTACGAGAACAAAGTCTGCGTTTATTAGTACATGGGCACAATATCAGTCAGGGGAAGCAGCATAAATTCTTACATAAACACCGGAGACTGCGAACGCACCAACCAAGAGGCGCATCTTCGACCTCCAATCCTTTTTGTCACTGCTCTCCTCTTCCAGGGTAGGTTTGCTCAGTAGCGCACTACTCTCCTCAGATACACGAGAAAGAATAGGTGCCTCCTCCTCTTCATCTCTCCCCACACCCCTATTGTCACTCACCCTGCCCTTTGCTTTCTCATCACTCTGTCCGCTTCCATGAAGGACCCTCAGCATCAGCGCAGATGCTGTCCCGCTAGGAAACTTGAGTTTCTCGCGAACAATGACCTCTTTTCGCAAGGGAACAGCAAAGACAACACCGAACAAGCATACCCCAAGACTCCAGATAACCAGCTTCCAGAAACTAAGTTTCAGCGGCCCGCCTTCTCCGGTGCCTCCGTCGCCAGAGGGCCCATCTTCACCATCTCTTATAAGGAACTCCAATGCGGGTATAACACCAACAAAGCCACAACCTAATGGCATTGTTCCAACCGCCCCTGCCACAGTCTGAATGAGGACGTTCTCGATGGGGGTAAACGGATAAGAAAGATGTTTGGAGAACACTTTGAAGACCGAAAACCCGATCAATGCCGACGGCATTGCCATTGTACTAATCCATCCTGTTTGCAGCCCAAAGTATGTGTTCGAAAACGTGATGAGAGCACCGATAATGAGGCCAACTAGAAGGGATCTGGGTGTAAAGCTCTGGGCGGAGGCGACCGGCGAGCGCTCCGGTGTAGAGGTCAAGGGGAACCCGGCATCATCGTCATCGTCTACCCTCCGCCGAACATAAGCATTGGAATCTCCGGGGTGCGATCCATCCCCATCTGCCATATTCACCGATTGAGCACCTTTAGAGGCGTCGTCCGGCATGTTGATAGTTTGGTAGTTCATCGAGTCACCCGCAACACTCAGACCTCAGCCCTGCATTCCAGATACCACCGTCACAATTGAGATACAGGGAGTTTCAGCAGTCCATAGCGCAAGCGACAAGCATATAGACGAGTAAGTAAGGGAAGAGAAGGGGAGATGACAGCGACAGGAATGGGCGATGATAAATCACACTGGACGATCATGAGTCCAGCCGCACTGACTAAGCGGCGGCGATAAGATAAGCCCCCCCGGATTGGTGATGTCACTGGCACTTGCACGGATAACGAAGGATTACAGTAAGAGCGTCAATTCTCTATACTAATACTATGTACTGTCCGCCGACCGAGCATCTCTATACAACAACATTGTACCGATTCCCTGTGAACCATCCTTCCACGGCATCCTTGAACAGCTGCGAATACCCTTGTGCTGTCTTCTGTGCCAACCATGCTAAGTGGGGCGTCACCACCAAATTTAAATCCTCTGTGCCCTCGGCCAGCAAAGGAGTGTTATTAGGCCCAGCGGGTTCCTTCAAGCATACATCGGTTGCTGCTCCAGCAATTTGGTTCTCTCGCAGAGCCTTGACCAGTGCTGCCTCATCTACAACGCCACCCCGAGAGACGTTGATCAGGACGGCATGATGGGACATGGCTTCCAACTCTGGAGTCGAAATAAGGTTCCGAGTAGTTTCGTGCAGCGGAACCGCGAGGAAAAGCACCGTGCTCTCCTTGATCACGGTATCGAAAGGTGTCCTCTCTTCACCTTCGGGGCCAATAGAACTACCGAAATTCTTACGGCCAGAGATCAGGACCTTCATACCTAATCCCCGTGCAAGGTTGGCGATCCGTTTCCCTGTACGCTCCGTCAGAGATACTTAACGTAGAGAAGACTGCAGTAGAGCGCATCATATGAGATATATACGTACCCACGCCCCCATTTCCTATAATACCTACCACTTCGTCTTCGCATGTTAAGGGAGGATTTCCGTGCGTATCCAGATACCGGAACATTAGGGTCTGCTTTTGCCATTCCCCAGCCCGGGTTTGGGCATGCATATCCACGAGCCTCCGTCGTGTCGTGAAGTACAGACCCATGGCATGCTCAGAGACAGCGGCGATGTTTGCCCCCGGGCAATTAGTCACTGCAATGCCTCGTTTTCTGCATGCTTCAAGATCGACACAGTCGGTGCCGGATGCCACGATCACAATGAGTTGGAGATGCGGGGACCTCTCTTCAGAGAGCGCGGTCGCGTCAATGGGAAATGCACATAAGACCAGAATAGATGCATCGTAAATTCTTTCGTGGAGGGTTGCTAGTGTTGTTTGGGGATACACTGTTTTCGTGTACGTATACGGCTCGGGAAGATCAAACTCTGGGATCCGGACAAAGTCTCCTTGCAGGACGACCATGTGGTGGTGGTTTGGCAATTGTGGAGGACTCATATTTTTGTTTGCTTGGTTAATATACTGTCATGAATCACTTGGCGTGCTATTTGCGCTGTCAATGTCGACGAATTCAAAGGGACCGAGGCTTCAACTCGGATTTATAGGGCCGGGAACCCCACGCATGACCACGCACGCCCTAAGGCTGACATTTCTCCGGTGGGTCTGATAAGCAACGAATGAGTCGAATGTGCGAAGTGACCATAAATGCCAGGGGAAAATAATGATTCTCCTCCCTTAGGCATATATGGACTGCATGTAAAATTCCCTGGTGGCTTTGTGGTAAAAGATGGATGATGTATCTGTTTCCCACTCTGGCAACAATCCAGTACCTCGGGCGACTGTTAGAGAGAGATATATACAGCCCTAATATTAAGTCTACTACTGAGGATCCGTAGACCACCTACTTGTCATCAGACATTCAAAGGAGAGCTCTCTGTTTAGGGTTTCGGAAAATCCCTTCAAAATATTTTGAAAGCCCCTCGATGTCCTCTAAGCACCCAATCCACCCGATGTATTGATCTGGTCTCAGAGCAACAACGGCACCTTTCCGTCGATCAACCCCCCACTTGCCATATACCTTTCCATCACACTGCATGTCCCAATGGCATTTCTCATCACCCCATATCTTGTCATACTCCCAGCCGTTGTCGTCATCGAAAGGCCGTAGGGCCTCAGGGAAATCAAATAGCTGTACATCCTCCAGGGGCGCACTATGAATGGTAACCACATCAATAGTCGCGTGAAGCTTCGCAGGCTTGCGTGAAAATCGCCGTAGCACCGAATTAGGGGATGTTAAATACTCGCCGAAGGTCAGCACCCGACGCTTCTGCTCCTCCGCCCGCATATCACCAGCGAGGAGCAAGATACGGAAGCGACCATCGCTCTGACAGACCCCGGTAGTCCACCGGGTTATACCATCAGCTTGGTTGCGGACCTTGGCTGAAATGAGTCTCTCTCCCGGTGAAAGGTTTTTGGCTATATCTTGCCCGTTTTTCTGGACTAACGGGCTGTCTCCGTAATGGGACAAAAGGCCTTCGGCAAATAGCTCCACCGAGTCAAGGACCTCCTTCATGGCTTCGAACCTTGCTTCCGCGTCCGGAGGGGGAGAGCCTCCCTGTTGCTTCAGGAATAGCGACGATCAGCGACGATCGAAATCCACGAGCATCTCGGCGAGCGGGCGGCGCTCGGGTTCATATGTGTCAAGGATGGAGGCATGAGCCACTCCTTTTGCGACGAGGGCCACTTTCCAGCCGATGTTGAAGCCGTCCTGGAAACTTATATTCATACCCAGTCCTACCTTCGGAGAATGATTGTGAACTGCATCACCAGCGAGATATATGCGACCTTTGGTGAAGTTCCGGGCAATTCTTTGACCAATCTGATCCAAATACTTAGCATGATAGTGCCACGAAGATAAAGTCCACGCAGGTAGCTTGCCTGGTATGTAGTCCACCAGTCGCAGACTTTGAAATCAAACTGAAATGGCTTCAACATCTGTTGCACCTTTTCCCGCATCATGCCCAACGTAATGGACGATCGATCAAACCGTCCAGAGGAGACGTCGACCTCTGTCAGTGGGACGTAGAAACGGACTAGCTGCTTTTCTCTTGGAATGGCGAGGAGTGTTCCAAATTCACTTGCTACCGTAGCCGCTCGGCGTATATCAGCTGGCCCTGAATTAGTTATATAATTCGTTTTGAGTATGGAACCATCGACTTACTAAAATTGGTGATAGGAACCACATCAAGGACACCCCTGTAATAAAACCGTCAGTCACGAGACAGCCTAGGATTTCTGAAAAAGATGGTACCATATGTGTTCGGTTGTGGAACCTGTGAAAGGGATATCCAACTGCTTCCTGGTCCAGCTGCGGCCGCCATCACGACTAATGAGATACTTTGCTTTAACTATCTCGATTGTACCTGGCTCGTGCTTTCTTTCCGGAGTGAGGTCTTCTACATCGTCTGGCGCCACTCTGTCACGAGAAAGAGATTGTGAGCCGCCATAAGTTGAAGCAGCGCTTAGCTCTTCTTCGGTGAATGTCCTCAGCTTGACCGTGATCGGGTATTCCTCATGGTCATTCTCGAGGCTTGCATCATACTCAAGTGACTCAGCAGTGACACCTCTCTCGACCATAAGGTTCGAACTGTCTTTGATCGCATCGAGGACATAACGCTCAATTCTTCCCTGGCTCAACCCATGCATGCGGTAGGGCGCACCGTCAAGGCTTTTACTGCGAACCTGTTTTGTTCGCTTCAAGTTTCCCTTCTCGTCCTTCGCCTATATAGTATATTAGTCACGATGCCCGCGCCCCCCAGGATCGATGAGGGATAGAACAAACCCAGAAGCAGAACTCGGCGATTTCCACGCCTTCGTGCAAGACTCTGTGCTGAAAGCCCATACTGTCAAAGAGCTCCATTGTTCCGGCCCTCAACCCATCGGCATGGCCACGGAACACCTTAGTAGCGCGTCTATCGACGATACGGGCATTGACACCACAACGAGCCATCCAGTATGCAGCGGCTAAGCCAGAAGGGCCAGCACCGATGATAAGTCTAACAAACAGTCATCAATATCTAAGAGAAGCAACATCAAGGAACTCCGGCCGAACTTACACATCGGTGTGAGATTCGATCACAGGAGCCATGGTGAAGGCAACTGAGCTGAATTCTGTGCTGATAGATGGTTGGTGTTGTCTGTTGGGTTTCTGCCCGCCCCGTAGCAAAACAGGTTTTTATAACTCCCAAATCCAAACCATCCTGCAATGGCTCTGCATTTGTTAATCAGCTATAATGCAAGAATTCTCACCCGGCAGAGAAAGATTTTCTCGTTCCGCTTACAAAGCGATAGTTGGGTGGTATGAAATGCGGTCTAAAGCAGACTTGCATGAGGCCCACCAGGTTTGACCAGTCGAGTTCACAAGAACTTGACACGTAATCTCATAACAGACCCAACATGCAATGCTATTGTCTCTTTCGACTAGCGATCCAAGTAGATCTACTACATGGCTAGACGGATTAGTCACTAATGGCACAGGAGCCCTAGGGGCCAAGAGTTCTAGTTCTGCAAATTCTCATCGTCAAGAAGTACAGGGCGTGCATATACTTTCCCGCCATATATCAAAGGCAGCCTCTCGCAACACTAGACTAACCTCAAAGGAGCATGTTTTTGGTATAATAGCGAGGATTAGTAGCTTCATATGTAGATCCGACTCCCCGTACATCCCTCTGTCTAGGGAATATCAGGTTGAGTGTTCTTCACTGGTTCCGTGTTAACAATGGGTGCAGGTTATAGGTTGGTGATGACACAAATAATAGTTAGTATATATCGGACGGCCGTTGGTGCACCCCCGGAAAGATGGCCAGTATTCCAGGCCAGGCCCTATACACTAAGTACCCCTACTACAGACCCAAAAGCCCACGGACCAAGAGACCTGAATACGCTTCCTCGCAATCGTAGTAAAGTATGCGTAGCCTTAATAATATATACCCCAGCCAAGGACAGGTATACTAGAGGACAGGAAACGGACCTTTAAGATAGAAATGGCTGTCATATTAGTAAATATCCCATCCAAATCCATACATCATGTCTATCTTATCGCATTTCCTGGACAAATAGGTGCAACCAAAAGAGCAGCAGGTCGAAGCCGGGAATCTAGGATTAGACTACGGCAACATCCTCAATATAACAAGGGCCATATGCTATAATTTTTCAGAGAGACAAGGAGGTTCTACATTAGGGACCAGGTGCATTTGGATTATAGACAATGTTGTAGGTGCAGAGTTGTATATATTGGATGGAACATCGGGGGTTTATAGACATTTTGAATTGTACTATTTGGGAGGCAACTATATTTGTATTAATCCGACTTGTCATCAAAAGAAATCAATTGAATAATATTTATCTGAACCTGAACCTTGACGCCTCTATCGTCTATATGCAATTATATTCTCATCTAGCAATATCATATATATTTGTGTTGCATGTGGTGTGATGAAGGGTAATATGTAAGAAGTGTATATGTTATTATATACAAGTGCCCTTAAAGAAAACAGTTATGATCTTGATATTATCGCATGTCAATAGATACTCAAATATCCTCAGGCTGTATTCAGGAGAAAGCATTACTACCGGGATACTTCTTTCACAGGCTCTGGAAGGTCAAGGTATGTAGTAACTGTAAGGAAGGAGCTATCAAGTGCTGTAATATACCTCCACCGTGGCTTCTCATATCCAATCTACGCGGTATAGTAAGAGGTAGTCCTCCGTTCCTGCCCCTGATTCTGTGACTGTTGCTGCTGTGATTGCTCTTCTTTAGAAGCTAGAATCTTCCTGTCCGCCGAAACCTCGACTCGTTTCTCAACCCCTCTCACGACGCTCTCTTTCTTTTGTGAAGTATATGCTCTTTCTGCAGAATATCAGATCGATCCTCGTGTATTGTTATCCACTATTTTGGAGACCTATCGTACGAACTTAGCGCACTGATACTTCTGTTATGATCGTCAACTCTGGTCAGAGAGGTGGGTGCCTTTCAGTGGAGTTTATGCTGTTGAGCATGGATCCATAATCATCATCAAGGCAAGTGATTCTAACCCGTGTTTCAATCTGAGGCTATGGCCAATGATGAGAAGCACTATGATGATGCTCAGTTTCGGCTGACTTTTTCAGTGTCTCTCAGTCTGGTCTATTGACCATTGTATCATCATCAAGGCAAGTGATTCCAAATACGTGTTTCAATCTGAGGCCATGGCCAATGATGAGAAGTACTATGATGATGCTCAGCTTCGGCTGACTTTTTCAGTTATTTTCAGTGTGCGACTGCCTACATATGACGCCGTGTGACGAGACGGTTGGTGGGGAGAATATGGGTATATGTGCCCAGGAGAAGACCGGTAGCGAGGGTTGACTGCCTGGCAGGTGTCATTGCTGATGGGTGACGCCAGCACCGCGTCGAATATTACGGCACATACATCGCTCGGTGGAAATCATAATAGCAGGAAAATACATAGGCGATGTACTTTATGAATTGAATATTGAATCCCTGTTCGTAACCTTACGACGTCTGAGGATTTATCGTATTGATATCTGAGTATATAATGTTAGTTTAGCTGAGATAAGGTGTGCGCCTGGATACTTGCCTTCAAACAGAATCTGATAAGGATGGTGATTTAGTAGTTGTCGTATTATTTTATTCATCAAGTGGCCTGTCTTTCAACCTGTCTACCCCTAGTTACCCTTTCAATCTCGTCGTTCATGTTCCTCGGTCCAGATTGGGCTCTATAATTGTTCTATGGATGGGGTCCTGAGTTGGCCGCATGTCGCCCTTCTTTTAATGCCTCTAGGATCATGGTGCCTGACCAGGCCAGAAAGATATAAAAGAAACATAGTCACTCGATAATCAATCTACATTGAAGAAAGAATCATTCGCATAAAACAAGCAGAGGAAGTCCCCTCGGCAACACAAAGAGAAATCTACGCCTACTGAGAAAAATAGGGATCGAATACGTGCTATTCTTGACTGATATACTCCAAAGGACAGTGCCGAACTGCAGTCTCTTTCGCTATCTCTACTCCGTCCAGACTCTTAACCCTCGAAAGTAGGGTTGGTCAGAGTACCTCCAGGTCTAGTGTTAGTAGTCAGGGTGGTATAGGGTCGATTCTAAAACTATACCCGAGACCGATGCTATATTCGGGCTTAAGCTAAGGCGTTTTCAATAATAGGACGTGACCGAGGTATTGTAAAAGAAATATATGTATATATATATATATATATATAAAGCAAAAAGGAAGATCGACAAGCCGCTTATCCTTGACCCTCGACCCTCCGTCGCTTATTCTATATTTTCATCAGAAATAACCCAATATAGGGTTTTTGCCCTCTCTTCCAGATGTGTGTGTATGGCTTATAAATAGTTGACTGAACCAGCAGAAACGTACTTCCTAGGTTGAGTAAATCTTAAAACCGAACAACGCGCTACTGAATAGAACACTCTTTTGGATCCTATCCTAAGGGTTGGATGTGCATGGCCCTTGATGCATTATCTGCGCATAGATCAATAGTAGGCTATGGATCGTCGAACCTCAGGTCACAACGTATCCCGGAAGACGACTTCCCCCTTGAGTCCCCCATGCCTAGCTGGATGTTGCTACTCGCCACAAAATGCTTTCAACTCACCGGCAAAGGTGCTTCTTTGCAGTTGGTGGCGATGGCTGGAAAAGACGCCGCCAGAGATATTAGCCGCGCTACCAGTATTTCAATTAATGTGTATGGAATTGGTTACGGCCTTGATTATACGGTTGGTCTGTGTGACTCAGGGAGTTGGCCCCAGACAGCGTATCTCAGACATTGTAGGAGTATTTTAAAACCAAAGGGTTAAAACCCCCCTGCCTCAAGTGAGTCATGTTCCGAAGCAGCTTGGACAATATGCTTTTAGAAGGAGGCTGGTGAGAGAATAAATTTGGGGTAAACTAGAGAAGCTGTGGAGGCATTGTAGGGTATATAGTGCATTCCTTCTGCACTCCACTTCGGATACTAGTCTCACTACTAAAGGAGCAATTGACTTGGAGCAACGCCAGACACCCTTGTTTACGATTAACCAAGTATAGGGGTTGTTTATTTTGACGGGGGGGTTCGACGGAGGCTCGGGACGCGTGCCCTTGCATGGAGACAGCACGATCCTTGCTTGAGTTTGTCGATGCGGAATGACAGCCAGGCCCGTTGTGTCAAGCAAAGGTTAATGATCCACAGGTACCAGGGGAAGATATTTCCAGTTCAATCAAGGATCGACTATTCAGAACACATTCCTGTAGATGCCCAGACAAGGTGTCAATGTATATCCAGGGTAATAGGTTCAGCTCCTTCATTCCTTGGGAGAACGGACAAGTCAAGAAAAATGGAGGCTGCCATGATTATGGGCAGTCGGCGCGTCGCTGGAGAACATAAATAAATCCTCAACCATCTCTGGCAATATTCATCCTGTTCAGCACGATCGTTGAAAGACACATCGAGTGTAACAGAGAGATAACCACCTTCGACTTCGAATTCCATTACATTCACAAGCAAAACACACAATGCACTTCTCCACGGTATGTACCATATATATATATATATATTGACGGTTTTAGATGGTGTGATCGCTAATAAAACGCAATAAAGCTCCTAGCTGCCTCGATCGCTCTGGCCCCAGCTGTCTATGGCGCCGGCTCAAACGTAGTCCAAGTCGAGGTCCATGGCCATGAGGATTGCCATGTTGGAAGGCAACCAGGAAAGCACCTTGAGGAGCACGAGACCCTCAACGGCATGCCCGACAAGGTCTTCCCGACGGAAGAGTCCTGCCCTTCGATCAAGCTGCCTGACCATGACGAAGCCGATACTTACTCCTTTACGGTAACCGCGCTCAACAAGAAGAGCTTCGAGAGGTGCCGCGGTCTGGGGGTCTACGCGAATAAATTATGCGCTGGCAGGCCGGACTGGGTTGTGCCCTTCCACCGTGGAGAGCTCCAAACCACCAGCCCTTGTCTTCCTGAGTACGGCTTTGAGGACTACGCTTCGTTTCAGCTGATTTGCGATGACGATTCAGGCCACCACGATGAAGGAAACCATGGGGCACATGGAGAGGGAAACAAGGGGGGAGAAAGAGACAACGAGGGAGTAACTGAGGCAGAGTGGTCGGGAGAGGACGAGGAAGGCGACAAGGGGGAAGAGAAGGGCGAGGCTGAGAAGCCCCACCGTCAAGCCGAGCAGCCTGCCGCTCAAGGTAACCCTTGGCTTAAGAAACTGGGCTTGTAAGCGGTTGTGAGTTGGGGAAAAAGTATTGGATACTTTCATCGGTGGATGGAGGATCCTGGATGATGTATCACTATATCACTTTCACGAACAGCCTTTTGTTTCTTAATACCTAATACTATCTTCTCTCTCAAATGCCCTTCTATGTTCACTGAAACAACGCAATTCACTTGCCAATCACGCTGTATGAGTGGAGTTAAGCCCAAACTGAGAAACCTGTCGGGATCTATCCCACATAGCACATGGAGTTGCCTGCCTGGCAAAACTACACCTGGACATATCTTGCGTATCGTGTCTAGCGTGCGTGGCTGGATATCCTGCCAAAGTAATCAGCCAATCCGCCACATTTCTTAAATGTCCTCCCACATCCGCAGCACCGTATGTCGATTCAGGCATATAATTCACCTGGGTCAATTGTGCCCACAGCAAATCAACCAGTCGAATAAGCATGAGACAAGCACATACGTGTCATACCAAGTTGCCAGCCCGACAGAGGCGCCGTTAATGTGGAATGAAACGATTGGAATGCTTGGTTTCCATTGCGAGGAGCCAAGCCACTCACGACAGGAATGCGAGGCGCCGGATGCTTTTTCCCATGGCAATTAAACGCTTGGTGGCTCACATATCTCTAGTAGGCATAGTATAATTCCTCACGTACCAGGTATGGAGCCTACTTTCACCTCGCGATTGGGGGCACGACACCCGAAAGTAGATATGGATCTTCCTGCCCTCGGGGAGTATTTCGGGAAACTGGGTCCGTAGTTATGGGAATGTGATATATAACGGCCAGACAGGCCAGAAGTTGGAATGCCGACTCAGATCTGGCTGTGTTTTCTTTTGTCAGCGCTGGCGCATATCCTGTTGTCGGTGTTTGTATATACTAAGTTTTGTTACTAAGAAGTAGTAGTTCCTCAACATGCATTGGACAAATGTACGTGGGAACAACGACCTTCACTCTATGTCTTCTGAGCAAAGCATACATTGGGCTCAAAGAAGCTAACAGGCATATAGCTCCTCCCTCTCCTAACTCTTGCCCACTCGCCGGCGGCCTCAGCTCTCAGCGCCGCCCGAGTATGGGCCAACTTCTCTCCCCAGTGCCCAGCCGACGACCACACCTCTTACCCAGATGATCCCAATCTCAGCTTGCACGAAGAATTCACAACAGCCGTCGACGTGGTCGCCGGGAAATGCCAGGAAGTTCCGGTTCCTCTTCGATACACCATGGAGGTAGATCACGTCTCTATTGACGCAGAGCTCTTCTGGCAGGACAGCCTAGACCAATGTACTATTGCTGTGCACGAATTGCCAGGCTGTACCGAACCGCCACTTATACAGAAGGAGATCGGACATGGGAAAGCACTCAGTGAGTGTGAAGAGCGGAACTTTGCCACGTTCACTCAGGTTTGGGTCAAGTTAGAGTGTGAGAAGATGAAGCCGGTTCCTCATGGCATAGCTTCTTGGTACCATGGGAGACTTTCAAATTATACAGGGGGTGCTAATAGTACTGGAAATCACAATAGCACCAAGCCCTACAGTGCGACTGGTGTGTCCCACAGCAGTATGTGGAAGAAGATATTGGAAAAATAATCGGGCACGACTTATGCCGCCCTGATAATAGTTAGTTGTGGTAGCTCTGTCTGTCTCTTTATCAGAGACTTGGTCATCTCGTGTGTTGGGAAGCAGCCTTTTGATATGTGTATATTTGAGATCCGGATCTCTTCGCTGTTTCGTTGGTTGGCGATATTGAATAAATGATCACGATTGATATGCGACAATTACATTCACTTGGAAATCCTCAAGAACCATTGAGCATTGGTAGTCATAGTATACAATACATCCCACTGAGGAAACACATGTAACACCAAAATCGACACGAAAAGTTGGCTAATAACGAAAAACAATACACAAGACTTACCGACAACGCCCGATTGCTGCAAAGCACAGAAAATTGAATTTTACTAAAACCCGAAGCTATCAAGTAGCGAATTCGAGTCAGGCTCATAGAACATGGTCGGGGGTGGTTGTGGTTTCTTCAGCGCATCGGGTGCCTTCGAAGATGGTGGCAGGCCAGTTTTCATTGGCATGTCTGCTACCACAAGACTGCTTCGTCGTCGAAGCATTTTCCTGTAATCAACGCCATTTTGCTGCAGGTCAAATGATACTTCCTTCACTGCCTTGGCAGGTGGAGGCTCGGCCAAGAACTCCCACTGGCGCACCAGGTTCAGCGCGAGAAGGTCGCAACCCATTCGATCATAGAGGCGCGCGTTGCGGATGACGAAGCCCCATTCAGCTGGACCAGAGACTTTAGATGCACCCTTCAAGGTCTGCAATGTTTTCTCGCGAAGCTGTTTGTATAAGACTACTAAAGCAGGGTCGTTCGATAGGTACGATTTGGCATGTAGTGGGATCATGCCGGGGCTTCCCGGAGAGGCAGGTGTGGAAGGAATAAGTGTTTCAACTGGAGACTAAAGATACCAAAATCATCAGCATAGGGACCAGGAAGAACACCAGGGGAACGGTGCCTGGTTGATCGGCCAACTTACAATGAGCGAGCGAACAGCCATATCACGACGGCCCAACATCCAGAATGCCCAAGAAGCCATCCATCGGTTTCCGTCAGAGGCAGCTTCGGGTAAGACCCTCTCTTCCAGGATTTCCTTTAACACTGGCCCATCATCCCCTTCGTAGGCGCGTACAATTGCAATCGCGAGCTGGAGATCACCGACCTGATTGATACAGACCATAGCAGCATCGTGCAAGTGATCTGCAAGAAGGAAGAAGGCCGCCGCATACTCTGAAGGAGCTGTTAGCGTATCAAACGGACGCAGAACTTCTCTATGATCAAAACTCACCAAATCTGCGCTTCCCAAGCAGCGCGTATGCATTTTTCAAAGCGGTTGTTTTCCAACGAGGCTCTAGGAAGTTATTTGCAAGTAAACGTTGAGTCGCAGCTTGCTCACGATTCCATTGAGCCATGCGCCAGAGGCCCTGGAGAATGCTCTTCTTCCCAAGAGCAAGGTAGTACAGCGAACAGTCAATTGGGTTCTTCTCTTCTGTTTTAGTATACTCATTCCGGGCAACCACTTCCAGTTGAGCTCGCTAGCATTGGTCAACACAGAGCCCTAGGGGCAGGAAATGAGTCATAATATACTTACAATAGTTGTGGTATTCGACGACCACATGAACAAGCCGCTCTCCCTGGCGGCCTTCCATACCATCTTACCGCCGAACTGCCTCGACACAAGGTCCAAAAGGATATCTTGGCTACCGCTATGAAAAGCCCAGACGATCTCTCTCCAGGAGACTGTATCTTTGTTCGCGACGCCTTGTGTTCTTCGCAGCATATGTTGCCGGAAAAACAGCAGATAGCGGGCAGCGTTGTCATCCATTGAGCGCCGATGCTTTTCGACAGTGGCAACACATTCGATAGTATCAACCAGGCGGAATTGTTCTTGACTAGAAAGTTGTGGTAAAGCAATCTTAGCTAAATTTTCATTGAGCCCAACAGCGGTTTTCTCATCCATAACAGATGATTCATCTTCCAGCGAGAGGTCTTCGTACGCGGAATGCAGTTCCTTGGACGACGCTTTCTGAGAGGTCTTGAAACGTGTTAGCTGCACGACTAGGTACTACAATACTAAATTAGCAAACTCACATCATGTTCCAAATAGAAATCCTCCAGGGGCATGTCCAAGAAACCATCAAGGTCGTCACCTTCAGTGTAGAACTTGAGCTTCCGGTGCAACCTTATCAAAATAGAGTGCGCCAAATTACTCCTGCCACTGAGGATACACTGAGCCAAGAATTGGGGGTGGAACACAGGCAACGGGCCATTCAACCGACTGACAACCTCGAATAGGTCTACAAAACCTTGGCGACGCGATGGAATACGAAGCTGTGAAACTAGACGATCGTTGGCGTCGATTTCATTGTCGTACACAAAAAGTTGGTTTCCCGCTCCGATCACAAGGTGACCATTGTTAAGCCAACAGGAATCTCCAATAGGATGAGGTGTAAGGTCCCGAATCCAGATCTCCCTGACTTGGGTCCAGGAAGGTCGAGCATCAAGGTAGTCATAACGAAGCTGCGATAGCAGGATGACTTTGTGGGGAAACCCAACCGCAAGAATGGATTGCATGTCTGGCGTGGAAGTCCAGTCCAAGTCACGGATGATATCTTTCTGGCCAAAGTGCTCCTCATACTCCAATTGCGCACCATTTGTGTCCCAGATTGTTAAGTGGCTACGGTCCTCGTCCACAAGAGCTGCTTTTCTGATGGAGCTTCCACTGGCAAGAGATGGGTTTGCAATTCCCGTTTCAACTGTTGATGTCAATAGCCATTCTACCCGACTCTTCTCTCTATCGACCTTAGCAGCCCAGGTATGGACAATACCAGTCCGGGTATACGATAACGCTATGTCGGGAGAAAATATATCGAAGAATCCAGACATTTCAGCTTTAGGGCCTGCTGGGTCAACAGGCAAGATGTATGACATATCCTCCTCAATTCCCAGATTGAAAGTGCAGAATTTCTGTAAGCAGCATTGAGAATTATGTGCCCCATCCGCTTGCTTTGTTGCAGTTGGCAGCCGGATCTCCCAAGCTATTCCGTTCCTATCAGCCCCGATAGTTGCTATATATACCATTCCTTTTTCCGTCGTAGGGATTGGGAGAACACAAAGTGGTTTGCTTGATGATTGGAAGGTCGACGCAGCAATTTTCTTAGCATGAAAAGAGCGCAGATCCCAGACTGAGATTCCATTATGATGGAGATTGACGAGGAAATCTCCATTCTCAACCACACATGTGCGATGAATGTGTTCATCTGAGTATAGGGAGCTTTTGCGGATAAGCATCGACGCGCTATTCCTTCGTTTCTGCTTCCAAATCATTGCCTTGTTATCATCTGTGCGTGAAACAAGAGTATCGCCGATCGCATTGCGGACAATCTTTTTAACTGGACCATTGTGCCCTGTCCAGGATGCTTTCAGGGCAATCCGGTCCTTGCGAGGGCTCGGATCGAATAATGTATCAATTTGTGAATCATACCATTCGATACGGCCATCGAAATGGTGCACAAGAATGGAAAGCGAATCACCTAACTGTGTACTTTGAAATGCACATATTTGAGCATAGTCTTCATCCGTAGACAGCCCCTGCATGAACGAGAAATTCAGGCCTTCTACATGGAGGATGTTGAAGGCGTTCAGGTCAGACTTGGATTTAGAGCCGACATCCTCGAGCGCCCACGCCGACATGTGACCTTGGCCATCTATCACAACGCAGATTTCAGGGCTTTTGTTGGCGACTTCGATTATATGCTCTAAAGCGTGGTTTCCCTTGTTCCCTCCAGACCTCTGCACTGCCCGTTCGGTAGCCACACAGAAGTCTCTGCTATCAATGACAAAACCATATCGTCGAGACAGATCCCTCTGATCCGCTGTATGTCTTGGTTGGACAGAAGCGCCCATGTCAATTTGTGTCCATAGTTGTAGCACGGTTGGTGAATGATGTTCCATCATTGCCCAGACCCTGATCTTGCTGTCGGCGCATAGGGTGTAGAGGACATTATCGATAGATTGCTCCTTATGAAATGGCTTACGCCAGTGGACGCCCGTCACGATTGCTGGATGCGGAAGGTATGACACCTCGAACCGAACATCGTCCGCGCCAAACGACAGCCGTCGCCATACTTTGACTAGGCGGTCGTAATATCCCGTCGTAATTACCAAAGTCGAGTCGGGAGAGAACTGTGCAAACTTGACAGGGTTCGCGAGTTTCTGCTTCCACACCGGACGCGGCACATCGTTCAGAAACCACAGTGTAAGGTGGGAATTCCCTAGGAGCAGCTCCTCGGGGGAGCCCCATGACAGAGTCCGGACCGTCTCATCGTCGTTCTCGTAACGGAAAGTCTGGACAAGAGACCACTATACCGACAATCCATCAGCATTCGCTCTTGCGCGTCCAAAAACCGCAGCCGGGCTGTGAATATCTATCCTCTTTAAGCCATCCTCATGGTAACGGACCTTTAATGTTTCATGCTTGATGCCGTACGGCTGGTAGATAAAAACATCCGGACCACCGCACACAGCAATTTTGCCAGAGGCTTCATCAATTGTCACGGCTTCTAGGGATTCGGCATCGTCGACGTAGATGGTTTGTAGGAGCGTGTGGGGACCGCCGAGGATAACCAGCGCATGGCCGGAGATGTAAACCTGTAGCGAACAAACGCAACGGATCAAACGTTAGCAGAGCCTAATCTTCGCGCAAAATTTAATTCGAGGACTGAATCGTAGTTTTCCTTACAACGACACGGAGACCATCCCACAGCGCAGTGCTGAAAGACTGGAGCTTCGCTCGGGGCCTCCCTGGCAGTACCGCTCGCATAGAGGCGGGTAGTTTGTTGAGTGTCGCTCGTTGCGCTCAGGATAGAATTACACCATTGCTAGGAACAGAGAGCCAGATGTTCGAGACGGGCCTCAGAAACATCAAAAGGCGCAGGGAAGAATGTCGAGGGCCTTTTGCGTAAATAGAATAACGGAGGTAAGCTGGAGCTCGGGGAAGTCTAAAGTGGTCGAGTTAATTGAGGACTAAATAAATTACGTTGGTGTTCCGCCCACCGCTCCACTTGCCGCCGTGTGACTGAGCCATGTGGACAGTGACGTCCTTTATATGGATACATCGGATACTATACTACTACTGCAACCCAGAACGTGGTATGTATCTTTCCGTTGTACAGCGAGTCAAGGCTGCAAAGAACTATATACTCGCAGTGGTCAACACGAAAACCAGTGCCAGAATCTAGAAAGCCACCTTCCAACAACTCAAACAAGCTCCTATAAACTACGCGCCATCCATGTCTTGCAATGTGGGGTATCAAAAAACAAAGAAAAAAGCTCCAGCCTAATACCAAGCAGCGCCAACATGGAAACGGAGAACAAAATAAGCGAGAAGACACTGTACATCCAAGATCGTTGCCCTAGATTTCTGGATTCTAGATTCGTCGGTTGGCGGACCTTCTAGCGTCCGTAGGTGATTCTGGCTCCTGGTCCACGAACCGAACGCTCGTGCCCAGAGAACTGCCCCGACCGTTGCGGGTCCGTGGGTGGGAGCCAGATCTTGGTGCCGTAGCTCCTGCACGCAAAAGTCGACTGGCGAACGGCGTGTATAATGGTGTCGCAGGAGTCGTAGAGACCTGTGCGAGTGCCCTTGCCCGTACGGCCCGCTTGGATGGCGAGGTCAGGTAGTTAGGGGTGGTCAATGGAGTTGTCGAGACATTCTGGGTATCCGCAATAAAGTCGTTGGATTTGAAAGGTGTCTCGGTTTGATACCAAGGGTCGAATACAGATCGATTTGTTCTAAGGTTCCCAGCTGGGCCGTCGAAGTTTCGTGCAGGGGTAACGAGAGGCCTCGAAGAATCCCGAGCCTCAAGGTTCATTCTCAACTTCTCCAACCAGTGGCGGAACATACTTCTTGAATGCCGTCTCAAATTCCTCTCTTTCATGGCCTCCGCTGTCTCATTGGTGCTTCTGATTTGGAAGACACGGAGACTAAGCCTGCGCAGGCAAACGTTTGCCTGCCCCAAGATATGTACGCGATACATACTATCTGCTTGCTGATTTAGACGGTGGCATTCCAATAAGGCCTCTGCTAATCGTATCAACTGGTCGTAAGCGACTCTTCGCGAATGGTAGACTTCAGCTTCATGATTATCTTGAGTTCGCTTTGCAGTTTGGTCATGCCATCGTTGCAGGAGTTCAGCCACAATGCTCAGTGATTTTCTTCGGCTAAATTGCAAGGCCTGTTGATCCATATCGAATACATCATGGGCCCTCGCGCGCCAGTTTTCCAGAGCGTTCGCAGCAAGGTTCATCTTGATCTTTCTTCGTGTCGTCGCATAAGCTGCTTGGCGGCGCCGCTTAGAGGACTCCAATGTTGCTGCATGCCACTTTTTCAGTGTCTTCGTAGCCGTAAAGTAGAACTGCGCATTGCTAGCCCATCCTTCGAGTTTGACCGCGTGCTGTGATTTCGATCGCCAGGCTATCAGCGACTCTTGAAGCAGTCGTGGTGCATAGAATTCAAAGGCAACGAATTCTCGGTGACGCTGAAGCGCGAACTGATTGCGCCAACAGATTAGCTTGGCCTTTAACAGCTCTTCATTCCGGCGATCTTCGTGTACTTCGGCATGGTCAAGTAGACGAGTGTAGGTTCGACGGACATTGGTTACAAATCTGGAGAACACCTCGCGCGTGATCCGTTGATCTCGAATCCGCTGCATAAGAGAGAATCTCTCCGCCAATATCCATTTATACATCGTTTCGATTTTCAGCCGTTCTTCAATCCGCGCACTGAGGGCCTGACAGCGAAGCAGGTCATTCCAAGTTGTCCACGAGTTACGTAGGATTCTCAGACGGTTCATTTCTCTTGCGTGCTGCAGCATTCGGATCCGCTTTATCCACTGAACATATGCGGTTTGGAGGATTCGTCGATCAACCATGCCAGACACACGAGAAGCGGCAGGGGCAAGATGGGATTGGATTTTCCATTCTCCAAGAGTTTTATGTAGAAGGTGTTGACGCTGCTTGATTGCTACCTCCTGTTTGCCAGCAGCGATCGCTTTAGACCTTCGGGACCACACTTGCCACGCTGAACTAAGAGCCAGATGTTTGCTCTTGACTTCTATCTCATGATTGCGCTCTCTGTTTGTTCGGAACTTCCGCAGCCAATACAACAACGACCGCCTCTTGAGGCAGTAGTCATACCATTGGGGAGCACGCCGTTCGCAGAAAGACCAGAACCATCTCCAATACATGCCGTGTAATAGTTTCTTGTCATAGGCAACAGTCACCTCTTTCTCCGACTCCCTTATATGATCGACCTTCCTCTTCCAGATATTGAATGGTCGCCGTAATGCGAATCTCTGGGCTTTCAACTCGTTAACAGCTGTTATTTCGCGCCAGGCGTTGAAGTATTTAACACTTAAAACATGTTTTCGCGCTGCAGAAGTTCTTGCTACTTCTTCCGAAGCGACCTGCGCCCAGTGGGTAAAAGCTTTAGTCACGAGGTAGAGATCGCGGGCCCGGGAAGCGCGCTCCTCTAGATGTTTAAAAAAGCGGTCGGTTTGTGCTGCTCGCCGTTGTGTTTTAATGATTGAATGCCATGTCTCGAAAGCTTGACGAAGAAGCGTGCCTCTGTCGCGATTGATGGCAACCACTTCCATATGCTGATGGCTTTGTCGAGTTTGGATGGCTTTCTTCAACCATTGTGTAAGTAGCCGCCGGTTAATAGCACGTTGACGATACATGTTAAATGTTGACGCATCGCGTAGCAAATCGGAGAGCGATGGTCTATACAGCAATTCCGGCGGAACTTCGGGCTTCTCTACAGAGTCGTCACCTTCAGCCGATACGGATGAACTCTCTGTATCTCCATCAGAGCCTTCTGAGCTTAATGAGTGTCGTGTACGCGACCGGGAGGCTTTGGCTATCCTCTTTGAGCGATCTCGATCAACAGCAGACCTAGCATGCACTCCATTAGAGACATGATCTTCGGTATTTCGCCTATCCGTATCTTTATCCAAAAGATCCATTTTATTCATAAGGCGGCGTCCAACATCTAGAAACTGTGCAATCAGCTGAGCTCTGTCAGTTGAATCAGCCTGCTTCGAGAGTGCGCGCTTTGGTGACGGCTTGGTACTAGAGAATTCGGGTTTGTCCATTGGCAGGCGGGACAAGGAAGAGCGCGAACTTGGGCGATTGGCGAAACTCCTTTGCGTAGGGTCATCACCAACATCATACATGGAATTGAACGATGCTCGCCTCCTTGGGGTGGGCTGTGTAGTGCTTTCTCTATAAGTGGTGTCGCGATCGACCTTCGCTTTGAGCCGGCCATCTGTTGAAGGCACACTGTCCGCATAAGTGTCATTGCCTTCATCTTCGTCTTCACCAAATTCAATGACTATTCCCATCCGTTCAAGTAGGTTCTCGAATTTCTCAAAGAGGGAATCGCCTAAGATATTCTTGCTCCCCATCTTGAGTAAGAAGCGCAAGCAGGCATAGCGTGGGTCTGGATCCACGCCATGTTCTGCGATGACTTCATCGTACGCTCTGAATAGCACTCTGTATGGAAGGCGCTCCACCTCTGAGTCTCGCTCAGCGCGGGTGATAACTTGATAGAGAAGGCCGACATCTAACATACAGGAACCGGTTATTAAGCAAGTTCGGATGAAGCTTCCATGGGATCACCCATTACGCACCTTCGTCTGAAAGCGACGGGTCTTCATAGGACAAGTGTCTACGCTGAGGGGGTACGGGAGGCATCGAACTGTCCGCGACCTAGGGCGCGTTTTTCGCAGAAAGGTCATGGAGGCGGGAAACGAAATCAACCATTGCGAGGCACAGGGTTGGACGTGAAATAAGAACCCACGGGGCCTCAAGCCTGCCAGCCAAAAATAAGAGACGGTAAAGGAGGAACAAAAGCGAAGCCGTTCGCTGAAGCGATTGGACGGCTGAAACTAGGCTTCGTCCCCAACCTCCGACAATTGTTTTGCTTGTCGCGCGGAACCCAACATGGAATGTAGCAGTCATGTGATGTGATTATGTAATCTCATATTCCCTCTGCATTGCATCAAATCAATCACTTCAGACCAGGCAAAGGCAAATAATAGCAAAATCAAAGAGAAAATGCCATCAACAAGAACCAGGCCCATTGAGAAATTTGCAAAAGCCACGTCAAAATGCTCTGCAGAGGTATACACCTGCCCTATGGTCCTGCCATGACACTAGCTGACCGTTTCTCAGGCAGCGGCATATGGCAAGTGCGTTGTTGCTGACTACAATTCGGTCCACAAAGACATGTGTGCTAAAGAGTTCATGAAGCTCAAGGACTGCTTCCTGGTAAGGTGTAAGATCGAATTTCCGAGAGTCGAATATTAATCTGGAGTTGCTGATAGGCAGCGTCGAAGAAGCTTTGAAGGAAGACGGTGAGACAAATTACGATGTTAAATCTCAGGTGCATGCATTGAGCGCAGACCTCTTCCTTTTTTTTTCTTTCTCTTTTTTAGACTTCTTTATTGTTATTTTACTCTTGGGGTAAAATACGGCCTACTATCTCGAAGGCAGATCCATGTATAAAATGTAATTTTATAGACAATGCTATCGTTTAACGCACTCGCGGAAACACAAACATATAAGCTATCAACGAACAAGATCTAAGCACTGGCATGACACATCTAGTTACTCGAATGTCTAGAGTTTGAGCAACCTCAGCATGAAAGTTGCTTTCTGGACTTCTTGTTCCTCCTCCATGATCATGCGTTCCTCATCTCCACTGGGAACCTTGCCATCAACAAGCTCGAACTGCTCAAGAGGTCTGCGCACAACCTTCTCAATGGCCTGGGCTTGCGTCTGGAAGGCTTCACCCAGACCGACATTCTCAGGATCCGAGAGAATTGCGTATTCCATCTTGACATCATCAGTCGGCACTAAGCCGGCCTTCTTACGAAGACGCTGTAGTCGGTTAATGATTTCTCGACCCAGTCCTTGATGCGCCAGCTCCGGGTACAGGTTCGCATCCAAGATGGTCAACACGTCGTCATCGGCGTTGGGCTCCATACCCTCGGATGATGCATCTTCCTTGACACCCCGTCTTACGACAAGGTCTCCTTCAATAAGCTCAATACCATCCACAAGTATTTTCTTGTCTGAGACAAACTTCTTCACATCATTGCTGGTGAGAGAAGGCAAAGACTTCTTGACCTTTTGAGCATCCTTCTTCAGCTTCTTTCCGAGGGTCGGCCAATCAGCAGTCACGCTATACTGGACATTATACTTCTCCTCGTCAGATGACAGGATGAGCTCGACAACGTTCAGCTCCTCGAGAATGTAGCTTTGCAAGGACTTCACGTCCTCAAGGAATTGCGGATCTTGGTGGATAACGACAAGCGTCTTCAAAGGGGTCTTCAAGCCAAGGGTGCGACGCTCACGGGATACACGGGCCATTTCGATAACCTTTTGCATCCGGGCTACACGCCTCTCAACCACTTCATCGAACAGCTCCTCACGCACCTCGGGGAATGGAAGGAAGTGAACACTGCGGCTATCTTCACTACGGAGAGCCTCTGGGATGTGGGGAAGGAGCTTCTGATAGATGGTATCGGTAAGGAACGGTGTGAAAGGAGCAAGTCCTCTGACCAATGTATAGAGGACTTCAAAGAGGGTGTTGAGGGCGTGCAAAGTGTCATCAACGCCGTTTTCACCCTTCAAACGCCTCCGGTTAAATCTGATGTACCAGTTGGTAGTGTTGTCAATCAGTCCGAGCAAGCGGGGAACAACTGTGTACAAACGGTATCCTGCCATCTCCTCATTCACAAACTTGAGAAGACTCTGGCAGCTTGCCAAAATCCAGCGGTCCATGACATTGGTGTTGGTGGCTTCTGCCTCAGGATCAAAGACGTAGTCAACACCCTGGGACTTCTTAAGAAGAGCCACCTGACCCTCGAAAAATTTGTAGCTGTTCCAAAGAGGAAGGAGAACCTTGGCGACAATCTCCTTGACACCGGCTTCCTTGAATCTGAGTGGCTCCGCGCGTACAACGGGGGAGTTAATCAGATACAGACGGAGAGCGTCAGAGCCGTATCTGTTCATGATAAGAGAAGGATCTGGGTAATTCTTCAATCTCTTAGACATCTTCTTTCCGTCTTCAGCAAGGACGATACCGTTTACGACACAGTTCTTGAAGGGCAATTTGCCAAAGAGATGGGTACCCAAAACAGTCAGGGTATAGAACCAGCCACGAGTCTGGTCCAATCCTTCGGCAATGAAGTCACCGGGGAAGCTCTGCTCAAACTGCTCCTTGTTCTCAAATGGGTAATGCTGAGAAGCGTACGGCATGCTGCCTGACTCGAACCAGCAGTCGAACACCTCGCTCACACGGCGGAGAACACCCTTGCCTTGCTTGCTGGGGATGGTGATCTTGTCCACTTTATCGCGGTGGAGATCAGTGAGTTCGCCCTGGTAGCCACTGAGTTCCTTGAGCTCTTCAGCACTGCCAACAGCGACAATCTCTTTGAAGTCGTCGCTGACCCACAAGGGCAAAGGAGTACCCCAGAATCGGTTTCTAGAAATGTTCCAGTCGCGAGCATTCTGAATCCAGCTGGAGAATCGCTTCTCCTTCACAAATGAGGGCACCCAGTGGGAGCCCTCAATGCCCTCAAGCATCTGAGGAATGATACAGGGGATCTTGACAAACCAGGCGGGCACAGCTCTATAGATCAGAGGAGTGTCGGAGCGCCAGCAGAATGGATAACTGTGAGTGATCTGACTATCAACAATCAAACGGCCAGTTCCCTTAAGGTACTTGATGATAGGCTTGTCGGCAGCTTTGACATGTTGACCCACAAAGTCGCGGATCTCGCCCGTATAGCATCCCGTCTCGTCGACCGGATTAGGTGGCAAGCGCGTTTCGCTAATAACGCCGCCTTCCATGCCAACCCTGTAATCGTCCTCACCAAAGGCAGGGGCCTGGTGAACAACACCAGTACCATCCTCAGCCGTAACATATTCGGCGTTCAACACGCGGAAGCCGTGGTCTTTGAATTCTTCATAGAAGTAATCAAACAAAGGCGTATATTTCCAGTCCTTCATGGCGGAACCCTTAAATCGATCGACAATCTTGAATTTGGCCTTCTTGGGATCTTTATAGAGCGTCCGAAGCAAGGACTCAAGGAGAATGTAATGTTTGCCCGAGGCTTCATCAAGAATCTTGATATATTCAAAGGTAGGATTAACTGCAAGACCAGTATTCATCGGCAGTGTCCAAGGAGTGGTGGTCCACGCGAGCAGGCACGTCTCAGGGTCTTCCACTAGAGGGAATGTTACCACGACTGCAGGATCTTGCACGTCCTTGTAGTTTTGTTGTGCTTCGAAGTTACTGAGGGGGGTGTTGAGAGCAGTGGAGTAAGGCATAACGCGGTAGCCTCTGTAGACTAGGTCCTTATCGAAGAGTTGCTTGAAAACCCACCATACGGACTCCATGAAGGATGTGTTCATGGTCTGTATAGATCATTGCAATAAATCGTCAGCAATCCCGAATGTAAATGGCCCACAAGAGGACGTTTTTTCCCGCTCCTTGGAAAAGCCAAAACAGGGCATCGGTTGGGATTCTACCTTGTAGTCATTGTCAAAATCGATCCACCGGCCAAGTCTCTCAATAGTTTCTCTCCATTCAGATGCGTATCTCATAACAATGGCTCGGCACTCCTCGTTGTACTTTTCAATTCCAAGCTTCTCGACAGCTTCTAAGCCCGACATGCCCAACTTCTTGTCGATTTCATATTCGATGGGGACACCGTGTGTATCCCAGCCGAATCGTCTCTCAACATAATGGCCCTTCATAGACCAGTATCTGGGGATGATATCTTTAATAGTGGAAGCCAGCAGATGGCCATAGTGAGGAAGACCGGTCGCGAACGGCGGACCATCGTAGAAAGTGTACGGTTCGCGGCCACGAGAGAGCTCGACTTGCCTCTGGAAGGCGTTGATCTCCCTCCACCGCTTAAGGGTAAGTTCCTCCTCCTTAGGGAAGTCAATCGACATGACGGGCGAACGTTCTGTCTTGACGTGTGGGTGCGAGTTTTCCAAAGGAGGGATGGCCGCGGGGTAAAATAAAAAGATGCAGAAATGAATGAGTCAACCCCGCGGAGCCGAAATTTTGCCAAGCCCTTCACTCAATTTGCAGTGCGCCCTGCCGCTGACTCCTAAGGCAAGAAAAATGGATAGTAGTAGGTACCTAAGGCAATTGCCCTTCTATGTATGTACAGTACATCATGGCTTCTACAACATTCCTTGATAGTGCTTGACCTTGACCATCTCTAATTCAACGGCATAAAACAGAGATTACGGCATATATAGCCATGGGAAACATGCCATGTCATGTCTTTTCGTTCATTTATTCCTCATCGTCTTCATCTTCCTCCTCGTCATCATCGTCATCTTCCTCGGCTTCGGACACTTCCTGGCCAAGATCTTTCAGGCGTTTCTAGAGAAAGTATAAGTTGATTGCCACCCTTTGGTGTTACAATTGAGTGACTCACCTTGTCTTCGTTCCTCTTAGCCTCCAAGTCTCCGAATACAATCAGGAGGTCCTCTAGTTCAGATTGAGCTGACTTGCGGGCTTCTTCTTTGTCTTTAGCCTCTGATTTCATCTTTTCCAGCTCTTTCTGCAACTCATCAATCTCTTGGGCGAATTTCTGCGCAGCTGATTCGTTCTCCTTTGCCTTGCGAGCTTCTTCGGCCTGGTCCTTGGCTTCTAACTTGACCTTCTCCAACTCTTTTTGCAACTTTGCGATTTCTGTTTGGGTTGATTTGCGAGCTGCTTCTTTATCCTTCACTTCCGACTTGGCCTTCTCTAGCTCTTTTCGCAATCCTTCTGCTTCGGATTTTGTCGACTTGCTTGACTTGCGAGTTGTATCTTCTGTTTTCTTGGCTTCTGACTTAATCTTCTCCAGCTCTTTCCGTAGCCCTTCTGCTTCGGACTTTGCCGATTTGAGAGCTGCGTCTTCTGCTTTTTTAGCTTCTGACCTAGCTTGCTCCAACTCTTTCCGTAAGCCTTCTATTTCGGACTTTGCCGATTTGAGAGCTGCGTCTTCTGCTTTTTTAGCTTCTGACTTGACTTGCTCCAACTCTTTCCGTAACCCTTCCGCTTCAGACTTTGCCGATTTGCGAGCTGCTGCTTCTTTTTCTTTGACTTCGGACTGGACTTTCTTTAACGTTCCTCGTGCCTCTTGCAGCTCTTGCGTGGATTTACGCTCAGCTGACTCACTCTGCTCAATTTTTCGCTCCGCCTCTTCAGCTCGCTTTTCTAGAGCAGCACACTTGGAGGTATAGTCGTCATGTACAGCCTGGATATCTTGCATAGCTTTTTCTTTGGCCGTTTCCAGTTCCTTTTGTAATCTCTCGTTTGTAGTTTTATGTTCAGCAAGGTTGCTCTCGCTTTGTTGCTTGAGAGTCTTGACCTCTGACTGTAGGCTATGGATAGATTGGTTGAGGTTATATACCTCAGCAGCATGTTGTTTCTGGCTCTGGCTGGCCTCGGAGTCGAGCTTTTGAACAGTGCTGTGCAGGTTTGAAACTTCTGCTGCATGATCTTCCTCAGCCTTGCCAGCACTGGATCTCAAGGCTTGGATAGTAGCTTTCAGATCAGCAACCTCTCCGGTATGCTGTTCTCTGACCCTTCCAAGCTCCGCTTCCAGCGATTGGATCTTCTTCTGTAGATCGGCCAACTCAGCTTCATGGTGCTGTTTAGCTTTGTAGCTCTTCCTCTCGTATTCGGAGGAAGTCTCTTTCAGCTGATGGTCGATGGACCTGAGCTGCTCGCCATACTGCTTCACAAGTTCATTTTTCGCATGTTGGTGTTGCTCCTCCAGCGCTGCTAGTTCTTGCGCATGATGTTTCTGAAGCGACTCGTTGATTTGCTGTATCTTAGCCATTTCCATGGCACTCGTTTCTCGGGATTTCCTGTATTCGAGCTGCTCTTGTTCAAGTCTACGGTGCAGGGTGGCTAGATCCGACTCCAGTTTCTGCACTGCTTGGCTCCTTTCTTCGAGTTCAGCTTTCAGAGAATCGACCAGTTCACGCGAGACTCCTCTCTCAACGCCGTTCGTAATGACTGATATCTCTAAACCTGGTTCACGATCGATGGCACGAATCATACGGCCGAAGTTATCTTTGAGGAAGTCGACGAATGTCTTGTCGAAGAATATCTCGGGTAGCCCACCCTCGTACTGCCCACCGACCGTTTGTGGTAAGACTTCAAAGTCCCGGACTATAGGTGATTCTCTGAATCTTGTTATCTTATCAATATATTGCTCTCTGCCCATTTGTTCGGTCAGTAATTGGTGCAAAGTCTTGCGAGGGATAGCGAATCCTTCGAGGAGAATTCATATACGACACCTAATAAAATAGTGCATAGGCCAGAAACGAGCACGTTAGAAACATAGCGATGTTTGATTTCTTGCAATAAGCTTTGAATGCTGCTGCCTTCTCCTAGGAAATCATTGACGGCATCAGGTTCTTCAAAAAGCCAACCACAGAGTAGCATAAGGTATCCAACGGAGATTCTTTCGTCGTCACCTCGTTGCATGCCGGTAAGCAAGTTGCCTACTATTGACTGAATGCAAGTTATTACTTCCTCCCCGCTCTCAGCATCGCCTTCAGTAACCCCCATAGCTATTGCTTTCGCCTCGGCGTTCTCAAAGAGTAGGTGGAACATCAGAACAGAAGCCATCCAAGTCTGATATGGGTCAGCATTCCCACGAGATTCTGGTGGGATAAGCAGAGCGGTCAAGATATTTGGGATTTCATCTTGTCCACTCAAATGACCATCGATGGCTCTGCGTAGAACATGGACGCGGATGCCGGCATGATTCGCGAAGAAGGCCTTGACACATTCACAGGCAGCTAGGCGCGCATCGAGAAGCTGTAGTGTAGCAGGCTCAAGGCTCAACTTGAGTAATGCTTCAATTACATTGATTCGTTGAAGTCCTTTATTTGCCAGGTCTCCATTAGAAGCACCTTCTGTAGGTTGTGCACCCCAGAAGACCTCAACATCCCCAAATCTCTCTTGTAATGGCTCGTTCCCGCGAATCAAATCGGCACATGTTGCCAGTGCCTAGATAAGTCAGCACCACCCAGCAAAATCATGGGTATAATAGTCCATAGACAAACCTTGGACGTAACATTGACACTAAACCTCTGACTGAAGGCTGTGCTCAAGACTTGTTCCATAACGCCACTGTGCCAGAAGGCCATTTGATTGGCAGGAGTGTTGATCCCACCCCGAACTAGGAATAGCTGAATGATAACCAGAAGACCCCAGATGTTCTTGTCTCGTTGGGCAAGGGTCCATTGTGGAGTGGGTTCATCTGATTCCTGCTCATGGTTGGCATCAGCAAGGAGCTTTGCCAGTCGCTTGACACATCCCGTCTCCCGAAAATAGGACTGATTGGATATATTAAGCCTCAGAAGGTTCGCGAGTAAAGAGAGGCAGTCTTCGACGACTTCTGACCCGTGCGACAAAGAGCCTTCTTTTTCAATTAGGACAAATAGAAGGTCGAACGCATTTTCAAAGGCAACAAGCTTTTGCAACTCCTCCGAGGCAGGTGTTAAGGCAATGAGGAGCAGTAATGCTTCTAGAGACAAGAGGGTTGTTAACAAGAGGGACCGTAATAGTTGCATAACGATTTCACAGATTCTATCTTTAGCGTACCATTGCGAACCGGCTCTCGAGCGTCACCCAGGGCACTGACTAGCCTTGGAATGCCCAACGGAGCTGTTAGAATGCACTCCTGCGTCCTCTCTGGCCGCGCACTAGAAATTTGAAATATCAATTGCAAAGAGTATAGGCGGGAGTAAAAGTCGCGAGTATCAAGAAGGTCAAGAAGAGCTGTTATATTGTCTTGTCGCTTTCGCTCCGTTAGCAACAGAAGTAACTGGTGGATAATGGGGTGACACACCTGAGTAAATTCATCGGATAGCCAGAGAGCTATTTCATCAGATGCTTCGGGCTAAGTAATATCCATCAGTGTACGCAATTGATACACACGGTAGCAAGGATAACTAACGCTACTCTCATCGGGGGAAAATAACATCAACAGGGCCTCCAAGACCACCTTGACCGTATCTACATCCTCTCGATCATTTCTGAGACAGCTAATCAATGGTCGCAGCGCACCAGATGCAACAGAAGCAGGATATATTTTCGCGAAGCTTCTCAGGCCTTGAATTGCTGCACGTCGGTCTTCCAATAGTGTCGCACTTTGAAGTCTACTGCTGAGAGTGTTGATTGTATCCGTTGCCGTTTGTTTGGCCGGCGCCTGGGATTCAAGAATTCGAAACATCGTTATCGATAGCTTGTAATATCATTATTACCGCCAGCTGCGGGTATACCAGACGTTAGGCATTGAACGACTGAGAAATAAACCCTCCGACTGTGGGGGTTTGTTCACAAACAAGGTGAGTTGTTCATTCCGAAGCTACCCAAGAACAATAATAGTTAGACTGCCCGGGCCTTCAACTGTGCCAAGGGTCCGCTAAGCTTAACTCCCGGAACCGCGATAAGAGAAGCGCCGAACACCGCATTCAAGTGTACTCGACGGGTACTGGCACCGCAGAGACTTTCCAGGTCTTTATTTCATCGCCCCTTGGACTTTGCAAGGGCCGACTTCCATTAATCTTGCGCTTCTGTTTCTTCCTGCGCATCTTTTCCTGGTTCACAGTATTTGCAGGGAGAACGCTCTTGCAGGTCCAGTGAGCTATCCAGATTAGAAGCCCGGAATTGCGACAGCCCATGGAGTCTGCTACGAGGTTTATCTAAATCGCGATAATTTCCTCGTTCGCCTCCCCACCGCATTTTTATACATATCGAGCTTTTACCGGTTTTCACGTCTCTTGAATTAGCCATAATGGGTGTTCCCGCGCTATTCCGTTGGCTCTCCAACAAATATCCGAAAATCATTTCGCCCGTTATTGAGGAGCAGCCCTATGAGGTCAATGGAGAACAGATCCCCGTCGACACCACGCGTCCGAACCCCAATGGGGAGGAGTTGGATAATCTATATCTGGACATGAACGGTATCGTCCATCCATGTACTCACCCAGAGGGAAAGCCTCCACCGGCGAACGAGCAGGAGATGATGTTGGAGATCTTCAAATACACCGACCGAGTTGTGAACATGGTCCGCCCGAGGAAACTTTTGATGATCGCTGTTGGTATGTTATCTTTTGTCTCAAATGATATTCCTGATAAACCGCTAACAATTCTAAAGATGGTGTTGCGCCACGAGCAAAGATGAACCAACAGCGCGCACGTCGTTTCCGCTCTGCGCAGGAGGCTAAGGAGGCTGATGAGAAGAAGGAAGAATTCCGGAAACAATTCCTCAAGAAGAGCAAAGGTGATCAGGAGATTCATGAAGAGGTTATACAGAAGACGTGGGACAGCAACGTCATCACCCCCGGAACTCCTTTCATGGACATTCTCGCTGCATCCCTGCGATACTGGATTGCGTATAAGCTCAACACGGATCCAGCTTGGGAGAAGGTTTGTCACTGGTACCCAATCCATTGAACCCCGTCTAACCTGTGCAGCTCAAAATCATCATTTCGGATGCGACTGTCCCGGGAGAAGGAGAACACAAAATCATGGAGTTCGTCCGGTCGCAACGAGCTGCGCCAGAGCATGACCCCAATACTCGCCACGTTATATATGGCTTGGTAGGCTTGTTAAATGATTCTTGGCCGGTTGACATATGCAACTAACTTTTTTCAGGATGCCGACTTGATTATGCTGGGTCTCGCTACTCACGAGCCTCATTTCAGAGTGCTTCGAGAAGATGTGTTCTTTCAGGAGTCTAAAGCCCGAACATGCCACCTATGCGGCCAGGCAGGTCATAAGGCTGAAGAATGCAGAGGCCAGGCAAAGGAGAAGAACGGACAATTTGATGAAAAGGGCAAAGGCTCATCGCTCAAACCATTTATTTGGCTCAATGTTTCTATTCTCCGGGAATATCTTGCCGTCGAGCTGTATGTTCCGCATCAGCCGTTTCCTTTCGACCTGGAACGAGCCTTGGATGATTGGGTCTTCATGTGCTTCTTCGTAGGTAATGATTTCCTGCCACACTTGCCCTCTTTAGACATCCGGGAAAACGGCATCGATACTTTGATAGCGATATGGCGAGACAATATTCCTATTATGGGAGGGTACTTGACCAAGGATGGCCATGTTGATTTCAAAAAAGCTCAACTTATTCTGCAAGGGCTTGCAAAGCAGGAAGATGCTATTTTCCGCCGCCGTAGGCAAGTTGAAGAAAAAAAGCTCGCGAACGAGAAGAGGCGCAAGGAAGAGGCACAGGCCCGAGACCGTGCCAGGAAACGACGAAGGAGCTCACCTAACTATGAACCCTCTGAGCCTCCCGCAAGCAACCGAGCCCGCGGCGGCGGCGGCGGCGGCGGCGGCGACTCAGCGCCACCTAATGACGTGGAGTTAATCATACCTGGTCGAGGAGAACTATCACGAGAAAACCGAGAGCTGACACACAGCATGGTGGTCAACCGTGGGGCTGTTTATCGGGCGAATATGGCTAACAAGAGCGCTGCGGCTATCTTGAAGAGCAAACTTATGAAAGGTTCGCAGGAGGGTGACGACACTGCAGAGTCCACGCCAATGCCAGACGCAGACGAACCTTCGGACAATAAAGCAGAACCGACGTCGCCATCCGTTCTTGGCAAAAGAAAGGCAGATGAGCCAGAGGGCGAGACAGAAACACCGGCCGACAACACGGACTCTACTCCTAAACCTTCCAAGGATGATGAGATGCCTCCTGATACTGTCCGCCTCTGGGAGGAGGGTTACGCTGATCGCTATTACGAGCAGAAATTTAGCGTCGATCCTCAGGACAAAGAGTTCCGCCATAAGGTCGCACGAGCATATGCGGAAGGCCTAGCGTGGGTTCTTTTGTATTATTTCCAAGGGTGTCCATCATGGAATTGGTATTATCCTTATCATTACGCACCCTTTGCGGCTGACTTCGTGGATATCGGTGATATGGAGCTATCTTTTGAGAAGGGAACGCCCTTCAGGCCATTCGAACAGCTCATGGGAGTCCTTCCAGCTTCGTCAAACCACGCCATTCCCGAAGTGTTCCACGATCTCATGCAGGACCCCAAGAGTGAGATTATTGATTTTTACCCTGAAGATTTTGCAGTGGATTTGAATGGCAAAAAGTTCGCTTGGCAGGGAGTTGTTCTGCTACCGTTCATTGACGAGAAGCGACTTCTGACCGCCATGGAAAAGAAATACCCTTTGCTCTCCGATGACGAGAGACATCGCAATACTATTGGCCGAGAGGTCTTGCTGCTTTCAGACGGCCACCCTCTATACCAGGACTTGGTCGCCAATTTCTACTCGAAGAAGCAGGGTGCCCCGAAATACACGTTGAATATGCGAGTAAGTGAAGGGTTGGCAGGAAAAGTCGAGCGCAACGAAACGTATATCCCACATAGTTCGTTGGTATCTTCGCTCGAAGAATACGGCATGCCCACTTTGGAGGATGACCGGTCCTTGACGTAAGTTTCTGTTCTCTCCCTCCCTAGCTTTCCATTTCTACTACGGCTGGCTGATATATGTAAAGGGTCAACTATGAGATCCCCAAATCAAATCACATCCACAAATCGATGTTGCTACGAGGCGTCAAATTTCCTCCCCCAGCGCTGGACAATGCCGACATTCAGGCTACCAAATCTAAGGCTCAACACTCGGGCCGTTCGTTTGGCGGTGTACCGTTTCGCGGTGGCCATGGCAATAGGGGTGGGCGAATCAACTACGCAAGCGACCGACCAAATCCTTTTGCAGCGCATCTCGATCCCAACTTCATGCCCCCGGGCAATTCAGGTGCTCAGGGGATGCCTTCTGGCTGGGCTCCCCCAGTACCAGGATCTGCGAACTTCTCCCGGGGTCCCCCACCCCCTCCTCGCGGAAACCACCGGAATCATTATGGCTCAGGACATGCTCAGCAACAAGGTTATCAGCAGACGAACTATGGGCGAAACGACTACTACGGCCGTGGTCAACAGGGACATCAACATCAGGGATCCTACGGCAACCAATCCGGTCAATATAGCGGACGGCAGTCTGGCTACGGAGGGGCTGAACATCGGGGTGGAGGCTATCAACGTGGAGGATATCAAGGCCAAGGCCAAGGTCGGGACTACTACAATTCCAGGAACCAGGGTGGATATGGTCGGTATTAACATCGTTTCCTTTGGTTAATTGCTTAATAGCAGCCATGTGTACCTTCCGTGTACTTTTTTTTCAGATATGTGTGTTTCTATGTTTTGAACCGCTAAGGAACGGAGTTCTTGGATACCAGTGAGAAAAGATGTGAAAAGAGCATCAGGTCGGATGGGTTCAGAAAAGATATGTGATATAACAGATACAAATTCTATAGCGATCAATCAATACATGACATGATGGACGATCACTGGCATTATCAATTCTGCAGATCTGTTTGGCCAGATACTTAAACGGGAAAGCGGTACGGAGAACGGCCGGCGCAAATCATTGGCAGTTTTGCGAATCCGGGGCGACATCGGAGAACGAACGGTGAGTCAATTCATCTTCATCCGGTGGAATTTTTGGTACATACAACACTACCGCTTACTACGAGGGCAACAGACCATAAGCTCTCGTTTTCGTGTTTTGTCCTGTTTCTTTTTCGGTCGAAGCGATTGTAGTCAGATTTCCTCGAGTCATCTGTCAGCAATTGCTTTTTTTTTTTTACAATTATCGTTCTTGACCATTTATTTTCCGAGCCACTGCCCCGCTCCAGATCTCACTGACAAGTGATCGATTCAACGTGCGATTCTCTACCAACTTCAGAGTCGGTGCTTGCGATTGTGCGTCAGACGAACACCTGGAACTCTTGTAATTATCCACAGCATGAACTAAAACGACATATCGATTTTCTTTCACGTCAAATACTGTTGCAAATTACCCTTGTCACTACTTAGATCCCGTGCGACTCTCCAACAATGGCCGAACCCACTAAGATAAAGATTCTGGGGCAGGAGAGTATAATCGCTGATTTCGGTCTTTGGCGTAACTATGTTGCTAAGGACCTGATCAGCGACTGTCCCTCCACAACCTACGTTCTCATCACCGATACGAACATCGGATCGATATATACCCCCGGATTCCAAAAGACCTTCGAGGATGCCGCCGCCACCGTTTCCCCCGCGCCACGGTTGTTAGTTTACCATTGTCCCCCAGGGGAGGTCTCTAAATCCCGGCAGACTAAAGCAGATATCGAAGATTGGATGTTGAGCCAAAGCCCCCCGTGTGGCCGTGACACCGTGGTTATTGCGCTGGGCGGAGGTGTCATTGGAGATCTGACTGGATTTGTGGCCTCGACCTATATGCGTGGTGTTCGATATGTCCAGGTTCCGACGACCCTCCTCGCTATGGTGGATTCGTCAATTGGTGGAAAGACTGCGATTGATACTCCACTGGGAAAGAACTTGATCGGCGCAATCTGGCAACCGACAAGAATCTACATTGACCTGGAATTCTTGGAAACGCTTCCCGTGCGGGAGTTCATTAACGGCATGGCTGAGGTCATCAAAACGGCTGCCATTTCTAGTGAAGAAGAATTCACTGCATTGGAGGACAATGCCGAGACGATCTTGACTGCTGTCCGAAGTGAGCGTAAGCCGGGCCAACGTTGGTTTGAGGGTATTGAGGATATTTTGAAGGCGCGGATCCTCGCATCCGCGCGTCACAAGGCCTATGTTGTCTCTGCAGATGAACGAGAGGGCGGTCTCCGAAACCTTCTCAACTGGGGTCACTCCATTGGCCATGCTATCGAAGCAATTCTCACTCCTCAGGTTCTTCACGGAGAGTGTGTTGCTATTGGTATGGTGAAAGAAGCAGAGCTTGCCCGGCATCTTGGCATTCTCAAGGGTGTTGCTGTAGCCCGGATTGTCAAGTGCATCGCCGCTTACGGATTGCCTACGTCGTTGAAAGATTCGCGCATTAGAAAACTCACCGCCGGAAAGCATTGCTCAGTTGACCAGCTGCTTTTCAACATGGCTCTCGATAAGAAGAATGATGGTCCGAAGAAGAAGATCGTTCTTTTGTCGGCTATTGGACGCACGTACGAGCCAAAGGCTAGTGTAGTTCCCAATGAGGATATCGGCGTTGTTCTTGCCCCGAGCATCGAAGTACACCCTGGCGTAGAGCCAGCATCTAATGTTATCTGCATTCCTCCAGGCTCAAAGAGTATCTCCAACCGAGCTTTGGTTCTTGCTGCTCTTGGTTCTGGAACTTGCCGTGTCAAGAATCTACTGCATTCGGACGACACTGAAGTCATGCTGAACGCTTTGGAAAGACTCGGTGCCGCAACCTTCTCCTGGGAAGAGGAGGGTGAAGTGCTTGTAGTAAATGGTAAAGGCGGAAATCTTCAAGCAAGCCCCTCTGAGCTCTACCTCGGTAACGCAGGTACTGCCTCTAGGTTCCTCACCACTGTCGCAACCCTTGCCAATGCAAGCACCGTAGATTCAAGCGTCCTCACTGGCAACAACCGCATGAAGCAAAGACCCATTGGTGACCTGGTGGATGCACTGACAGCAAATGGTGCATCAGTCGAATATATGGAACGGAAAGGCAGTCTTCCTCTCAAGGTAGCTGCGTCTGGTGGGTTTGCAGGAGGAAGAATCAACCTTGCTGCCAAAGTGTCTTCTCAATACGTATCGTCTTTGCTCATGTGTGCTCCTTACGCTAAGGAGCCAGTCACATTGAAACTGGTGGGTGGTAAGCCCATCTCTCAGCCTTACATTGACATGACAACGGCGATGATGAGATCCTTCGGTATCGATGTGCAAAAATCCACAACCGAGGAACACACATACCATATTCCTCAGGGCCGTTATGTGAACCCTGCCGAATACGTTATTGAAAGCGACGCTAGCTCTGCGACTTATCCTCTTGCGATTGCAGCGATTACTGGAACAACATGCACCGTTCCTAACATCGGATCCAAATCCCTCCAAGGTGATGCCCGTTTTGCTGTCGAGGTCTTGGGGCCCATGGGCTGTACCGTCAAGCAGACTGACACTTCGACCACTGTCGTCGGACCGTCCGATGGTATTCTGCGGCCGCTGCCGAACGTGGATATGGAACCTATGACCGACGCATTCCTTACAGCATCTGTTCTCGCTGCTGTTGCTCGTGGAGACGGCGCGAGCCATACCACTCGTATTTATGGAATCGCAAACCAGCGTGTAAAGGAATGCAATCGTATCAAGGCCATGAAGGATGAGCTCGCCAAATTCGGCGTTGTCTGTCGGGAGCACGATGATGGACTTGAGATTGACGGAATTGACCGCTCAGCTCTTCGGCAGCCAGCTGGCGGCGTCTACTGCTATGACGACCACCGCGTTGCTTTCAGCTTCAGCGTACTTTCTCTCGTGGCTCCTCAGCCGACCCTCATATTAGAAAAGGAATGTGTAGGCAAGACATGGCCTGGCTGGTGGGACACTTTGAGGCAGAAGTTCTCAGCCAAGCTGGAGGGTAAAGAACTGAAAGAAGAGGAATCATCACCTCTGGCTGGTGCCGGAAGGGCCAATGCTTCAGTCTTCATAATTGGAATGCGTGGTGCCGGGAAAACTACGACTGGCCGCTGGGTCGCAAAGACGTTGAATCGTCCATTCGTCGATCTTGATACCGAATTGGAAAACGTTGAAGGTCAGACGATTCCGGAAATTGTCAAGCAGCGCGGCTGGCAAGGGTTTAGAGAAGCCGAGCTTAACCTCTTGCAACGCACTTTAAAGGAACGCTCAACTGGTTATGTTCTCGCATGTGGTGGGGGTATAGTTGAGATTCCGGAGGCCAGGAAGTTGCTCATCGATTATCATAAGAACAAAGGTAATGTCATGCTAATTATGCGCGATATCAAACAAGTGATGGACTTCCTCAACATTGACAAGACCCGCCCCGCTTACGTTGAGGATATGATGGGCGTATGGTTGCGCAGGAAGCCATGGTTCCAAGAGTGTAGCAACATCCAGTATTACAGCCAACATGCCACGGGTAAGCTCTCTAAGGCATCAGAGGATTTTACCCGTTTCTTCAAAGTTGTTGCCGGTGAAGCGGACAACCTGAGCATCATCAGGCGCAAGAAGCATTCCTTCTTCGTGTCTTTGACCTTGCCCGACTTACGAACTGCTGGCGATATTTTAGAAAAGGTCTGCGTGGGATCCGACGCCGTGGAACTCCGCGTCGATCTGTTGAAGGACCCATCATCGGATAGTGACATCCCGTCGGTCGACTATGTGGCCGAGCAGATGGCTTACCTGCGCAGCTACGTTTCGCTTCCATTGATATTCACGATTCGCACTAAGAGTCAAGGCGGCCGTTTCCCTGATGAAGCGCACGATGCTGCAATGGAGTTGTATCGCCTCGCGTTCAGATCTGGAAGTGAATTCGTGGACCTCGAAATCGCTTTCCCCGACGAAATGCTGCGCACCGTCACAGAGATGAAGGGCTACTCAAAGATCATCGCATCACACCATGACCCCAAGGGGGAGCTGTCATGGGCGAATATGTCTTGGATTAAGTACTACAACAGGGCTCTTGAATACGGCGACATCATCAAGCTTGTCGGTGTTTCAAAGAACCTAGATGATAATACGGCGCTCAGAAAATTTAAGAGCTGGGCAGAGGAAGCGCACGAGACGCCATTAATCGCTATTAACATGGGCGATAACGGACAACTCAGCCGTATCCTAAACGGCTTCATGACCCCAGTTTCTCACCCTAGCCTGCCTTTCAAGGCTGCTCCTGGTCAACTCTCGGCGACCGAAATCCGCAAAGGATTGTCTCTGATGGGAGAGATAAAGCAAAAGAAGTTCGCATTGTTTGGCACCCCCATCTCAGCCTCTCGCTCCCCGGCTCTCCATAATACACTGTTCTCCCAGACGGGCCTTCCTCACGAGTATGGTCGTTTAGAGACGGCGAACGTTGAAGACGTCAAGGACTTTATTCGGTCCCCTGAATTTGGAGGCGCTTCCGTGACAATTCCTTTGAAGTTGGACATCATGCCCCTACTCGACGAGATCACACCAGAAGCCGAAATCATTGGCGCCGTGAACACTATCATTCCTGTCGCCGATGGAGACAAGCCAGAGCGCTTGGTGGGAACCAACACTGATTGGCAAGGAATGACGCTGTCCCTCCGTAACGCCGGTGTTGAGACTACCAATAAGGATGTCAGTGCCCTCGTTATCGGTGGCGGTGGTACTGCCCGCGCTGCCATCTACGCCCTCCACAGCATGGGATTCTCTCCCATTTATGTTATTGGACGATCGGCCGCCAAGCTCCAGAGCATGGTCTCGACCTTCCCCTCCAGCTACAATATTCAGGTCGTCGAGAGCCCGGAGACACTAAAGACGCTTCCCACCGTGGCCATCGGCACTATCCCTGCCGACAAGCCGATCGACTCTGTTATGCGTGAGACACTCTGCCACATGTTTGAGCGCGCTCAAGAGGCCGATGCCGATGTGGTTAAGACAGGGGAGAAGGCACACCGTGTTCTTCTTGAGATGGCTTACAAACCATCCGTGACAGCATTGATGCAGTTGGCTTCCGATTCTAATTGGCACACTATTCCCGGGCTGGAGACTCTGGTTGGTCAGGGATGGTACCAGGTAAGTTTTAATCCGTATACATACTCTATTGAACATCAGAAGCTGACTCGGTATATAGTTCAAACATTGGACTGGGATCTCTCCCCTCTACGAGGATGCAAGGGCCGCCGTGCTTGGCTCTTAGTTCTGCTTAACCGTGTCTTGGAAAGTTTTACATTAAAATTTTTCTCTCAATAAAAGCACTGTCTTATATAGTATTAGATATAAAGTATTGGGAAACAAAAAATAGTGCTTATGTTCAATAATGGTAGCATTCTATCTTCTATAACTATCATCCACCCGTGAATTTAGTCCTGTGTTTTCTTTTCAGTAGATCCGCTTTTCTTTTCCCTTGCCTGGTCCTCTCACACATATCTGGTCAATCACCGGGATTCCTTCACAACTCGGCTTCTATTGGGCCATGACACAAAATCTAGATACAAATCTATCATAGTTTCTACTTCTCGAAAAACTCATGTCTCGTAATCAAGCAATGGCAGTTCGGCGTTGAAAGGAAAAAAAGGAAAAGTAGAAGTATGAGGATCTTTATGTCCATACTAGTATAACAAAATGGAATAACCCTGTTGCCCCGAAGTGTTCACACTAGACCCCAAATGGGCCTCGATCCATTTCAGATGGAAAATGTGTCCTAGGCCACAGAGACGTACACCTAAGATTCCGCCCAATGAGCATCACGCTCAGCATAACAACAGAAGCTTGAGGGGGCTCTTGTATCCACCGGAGCTTCTGTTGACCGTGCTGGTTGCTGGTTGGCGTGGTTCAGTTGGACAGATTAGTGTATAGGAAAACCTGGACCGTCAGATTCTATCACAGCAGGCTTACTACTAGAAGCCTTTGCTAAGAAAAGCCTCTTCAACCATGCTGTGTACCAAACTTGAGATCGGTCAGGAAACGTTCTTATGTAACCAGCGTAGATGTTGTGGTGGGTGGACTATCCGGACGGAGGCTGATACCGAGGTGATCAATCATCAGGAGATATGATGAGTGGCCCCCAGATATGACCACTTTGGCAGAAAGTCGATCGGAAGTAGCTTGACCAGCCATGGGTCATACGGTGATTCGATCAGCCCACTCGTCGGACAAGACGATAGCAGAAACCCGCGGCTAGTCTTATATTAGCTCCAGGGATGACCTCTGATCCTAACAGCCATGACTATCCCTGCTGAATACCACTCGTGGTGCGTCCCCAATCTAGCCCTCCTATCACTTTGATCATTGTTTGGACTTGACTCCTCAAGCGGGATATCATCTCCATTGTCCATTTGAGATTAGAACGGCCCGTCTCTGTGGCTGTTTCACCAGTCTTCTGTTGCACAATTTCTGCGTAGTGAAACTCTCGCACCGAGCTTCCCAGGAGGTCCAGTATTGCATCTACATAACCTAAAGATGAGACAACGAGTAGGCTCTTGTGTGCTCGGTCCTCTTCCTCCGACAGCCGAAATGACCCTAGGCCTAGCCGTGCATTAGAGACATACCATGCACCATTCTTGGCCACCCTGCAGAAGAGGTTTGTAAGGTGTTGGAGTGCGACCATGGTCATGATAAATCGGGTTGAGTCTTTTGTACAGAGCGTACAGGACAGCTCTTGTCTAATTTGCTCACATGTTTGACGAGATAATTCAAGAATGGAACCCAGGACCATATAGTCAATGTCCTCTTGAGCCCCACTTAGCTCAGCGATGCAGAGCAGCTGTGCCCTCATACACGCACATCTAGCTGAACGAGGCCGACCACCCAAGTCGAGCGGGCTCGGTGGCATATTAAAGCAAGAGACTCCGGTCGAAGAACTCCACTCATCATCTGTAGAACTGCCAGAACCTAGGCCTATGCCGAGAAGCATATCTCGTGACAGAACCAAGTTGGAGGTTATAGAATCCATTGGAGTGCTGAATGGGTGGCGAACATTCAGATCAGCCTGTGGGGTCCAATTCAGAGTCAGTATGAACCTTGCAGGGGGTGGGACCAGGCATACTGATACTTGCAGTAAGGAACTGTGGTTCAATCCAGTTGCAAAATAGGGCCCCGTGAAGGAGGGACTTTTATCACATGAAGACAACCCATCGTTGGAGACAGACTGCGGAGCGGATATTGTGTCTGTGTTTGCACTTAGACTGTCGTTCAGGTGCAGGTCTCTCGAGTTTCCGCGGTTGTGCCTGCCGGTAGGAGAACCGCTGTAGGGAGGTGAAGCTTGAGCAACCGGCTTTTGCACTCTGTTCGCCTTCAGCCTTCCATTCCGCAGCGAAACACTGTAGTGACAATTTGCACCATTGTTCCCGCAACGTTGGCATGGATTACCGCCTGTACACTTAACACGAGACTGACGACAAGCGTCACATGCAGAGCAGAGACGGGGAGATGAACGTCGGGAAGGGGCTTCGGCGGCTTTCCAACTAGTGGACAAATGACTCGGGACGTCGGAGGAAGAGACCATTGCGAGATATATGTATGTATGTATATGATTAGTATGATCTGTGAAGTGGCGAGGTATCTTGATCCAGTGGAGGTTCTGGCTGGATGGCGAGCGACTGATTGGATTTATAGATCGTGACCGCTTCGAGCATCACGCTAGGCCCAAAGCAGTCGGATATATTGGTTCGCCTAGGAAGATACTTGCATGGATAGCCTGTGTATCTTATTCTGCAGGATAACCGGGGACTTTCCCGTTTTCTTTAATCTCCAGGTTAAAACACAATCTGCGTATCAGTGAATGTGATTGGCATCTCGAGACCCGCTTCCTCTCCCGTCAGGTTTCAATTGAGGGTCCAGCATTCGTAAACTCTAATATCCCTCATCTGCAGGCTCATCATCTAGTGTCGACGCTAGTCCTACATCCCTTATTGGCTTCTCTTTGCCTATGATAGTCTCAAGCTAGAACTAATCACCGGTAAGCCGCATGCTCATCCATCAGTAGGGACAACGGGGCGAAGGATTCATCATCCGGGGCCTCAATAAAAGCAACTTCGATCGACTGTGGAGGAGGGTGCGAGAGGATAGTTTGCAATAGAAGGATCCGAACCCTAGCCACCCTTGATGAAGATATGCATATCAAGGCTCCAATGAGAAGTGGAGTTGACATCGGAACTTGGAAACAAAAGACGGCCGGAACTTGCTGGTTGCGCTAAAGGCCTCCACTGGCTTGATGCGGTCCCTTCACGCTAGGAACACATGGTACTGTACAATCAGAATGCCCTCAGATCATAGGACTCGATCTATTTTCTGAACATGCGCCCCAAGCGGACAAATCGTCAAAAGGCCGGGCAGGTAATTCCGCTTTGTCACCCGCCGCCCTGAATTCTGGAATCGAAGGATTCAGGCCCGACCCACTCGTCCGGTTGAAATCAAAGTGGTTTAGCCTCTCGGCTGAAGAACAAGATGGTTTCTGGTCACGGTCCGGCCACGTCGATCAGCGGTATGCTTAACGACGTTGAGTTTGAATAGTGCCATCCTTACCGTCCGTGCCGAGCAATCACCAGATGCTACTATTTCTCGGCGTATACAAGAGACCGTTTCAAAGAAATGCGCGATGGTTTCGGCCAAGAAGAACAAGTAAATGAGTACAGGAAAGGTGGCGAAAAGGATGATAGCGATGATAACAAGGATTATGGCTCTATCGCTGGACATACACCGATAATTCTAGTCGGATATTGCACCATACCAGTGGTCTAGGCAGTAATAATATGCAATCGAGGTTGATCTAGGGTGCAAAAGTCCGCGCGTACGGTAGATCGAATAGCGGATGCCTTGTGGTGCGAGCTTGGCGGATGGTACCGACCAGAAAGGAAGTCGATAGCGTTAAAAATATATTACAGAGGGTCCTCTGTGTCTTTCATAGGCTCGTAAGCAACGGCAGCTCCTCAAATACAAACAAAACTGCCTTCCCTAACTGGAAAAAGATCAGCTTCAACCAATCCGCCATCTGTCTCCCTTCTTGATGGCCTTTCCGCACCATATTTGGGCATATCTTCGGAGAAACGAATAGGCTGAAAATGGGACTGGCGGTGTCCACTTTCCCCAGCTTTGGTGTCCATCCGGAGTCCCGGACTGGTACATATAGTCTCTAACGCAGAAAGTATGTGGTTAGGGTTGTCCACGTGATTCGCAGGGTCTACGTACCTTTATGCATGTATCGTGATTAGGTAGTCTTCGATGAAGTACCTACACTAAGTATATCCTTTTACTGTAGGCAGCCAATGAATTTTGGGATATAGTATAGAAGCTAAGGGTTTAGGAGGGGGTAAATTCCTGCTACTGATCGACGTTATCGACATGACTCCTAGGCGTGTCCAGAGCCGACGACTGTAACCGCCCATTCATCTGAAGTACTCAGCTTCATCAATACTTCAAATGTTGCGGACATTACCGACCTCGGCCGGATGCCGGTCAATGTGGGGGATTCATAAGCCCATCTTCCTTGGTTAAACAAGGAAGATAATGCCTAAGGGTTCCTCCAACAGAGGTCAACCAAAGTTCATAGTCAAGGAAGAAGCTCACACGCTCCTGTCTCACTTTCCATTTTCAATTTTGAGACAATTTTGGGATGATAATCGATTAGTCTTGAACGATGTGCTAGTCGCAGCGAAAAGCCGAGGTAGGTAGATATCACTAGCAGGACTAAGCCACAAAACTCCGGCGGGTTGGTGGGACGTAAACTTTCTCAAAGGAAGCCAAGCCATACCGGTCCGGTGTAGCTCACACGGAGGTAGATTCAGATTAGTCTCTCCTAGTGGGTAGCAACTAGCAAGTATGGGAAGGTGGAAACATGAGGAATGAAATAAGATTAAATGGTACCTGAAACTGAGATCTTCAGAATATGATTTGCAAGCGATCAACGGTTGAGGAAGTGTTCTTCTTCCCCATTCTCCTTTTCAGTTTTATTCTTCAAGCCTAAACTTTTGGTCTGTTGTGGCATTTTTCATTCTTCTGCTTCGATCTTATCTCGAACCATCAGGCTAATGGAACAGTGGAAGTAGAGCTTCACATCCAACCCGGTAGCTTCCGGTTAACCATCCCTGTACACGGCGAAAAGGGCCCCGGTTCCTGGCTAATTTCGAACGCGTGCATGACTAGTTAGCTGATCGATAATCGCTTATTAACGCTTATTATAGTCATGTTCGGTGTCGGCCAATCAAAGTGATTACTGGTAGAATGAGCTGGAACGATAGTCCTTGCCATACTTGGCTCAAGGCATTGACGCACATAAGTAGAGCGGCCAAACGAATGTACGTGAGAAAGAAAGTCTTCCCCACGTATTTGAAGCAGGGTGGAGAATTGATCCGTAGTTAGTCACTATAGCAATGTAAAGGATGCGGCACATCTTATCGATTGACTCGGTGAGAGCAAAAAAGGGAACAGTTGCGCGTGTTAGTGCTGGCAATAGAAAACGTGGCCTTTGGCGCTATCGCTTGCTATTCCGGCAGACTAGCGCTTCGGTCCATGCCAGATAGCTTATTATCTTTAGTATACAAAAAATGATGTGGATAGTCATGTACCAAGTGCCAAGAGATAGAAGTATTTGCCCACACTCGGATTTGTCAATCTGACGGTCGCCAAGTCGTTCATACGGTGAGGCAGCCAAATTTAGTCAACATGAGAAGATCAGCATGGTCCTGAATTTGTGCCCAGATCAAAGCAATCATTCTTTCTTTCTTCGCCCCTTTTTGGGGGGTCTCTTTACCCCGGATGGATGGTAGGATGATGATCCTTCAGCCCATCTTAAATAAGGCCAAGGCCTTGATCATCTCACCAGGACAGATAGTACAGCTCTCAATATTGAGGGCATAACAAACAAAAAGAAAGAAAAGAAAGAAAAGAAAGAAAAAGAAAAAAGAAAAAAGCTAAGGGTAGACAAAAAGTTATTGAGCAACGTCGGAGGTTGGAGGGATGAAAATGTCATTGTAGCATGAACCTTTCCAGCTCGGGATAACATATCGGGCCGGACACGTGAGTATGGATATTTGATGCTTCTTTACACAACAAGCGAACACAACTATCATGTTATCCTTCCTGAGAAACTTTAAACAGGTACAGCATACGCAGTAAATAGCTCAGATATCCCTACTTTATCGTGGCAAGCATGACAATGGCCATAACAACAGGCACCCCTTAACCAAATCAGGCAAGCCAATCAGTCGCGGAGTGCCCTGCGGGTCTTTTGCTGGTCTTCAGACGATTCAAATTCTCTGGGCGCCGAATATATCATCATGAAGAAGGCCGCAGGGGTTTCATTAATTGAGGGGTAGGGAAAGATGGCGGGTATTGACAAACTAGAGCTTATAAAGAACCTAAGCTCGGGGCTCAACTTGCAGCTATTCCCTTTCCTGCATATGGTGGCTTGTATCGTCGAGCAGATGTGAGTCATTTGCGGTGTCAAGAAGTCGGTGGAAGCAAAGATCATTTCACCACATTCTGTATTGGTCCCTTCTGTGGTCACTCGTTTATTACCGGCTCCGCTCCAAACTCATACACTCGAAATGGGGATCTTGATCAAGGGCCTTGTAAGTAGCCCGGACTCTGCCATGTGCTCAGTCTAATGATCGCATAGGGAATACAGTATCAGATCTCGGGATATCAATTGCAATGCGAGAACTATATCAGATCTCAAGCAAACACCCAAATGATAAGCAGCCAACATTTAGCCGAGGAAGCATTCAAGAACAAACCCAGCTTTTAGAATATTCAACGGATCCCATGCAGATGCTGGACTCATATCCAGTGTTATCCCAGTCTGTTCAGACTACACTATGGCATAGTGACTTCCATATGGGGAATATTTTTGTTTCACCTAATGAGAGCTCAAGGATACTATCGCTAATTGATTTCAATCTTTATCGATCCTTCCGTTCTTTCTTCAAGCCCAATGACCATTATTTCTAAAGCCTCCGCAAAACTAGATGAGAGGGCTTATACAACCTAAGCTCCCTAGTGACTTCAGTGAAATGGACAACGAAGGTAATGCTGCTGCTTTACAGCAATGGTCCCAGGTCAAGCTAGCAAAAGTATACGAAGCTGCGATATTCCTTGAAAATAGAGTTGAACATAACGCCATGAATATCCCACGTGTTTTTCCGAGAACTTTTTATCCGCTATGAAGAAGTCTCTAAAGTTGGTATTGTTCCTCCCCGGGAATGCTTAATACAGGTTTTCCGCGACTGATTAATTTGGGCTTTACTGGATAATGCCCTTATTCATTTAGCAATGAAGAGATTGCCACACACGAAAATCAATTGGCTGAATACCAAACCTCAAGAATTTGAGAACTATATGGAAATTATTCAATCTATTATAAAGAAATATAATAAAAGTGATAATTATACATATAATAATCCTTATACAGAAAAAAGTGCAATAAGTGAAAATTATATATATAATAATAACCCTTATACACAAAATAGTGGTACAAGGTCCAACAACTCGCTCAGGAATACCTAGACA